TCATCAATATTTTCATGGTATGATCTAACTTGACCATTTTAGTACCAAGGTCCACCAAGTGTTTTTAGGATATCCAAGTTTATTTATTTTCATCCAAACTCATTTTGTTTTAGTCCAAGCTCATTTATTTTAATCCAAACCCAAGTCTATTTATTTTAATTTTATTTTATTTTATTTTAATCCAAGCCCACTCTATTTTAGTCTAAGCCTATTTATTTTTAATCCAAGCCCAAGTCCATTTTTATTCTAACTCAAGTACATTGATTATAATCCAAACCCCTTTTTATTTTAGTCCAAGCCCACTTTGTTTTAGACCAAGTCCATGTGTTTTATTCTAAATCCACTTTATTTTAAATCCAAGCTCAATCATACATATCTTCCAAACCCATATGGTTATATTAAAGTGGCTTAGGTGTCTAACTAAACACTCGGGCTAACTAAACATCTTAACTAATCAAGTTTAAATACCTAAACTCATTTCTTTCCATTAAATTTCAGAAATCCCTCTCCCTAAACTCAAAATTTTTCTCTCGTATCAAATCGATCATAACTCTTTATACATAGATCTAAAAATTATAAAATTGTACAGAGATCTAGTAGACATATATAAGAACAACTTTTATTGTTTGAGTTTTATCCAAAAATCAATCTAAGATCCCTAAATAAATCACACAAAGTTAGAAACTAAAATTTTTCAACTTGTAATATATCCAAATGATCTGTACCAAATCGGCCATAAATCTTTATATATAGATCTAAAAATCATGAAATTTTACAGAAAGATAGTAGACACACAGATAAACAACTTTTGTTCTTTGAGGTTTATCCAGAAATTACTCTAAAATCGCTAAATAAATCATGCAAAGTTCAAAATTTTTCACCCCTAAAATTCAAAAAATTCTCTTTTAAAATTTTTAAAACACATTCTCATCGCATATAGTTATCACTAAACCAACCCATCACACATGAATACCCATCCATCATCATACATATACATGGCATACTTACACATTCTAACCTAAAGTTTACCATGAAATACAAATCCAACATTCAAAGTAGATCCATCATCAAAACATCATAAATCCATCACTAAACATCAAATTTTTAACATCAACATAAACTACCATAACCACATATTACGTGGCTTAAAACAAAAATCTATAGATCAAACATTTAAAAGAGAACTCAAGGCATAAATAAAACTAAAATGAAACCAAAAGAAACCTACTTACTATGATGTGTGTTTGGTTATTAAGATTTCTTAGTCTTTTTCTTCTCTTTCTCCTTCCTTTCTTTCATTTCCTTTTCTCCTTTTTTCCTTCCCTTTCTTTTTCTCCTTTCTTTCTCTCAAACTCACGTTCTTCTCTTTTTTTTTTAAGGGCATGAATTTTTTGCTAAAAAGAATGGCAAGGTTTCATATTTTCATCCAATTTTAATACTATACTTTTCCTTTTTATTTATTTTATATTTAATATGTCAAGTGTCCAACTTTTGTGGTAAGAGAGGTCAATTGACGGAGACAAAAAGAGAGACAAGTTGGAGTGTTTAACCTTTCAAAATTAAGTAAGAAAGTACAAATAAAAGTATGGTGAAAAATTTTATGTCACGTCGCTAACTAAAGAGAAAAAACTAAAAGGTAACTAAACTAACCAATTTTCTAACCTTATTTGATTCATAAAATTTGACCATGACTCTTAAGTAGGATATATTTTTCACTTGCATGGTCATTTTAAATATACATTATGGAAAAATAAATGATGGTTAATTAATTTTCGAAGAAAAACATTCCTATGAACAATTCCATAAACTTTAAATATTTTCACACTACGGATATAAAAGAAATGGCACATAATTTATGCTCACATAATCATGAATATTTCAAGAGATATTTGGGCTTGGGAATTAAATTTCGGTATGCCAAAATTAATTTTTTTTTAAACCCAAGCATCTTAAACTTACCAAACACAAACATGACACAAAAATTATAATTGTGACTTAGTAGATGTAGATAAAATTATTTCCATACGTATAGCTACGTTAAGCAAGTTCACGGGAGTTACGATAGCAAACCGAGTTCTTCGAATGAATATCACTAAATCGGTCAAGAAAGACCAAATTTTGCAACCGTTTAGGTGAGCCATCCCCGATTTCTAAATTATATAGCAATTGCAATAATGATTTTGCTAAACCATCGCTAAAATTCCTTCTTGCTGAGGGGATTTATGTGACAATGAGCAATGGCAAGGAGAAAACATGCACCTACGATAAATTACAAGGTGACGGTGAGCAAGTGAGAGATATTTGGTTGATTGCACATTAAATAATAAAGTGCAAGATGAGAATCTAGAAATGAGAATCTAGGTCCCATTTTTCATCTATCTCGGTTACAAAAAATGAAAGGTCCAAAATGAGAATCTAGAAATCGGAATGGAAATTAAAGAATCAAAACGACATTTGCATTCTTAAACCGCATTTGCAAAAATAATAAAGAAAAAAAAATTTAATTTTTTAATATCTAATTTTTAATACAAATAAAAATAACAATTAAAAAATAATTTCATAAATTATAATTGTAGTAAAAATAATGAAGGTAATTGTGGTAGCGATGTTGGTGATGAAGTATAAGGAGAATGAGGAGAATGTGATAACAACAACATAATAATAATAATAGTGATGTGTTTTTTTTTTTAAACGATACTATCACCGTAAGAGGTGGTAATAGAAGAAGAGTGGTGATGGTGGTGGAGGAAGAGTAGTAACATAACAATAACAATAATAATCTTATCACTAACATTAATGGTAGTAGGAGTGGTGGTTGTGACAATAAAAATAGTTGATGTATAATAAATAAAAATAATATATTATTATTTTGAAAAAAAGATTATCGTTATCTATTTTTATTTCCACCTCATACATGAAAATAAAACTATATCAAACTTTCATTTCTATTATCACTTTCAATTTTTATTCTCTTTTCATTCTATTTAATCAAACAACTAAAAGGTTAAAATAAAACTTTTATTTTTATTTTTATCATTTTATTCTTGGTAATCAAACAAAACTTAAGTTTCACGAAATGTTAAATTCCCTTAAACTTTTTTGACTACGTAAAGAAGGACACTAATTGAAAGATAAATCGGTTCATCTGGCTAAATAATGTATATTTTTGATATTTTTATAAGCTTTTAAGTGTTTTTGTGAGATTTTATAGCATGTGGTCATTTGAGAGAAAAAAAATTATAGAAAAACAAGAATAAATAAAATAAAAATATAAAAAATTACAGCTTTTGTTAGTTTTAGCAACGACGAGCAAAATCAGTTTTTAAACCTTCAGGGGTAACATTGCAAAATTATAAACTACAGGGGTAAAGTGAAACATTGATGAGAAGAAAAAGTTAATAAAAAATACCATAGTTTCAGAAGTCAGAAAAAATACGAAAAAAAAGAAGGAAACCAGTGCAGGTATTATTGTTTTTCTTATCATGATTTATTTCCTGAACAAAACAAGAACCACTCAAAATTATGTTCTTACTGATTGTAATGTTAACCTGTCACTTCCAGATCTCTGCAACGGCAATCTTCATTTCCTTCTTTTCAAAAGCAACTTTTTAAGGTTGATTGGATTTGCAGACAGCAATGTGCACGCCAGGTGTTTGTGAAAATGTCTGAAGGAACTATCTTACACGAATCTGCACCATACAGTTTCTTGAAATAATTTTAACTTTTTAAGGTTGATTCTGCAATGTGCACTCCAGGTGTTTGTGAAAATATCTGAATGAACTATCTTACACGAATCTGCACCATACAGTTTCTTGAAATAATTTTTAACGAGTTGTTGTCCATTTTCTTCCGTTCTCGAAAGAAACCCTTAAAATTTTGTTCCAATGCAGGTGGTGTAAAATGGTCTGAGGATGATGCAATGGCAAGGAGAAAACATGCACCTATGATAAACTGCAAGATGACAGTGAGCAGGTGAGAGATATTTGGTTGATTGCACATTAAATATGGTCGATTGCATTTTCTTAACTAAGAAAATCACCTATGATTAGATAATCACAATTTTTATCAACATTGAATTTATATGCTTTGTGTTTGATGGAAATCTCATGCATTAACTTATCTCATTCTCTATTCCCGAATCATGGAGTAATGCATAATCTTTCTGCAATGTATTGATTTGGTGTATCTGCAATTTATGGTATGTTTTTATTAGAATTTTCTTAAAGAGGATTTTCTGTTACCGATTGATAGTAGGTTTACTGAAATGTTATCTGGATAATGCAGAGCAAGTATCATTGATCATTTGATAGAATTTAGTATTAGGTTCAGGCTTCTTCCAGGAATGGGATGGAAAGAACGGGTTATACCTTATTTGGAAAGGATGAGCGGGTGTGTTACTACTAACCTAAATGCTATTGTTGTACCTTATTTGCATTCTCTGTTGACTTTGCTGCTGAAAAATGCAATAGAAATCAACCCTTGGTCGGCCATTAGCAAAGAATTTAGTGTCCAGGGGTGTCTGATTGGTACTTTCCAAATAAATTCATGCCGTATAAATGGGGATTTAGCAACTTTATTCTCACTGTCTTCTAAATATCGGTATCTGTCGGACCTGGATTGAACTTCTCTCAAGTTAACACCTTAGATGATGATATCAGTGAAATCTAGGACCATAAATGGTTTAATTCTTGTCATATCAGTGGTCATTTATTACTGCTAAGAAGTGACTTATTTTGTATAGTTGTCACGTTAATTATAGACGATAATTTATTTCTGATGAGGTGGTACCAAATCAACCGTTGCAATTTGTAAATGTGTGGTGGTGGTGGTGGTGGTGTATGGTTAGATTTTATAAATCCAATCTGTCATGTTTGGTAGAAACATGAAAAGAGCCTAATTCGTCCAGCCCTACATAGTATATATAGCCTATAGATTGGAACAAAAATACTCACCAATATTCCAGATTCTATTCTTGCCTTTTACTTGCTTTCTTAGCCACCATGACTAGAAAGAAGGTTAAACTTGCATACATTGCTAATGATTCTGCAAGAAAAGCAACCTTCAAGAAAAGGAAGAAGGGTCTAATGAAGAAGGTAAGTGAGCTAAGCACCCTTTGTGGGATTGATGCTTGTGCAATAATCTATAGCCCATATGACACTCAACCTGAGGTTTGGCCCTCTCCTTTGGGGGTCCAACGTGTGCTAAGTCAGTTCCAGAAAATGCCTGAGATGGAACAAAGCAAGAAGATGGTGAATCAAGAGAGTTTCCTTAGGCAGAGGATCACAAAAGCCAGTGAGCAGCTCAAGAAACAGCGAAAGGACAACCGTGAGAAGGAAGTGACACAAGCCATGTTCCAGTGTTTGACTGGGAAGAGCTTGCAAAACTTGAACATGATGGATTTGAATGACCTGGGATGGATGATTGACCAAAACTTGAAGGAAATTAACAAGAGGTTTGACACACTTAAACGTGAGACTAACTCCCAAGTGGCAGCAGTATCTGTGGCAGGACCTAGTGGAGAGCATCCATCACAGAAGGCAGAAGTGCTGACTTTTGAGGTGAATAATGATAACATGCAGAGGCAGCAGTGGTTCATGGATTTGCTGAACCCACAACCACAAGAGCCTTTGGGATTTGGTGGGCATGATGAGATGTTGCTGCCATTCGGGGATAACAATGAAAACCCTCTTTGGTCTAATGCCTTTTTCCCTTGATGTTTGGTTTGTTTACGAGTTACGGTATTTTAGCTAGCTGGATCTTGGAACACAGTATTGCTATGCCCCTCCTTGAATCCATATTGTACCTAAATAAATCCTTACCGATTAAGCTATGTCATGTTTCAAGATGTTTCACTCATTTTGTATTCTCTGATTTTCAAATATATCATTTTCATGCTTGTGGTGTTGATGGATATCACTGTCTGTTGTTTAATTAAAGTGACTGAGATCTTTGCCAATTGATTTGCTTAAATTCTTCGATTATTTCAGTCAAAGTGTCTGTTGTTTGGTCCCTATGCATAATCTTGCCATTGCTCAACAAGATAACACAATCTATCTGTGGACTTCTCTGATGTTATCCACAACAGATTGAACCACTGCATTGTTTTTGTTGCTTATGGCAATTTAGTATTATAGTAGCTCTTTTTTCTGTTTTCATTCCATAACAATTATTCGCATTACAACTGCTTCATTTCCTGAGAAATTGTGTGTACTCTTTTTATTTTTAACTATAGATGGTGAGTTTAATTACCACAGCCTAGCTAGGGCTGCATTTGAGTAAAATTCTGGACAATCAACTGCTGGAAAGTGGAAGAATAATGTTTGAATCATAATGTTATTGGGGAGAAGGTTCCACTGTCAGACAGTATAGCTCAAATACTACAATCAAACATCAGAAAAATGCAATTCAGATCCCACAGTGGACGCTGTAGATGTCTTTGGTAGTCTTGAAGCCAAAGAGGATATTGCCGGATTCACCGGCGCTGATATGAACTGGAAATGTGCTGATCTGCTTCTTGAATAATATATATTACCTTGATTAAGTGAATGCTTAGTTAACGATCGTGGATGATTTGTTATAGATGATGATTTTAGCGTAAAGTTGTTAGCCATCTTAGTATGTATTTCATGCTTTCATGATGTAACAAAAAAGCTGTGGTTATTGTATCAAACATGTCCTGATTGTGTTCAATGTAGAGCTTTCTTTGGCAATACTTGAAACTTCACTAGCTACCTTGTTTGGTTGATAATACCTCCTTTGAACATTTTGCTGTGAGGATGTTGAAGTACTTCATTACCTCAAATAACATGTAGCTTGTTGCTAGTCTGGATGGACAAAACTTTTTATCTCAGACTCAGATGGTCAATTTATCAGTTCAGAACATTTTATGGTGGAACTGTCCCTCTCTAGTGAGATGGGATTCTATTTCCAAAACCCAATAACAAAATTGCCTTGCCTTGTCATTGAATCAAATTCTTTCTTCTTTTTTTCCCCTCTTGTCTTCGGTTGTTTAAAATCTGATACCTCGATTTATAATCCAAATTCAAAGCAACGCTGGAAGCCCTTGAAATTATAGACAAGAGCTTAGTAGTAAAGTTCAAGTGTTATCTTCAAGGTTCCAAGCCCCAAAACAATCTTAACTAGAAAGTGGGTTCAGATCTGGCCCAGAACATAGTCGTAGTACAGACCTTTAATGAGTAATCTGACAGATGTTATGGTTATCTGTCTTTAAAGAAGAAGAAGAAGAATTAGTAGTAGTAGGAGCAGGGGTGATTACCATTTGATTTAAATCGAAATATTAATTTTGATTCAGTTTTTAATTCAATTTTTTGAAAAAAACAGAACCAAATTTTCTTTTGGTTCGGTTTATTTTGTAAAATTTTTAGTGTGTTTTAAATTGAAAACTATTTTTTTAAAATAATACAAATATATTAAAAAATCAATACTTCAACATTGTTATAGATATATGATGGATTGATAACGTTTTTTTTTAATCTATTTATATTATTTTAAAAAATTCAAAAAAATTGGTTTGACTTTAAAAAAAATGAAAAATTGAATAGTAATTATGTTCAAGCTCGGTTTTTATTCTTGTAGGTTGGATTAACTGAAAATCGAATCAAAATTTATAAAAAATAAAAATAAAAAAATCGAATGATTACTCTTATAAAAACAATCTTTAGTCTTAACTCTTAATAGTGCGATCTCCAACATTAGTTATATTGTAAGCATTTAATAAAATTTTCTAGTAAATTTTTCCCGTTGGGATGAAAAATCTTTTGTGAAAGAATTTAATAAAAGAATATCTTCTATGATGTAACAGTTTTCATGATAGGAAAATATTATGGAATGAATAAGTGGATTTTTGGCATAAATTCTAATTATCCGTATGTTTTATTACAAACATCACGTTTTTGGGTTACTCATGTACTTTTAGACTAGCTCCTTGGTTGGGCTACTGTAGTTTACAGAGTTCCTAATATTATGAAATAAAGCACATGGATGATTAGGATTTAGAAATACATTTTAGGGTCACTAGAGATGTCAAATATTTTTGTGTTTGGTAGCTAAGGCATTTAAATTTTCAAGGAATCTCAAATGTCCTAAAACATTAGATTACTTGAAATCTTAGGTATTAAATTTTTTTTCTGAAATGATGGGAATTTGAGATGCTAGGGATTTTGGCACTGTGGATTTTTTTTTCCTTAAATACCTTCATTTTTTTCATAATAAGTTGTCTAAGATATCTTTATTTTTATTAATAATTACACAAATGCTTTAAAAGACTAGTACACACTAGAATATAAGTTTAAACAATTAATATCTGTTTTGGCAGCTTTAATTTAGTACAAAAATAATTAATATGATATGTATGTTGCATAATTTGTTAATATATATATTATTTTACTCGATAATAATAATCTTATAAAATTAAATTTGTTGTTCCTTCATTTCAATAAATTAGTTTTAAACACAAATTAATACCAGTATTTATTTATTTTAAAAAGAAGATAACTATCTTATTATCAAATTAGATACTTCAAATGTTAAGGGTAAAATGATAAATTTGTCTGCATTCTTCATGAATTAATTTCAATAATGAATCAAACACAAAAAAATACATTATTAATTTTTTTTTTTCAATCAAATACAAATATTATATGAAAGAATATATAAGAATCCCTGTTCTAAACGCTCTTTCAGAGTTTGAAACAATCGATTAAGAAATTAAATAGGTAGTCTACTGTGACAAAGCCAGTTTTGATAAATGGATTTCATACTTATGTAAAATATAATTATCCAATAAATAATAGGCGAATGATCAAGCATTCAATGGTCTCATTTCCTTAAGCAGGACAATGTAGTTTAATGTGTAAAAAATTTGACAGGTTTTATGATATTCTTTTTAAGGAAGAAGTTATGATAATCAATCTGTTTTTGTTTTTTTTGAACAACATAATGACCAGTCTTGATAATGCCCGGTAATCATTTAAATTATCATATAGGTTTTCTCTATATTAGGGTTCTATATTATTCGAATCTCTTTTATTGAAATTATTTTTTATTTTATTTTTTAGCTTGATTAAAAATTTTTATATTTTAAGATTTATTGCTTTAAAGTCTTTGTTATAATGTTAACAATAAGCAATCGACATACTACATCTATTTTTTGAGATTTTTTTACGTCAAAATATTAATTGATGGTATTATAATAGAAAATATAAAGTAAGAAATCTTCAAGAGTTGAGTATGACAATGAAGCAAACAAAAGGAGAAAATCTTCATAAAAAGAATGAAAAAGTATAAAATCTAAATGTAGAGAAAACTCTATATACAAGCAATGTTGTACGTCGATGTTAGTTTCTCTTTTCTAGGATCATGCCACTTTTTTTTAATCTTTTTTTTTTTAGTTTATAATAATACTGATGCAAATTTTTTTTCCTACAACTTAATTAGTAAATTTATTTTCTTTGAAAATAAATTCCTCGATAAAGAATTTAATAAAATAATAATATCTTCTACAATTAATGACAATACTCGTGAGAATAAGAAAATCTTAACTACGTAATCTTAAATTTTCAAAAATAATAATTATCGAATCAGATTCGATACAATTAATGACACTTTGAGAATAAGAAAATCTTAATTACGTAATCTTAGGTTTTAAAAAATAATAATTATCGAATCAGATTAGATTAATGCTATGCTTGGAAAAATAAGAAAGTTTTATACTAAGTTTATCCAATTCTATTGATGTCTTCATCGAGTCTTTAGCTTCTGTATCTTTCAATCATATTCTTCGAAGGAAAAAAAATTGTTGTAGCTGATTCTTTAACCAATAATAGTTTACATGCAAAATACGAGGTTGTTGTTCATGGCATTTCAAATAGAGATCAATAAAGGGTCTTTCCTTCTCAAAAGGTGAGGTTTCACAACACTTAAAGCTCTATGTTTATATATATATCATATATGAATTCACGAATTTTGAATGGACATTATTTTTCTATTCTTGAACTACAAGTGACTTGGATTTCGTGACTTACAATCACTCATTTCTGCAGAGTTATAACCAAATAAAATCATGACGAACTCCATAAATTTGATCTTATTTCAGAATCAGATATCATTTATGAGATTTTAACACGTTCATATGATAAAAATTACAAAGAGATGCAGGCTTTTTTCTATAGAATGTAAGAGTCTCACCTATGTCATACAAAGCATGAATAGCAATAATTCTTCTTCAACTGCAGTATCTTCTGAAAATTTGAATTGTTATCCTTAATCGTCCCTCAAATCTTTACCCGTAAAGGCTACGACATCGACAAACCTAGGTACTTTGTTTTGTCTTAATCTAATCTCATGGTATTACGTGTGCAGGCCTGCTACCACATTAATGACAAAGAATGCCAGATCCGATTATAACAGATGCAAGATACTGCAACTGGCATGATCGAGTTTTTATCTAAGATTTCACTTCTTTTATGTTTCGGCAGAATTTTTTTATGTTCAAAACGTTAAGATAGTACACAAATAAGCTTAGTTTAACGGTTGTGTATCTAGCTAACTTTTCTAGTAAGATAAGATTCGAATTCTAATAACTTTAGTTTTTTTTATCATCATATAATGAAGAAAGCTACCATATAAAGAGGAAAGCTACCCACATTGTATAACCCAATAAGTCCATTCGGAACATTAATATAGTGAAATGGTCACAGGTCAGGTCTTACCATGGTAGGGATTTTAATCAATACAACTACGTTAGACGTGAGTTATTTGATTCAAAGACCTGGAGACATGAAAGAAGTTGGAGGAAGTAAAATTGCTAAAGTCTGGACTCAATTACTATTCAACCTAAAGTTTTCATAAATGGGCCCATTCATCTGCTCACATGAAGAAAGACATTTGCAGTTCAGGTTTCCGAATAAAAGAAATGCCAAGAACACAACTGAACTCTTTGAATGTAACTGACTATAAGAGGAAAAGCTGACCTTGATTTGAATCAGAGAGAAGACAAAGTTTTGAATTATGCGAAAAAAGAATGGAAGTCCCTCGCCGGCCAAAAGTTGGACGGAAAAGGAACAAGTTTGGTTGGATTTTAGACGCATGTAATTGGTTTTTAAATCTACGTATTCATTGGCGCTAAATTTTATTTTTTATGTACAGCTATCTAGTCCGATGTTATTGTTTTTTTTATTAGACAATAAGATATATTTTTAGATAATTTATACGTTAATTGATATTAAATCTTTTTTTCGACAATGTTAAGAACGTATTTCTAACATCAATCTATATTGATTCTTAAATTTAAACCTAAGAATTAAAGGTACCTTGACAATGTTAAGAAATTTTTTTTTATTTTTTTTATTTTTTTTATTTTTTTTTTGTGTTAGGAATTACATTATGTGCAAAGAAGCTGGTGTTGAACGATTTGAATGATCATGAGAAAAACTAGATTTTCAGTACCCTTTAGTGCAAATAGTATTTGTTGTATGTATAGCGTTTTATGTTCATGCATTTGGACATTGTAACTGTCTCTGTAAATAAGGGTGCTCTAGGGACAGAGATATCCAAGAGCTTGACACAGTGTGCTAGCTCTCACCATCAACTCAAATAATCTCATTAATTTCAATGCATATAGAGGGAAAAAAAGAAAAAAGAAGAAGCTTTTTGGGTTATCATCTAGCCAACTTTCCTACACCAAGACTGTCTCTTCCCTACATTCACGAGAAATTACTCTCCAATGATTTCTTACAAAAATCATATCATGAATGGTAATTAAATTTCGTAGTTGATACTTTATTATTTTCTTGTGATTTTGGCCCAATATTGAATGGTTTGAGTAACGAGCGACAGCTTTGTATATAAGATTATCACAAGAGTAAATTATAAATTATTCCCTTTTGTTTAGAAAAACCGAATTAATTAGTTTTTTTAAAACTAATTATTTAGTTTTTTATATTTTAATTTTGTTAATAACTTAGTATTTTTATTAATTTTTGTTAGATTGTTGATTTTTATTTCTAAATTGCTCTTTCTTCAATTTTTGATTGACGAGAAAAGAAAGAAATAGATGAAGAAGAAAAGTAAAGCATAAAAAAGGATAATTTGAGAAAAAAATCGTTAATATAACGAAAAGTTAATGAAAAAAAAATGATTATTTTTTAAAATAAAAAAAACTAATTAATTTGTTTTAAAAAAAGATTAATTTATAATAAGAAGAAAAGTAAAGCATAAAAAAGGATAATTTGAGAAAAAAATTGTTAATATAACGGAAAATTAATGAAAAAAATATATGATTATTTTTTAAAATAAAAATACTAATTAATTTGTTTTAAAAAAGATTAATTTATAATAAGAAGAAAAGTAAAGCATAAAAAAGGATAATTTGAGAAAAAAAATCGTTAATATAACGGAAAATTAATGAAAAAACTATAATGAAAAAAATATGATTATTTTTTAAAATAAAAAAGACTAATTAATTTGTTTTTAAAAAAAGATTAATTTATAATTTACAAGGGCTCTTATAATTTTAACAAGTCAACGAGTCTTGAGCTAAGAACAGTAATGGTTGAAGCAGGCCAAAAGCCCACTCTACAGTGGTTTAGACTATTCATAAAAAAGACAGTATAGCAAAATGTTTGCCTTCTAGAACCGGACAGATTATGGGCTCTTTAGGGCCCAAGTTTTGTATTTTATGGGCTGAATCCGCTGAACCAATTTTCAATAAATGAAATCTTTTCATTATGTTAAAAAAGTTCACCAAATCCGTCAAAAATAGTATATCTGAAACAAATCACACAATATATATATTATTTTTAATGAGAATCACAAAATATCCTTTAAGGACAGACACCCTTAATATTGTAATTATAAAAAATTAATGATGTAATCTCCAAATAAAGAAAATATCTTTTACAGTGTCAGTGCTCTTTTTTTATTTTATTTTTTCAGTGAAAACACTTATGGGAAAATTGCAAATCTTGGAAATGAAATCTTGAAAAATCTTTTAGCATAATAGCCAATTATGTCAAATTAATTTCCCGTGTATATAAATTCAGTTGCACCTGCACATTTCTGAACAACGATTTGATTTCAATTAATCTGGTCTGGTAATAGAAAAACAATATGTTCTAAGTTATCTATGAACACATCCTCCAAACGAGGAAAACAAGGTTGTTGTTCATGGCATTTCAGAAAGTAATCATTCCTCGGATCATTCCTTTTGTAAGGTCAGTTTTCAAGTCATGAAATAATTTCACATATGTATTTTGTCAGAATGTACAGATTTATTTGCTTACCATTTTCACGTCCCAGAACTAAAAAACGATCGATTCAACTTCTAAGAAAGTTTTTTTGGTCTATTTACACTAAAAAATGGATGCAGGCATGATTTTTTTACAGAAGGATAAAACAACATTTTACCTGCCTTGTTTATTTTTATAGGAACTTTTCTCATTTTAAATGTTGTTTTTTTTTTTTGATTGGGAATTGTTGGTATTTACTTATTCATGTTTACAAAATGGATTTTTTTCCTTCGTGGCAGTGGAAGTCTGGTGGGAGTTGGGAGGAAAAGTAACAAGGTAATTTATTCACATTAAATCACATTGCCTGATAGTGTTGACGGTTACAATTTTTGTTGTTGCCAGAACTGATTCTTTGTGTTTTGATTAACAGCTTTGGAAATGGACATCATCAACGTGACGCATCGCAAGAAGTTGTGAGCGTTGATCCAGCAGAATAAGATCGTAGAAATTCTACGAGACACAGTAATTCGTAGAAATTCTACGAGACACAGTAATTAGTACATCCGACGCTCCGACAGAAAAAGATCGGTAGAAACTCTATGAGACACGGTAATTAGTCCATCTGACAGAATAAGATCGGTGGAAATTCTACAAAATACAGTAATTAATCGTCCACCATAGTTACAAATTCTAGCAGACACAGTAATTAATTGTAGACAATAGTTACAACGATGTATCGTTACTGAATTCTTTTCAGAGTATTAATCAATGAATGATTGACCCATCTTTATATGGACTTCTTTATCTAACCCTGATGATGCAACAGCATAATTCAGAATTTTAATATGTCATGCATGGACATCACTTTCCTAAAGTGATGTTAAGCAAGCAAAAAATAGCGTATCTGTCATTAGCAATAAGCACTTGACATTGAAGAGGGACTCTGATTAAAATTGCGTAAAGAGAAGACTCATTATACACCGGTAATGAGCTTTCGATTAACAAAAAAACGAAGTACGGAACAGATTTACTACAGACAGGAAAAATAGGGAATCTCGGATGCCCTTCTACAATTCATCATTTGGTTCTTCGTATTCAGAGTCAGCTGAGCTTCCGCCACTCTTTTCGTAAACTTGTTTTATGACAGGATTGCAAACTTCTTCCACCTCCTTCAACTTCTCTTCATAATCATCCTTCTCTGCATTTTGGTTATCGTCTAACCATTCAAGTGCTTCCTTCAATGCACTATCGATCTTCTCTTTATCATCCGAATCGATCTTATCAGCAAGCTTGTCTTTGTCATTGATTGTACTTCTCATGTTGTAAATGTAAGTCTCCAACTTGTTCCTAGCATCAATCTTCTCCCTAACCTTCCTATCCTCCTCGGCCATTTCTTCAGCCTCCTTTACCATCCTATCTATCTCTTCTTGGCTGAGACGCCCTTTGTCATTGGTGATTGTTATAGATTGAGACTTCTTTGCTGCTTTGTCCTCAGCTTTCACATGCAGAATACCATTGGCATCCACCTCAAACGTGACCTCAATCTGAGGCACTCCCCTGCAAAAATATGATAATCAGCAATGAAAGTTGCACACCCTACTTCACTACCTTAAACCGTGTCAAACTATAAGTCAGTTGTGGGTCATGAGATTCCAAAATTCCCAAATGTTCGTAGTTCCTTCAACTTGTTTACTGTGAGTCCGTGACAGCATACCTTGGAGCTGGAGGAATACCAGACAGATCAAATTTTCCAAGCTCACGGCAATCCTTTGTTAAGCTCCTTTCACCTTCGTAAACCTGAAAATTTCCAGAATGCATCAGTCTGACGACAGATATGCAAGTACAGATAATGATCGGTAGCATTAGGTATTTCTCTTACCTTTATAGACACTGTGGTTTGCTGGTCTTGGTAAGTGGTGAAGATTTGGGACTTCTTAGTTGGGATAACAGTGTTCCTTGGGATCAATTTCGTCATTACACCCCCAACTGTCTCAATACCAAGACTCAGAGGAGTAACATCAAGTAGAAGAAGGCCTGCAACAGTTTAAAAAAAAAAAAAAAAATCCCATTAGGCATCTCTCATGTTAAGTTGCTTCTTTTATTTGACGGTATTAGGTCGAAACATAATCACAGAAAAATAAGAGCTAAGTAACAACCTTTGGTTTCTTTTCCCCCTTCGCCACTAAGAATTCCACCTTGAACAGCAGCACCATAGGCAACAGCCTCATCTGGATTAACACCTTTGCTAGGCTCCTTCCCATCAAAATATTCTTTCAACATTTCTTGCACTTTGGGAATTCTGGTACTTCCACCAACAAGCACAATTTCCTTGATATCAGTCTTCTTTAATCCCGCATCATCCATAGCCTTCTTCACTATCCCCAGTGTCTTTTTAAATAAGTCTAAGTTCAACTCTTCGAATCTTGCCGTTGTTATAGGCTCTGAGAAATCAACACCATCGATAAGGGATTCAATCTCTACTCGAACTTGGTGTTGGCTACTCAATGCTCTCTTAGCTCTCTCACATTCTCTTCGAAGCTTCCCAAGAGCCTTCTTATTTTTACTTATGTCTTTGTTGTACTTCTTCTTGATCAACTTGATGAAATAGTCCATCAATCTATGATCAAAGTCCTCTCCTCCCAAGTGGGTGTCACCACTAGTAGCAAGAACCTCAAAAACACCATTATCGATAGTCAAGATGCTAACATCAAATGTACCACCACCAAGATCATAAACCAAAATGTTCATATCTCCTCCTTTCATGTCCAAGCCATAGGCAATAGCTGCAGCTGTAGGCTCATTGATTATCCGAGCCACATTTAGCCCGGCAATGATTCCTGCATCCTTCGTGGCTTGCCTTTGCGCATCATTGAAGTACGCTACAACAAAGAACAAAAAGCAACTTCATCAGACAATATTCAAAAAATAACGCTCGAACAGACCCAAAGAAAAAGGCTTGAAACGTACCCGGAACAGTGACAACGGCGTTTTTAATCGTCTTCCCCAAGTAAGACTCAGCTGTTTCTTTCATCTTTCCCAATATCATAGCACTGATTTCCTCAGGGCTAAACACTTTAGTCTCTCCTTTCACCTTCACTTGTATATAAGGCTTACCATCCTTATTCACAACCTTGTAAGGTAAGAACTTGATATCTCTTTGAACTTCTGGGTCATCAAACCTACATCAAATCAAGTGAAGTCAACACCAACCGAGTTCAATTCATCTCTGAAAACACAAACACAAAATGAATTCGAATTACAACAACGCTAAGAACTTCGAGAGAAGCTATCTGCTTACTTTCTTCCAATCAGACGCTTAACATCGAATATTGTGCGTTCAGGATTCATAGGCGCTTGATTCTTTGCCGCCTCTCCGATCAAACGCTCGGTGTCGGTGAATGCCACCCATGAAGGAGTTACTCTATTACCTTGATCATTGGCTATAATCTCTATTTGGCCGTTTCGAGAGACAGCCACACAAGAGTAAGTAGTCCCAAGATCAATGCCAATCACAGTCCCTAGTTTTGTAGCATCATCTGCTGCCACTGATAATCCTAACAAAAATTCTTCAAAAAGGTGCAAAAAAACGAAACTTTTTAATACAAATTTCAAAGATAAAAGATTGCGTTGAAGTGAATCAACAACAACTTCTACATACTTTCTTAGTTTTCAATTCTATAGAAACGAATGGACATTGGACACACATTTTTCACTTTTTTTTGGCCTTTTCTCATTCGTTGAGACTTCATAGTATATTTCCCTCAATACCCAGTTTGGTTTCCTAGAAAATCTAACCCCACAAAGAAAATAGTAAGCTAAAATGATCGTGTAAGTAAACTATCAAATTTTGTTAATTTAACAACCTTTTAAGCTAATTTCTCATCACCAAAAACAGAGCATTTGGTTTCAAACCAATCCATTAGCAACAATCAATCATCAGGAAATTAAATTAAGCTCGCTTAAATAGAAAGAAATGATCAAAACCAAGTATTTAAGTTCCTTTTATCATTTCTCATTGGCAAAAAAAAAAGAAAAAAAAAGAGAAGTAACCATTAAAACCAACAAACTTGTACCAAAAAAGAAATTCCAAAAAACATTCTCGTAACAATTCTTCTTACCTGAAAAAAGAGAAACGAAAAGGCGAAAGCTGCCTTATTCTTGATCCTCATTGTTCTTGCCTTTATTACAGTGAAAATATGAAAAAAAGAGAACAAATTTTCTCTGTTTCTTTTCTTGCTCTTTCTGTTTTCTTGAAGCAAAGCCAACAAGCTGGTTATAATTCAAAAGGGGTGAAGTTAATATAACGGTCGGTGTATGGTCGATAGAGTGTTCAATCCAATAGAAACGAGCCACGTAGATCCTTCTTCTTTTTGGCTGCGCCCTTCAAGCTCTAGCACGTTGTAGTTCCAATAGAAACTTTACACGTGCATAGCTGTGGGTTTTAGCTGGTTTTGTCTTGAAGGTTCCTGATCTTTGAAGAGAATTGTGGCGGGACTGTTTCAGGGGTATTTATAGAAAAGGATACTTTCTATAAAACGATACCGTTTCCTATTTTTCACTTCACTTTCTATTGTATTCGACGTTGCAATTGGGAAATAAAGGCACAAGCTTGAAAACTAACAAGTAAATTCAGTAGTGCTTGAATTTTCTCTTTTAATGCCTCCCTTTTAGTTCTTTTAATGTTTTCGAGTATTGCTGTGTATTTATTAAAAATTTCTTTCACATATCTTTTTTTTAATCCGAATCTGAAATGTTAATATAAATAAATAAATTTATTTTTCCAAAACAAGAGATAATATAAATAAGAAATTCACATCCCACGTAAACTTAACAACTAAAGAGCAAGGACCATCATTTACTTGTTAGCTTTATTAGTATTTAAGGAACTTTTGAATGACATGGGAAATTTAGAGAAATATAATATAAGTTATGACGAGTTTAAGAAAACTAATTTAGTAAATAAGAATGATGTTGATGAAACGCTAAATTGTGACATTTAGATTATAATATTTGATATTTATTTTTACAAGAGTTGGAAAATTAGTCACAATGTTTTAGAAATCCTACAAGCATAGAGCATACTCATTAATGTTATCATTAATATTAATGGTGTCGGATGTAAAGGTGATCATTTAGTTTTTCAGTTCAGTTTTAATTTTTTTTCAATTACTTGAATTGACTAAAATAAAAACTAAAATCGAACCGAATTAAGATTCGATTTTTCGGTTAAAAAATCGAATTTTTTCGATTCAATTTTCGATTAAAAACTTGTTTTTTTTACATCTTTTCTTTTGAATTTTGAATTTTCTCCGGCCTAAGCCGAAAGACCACTTTTTTGTAATTTTTTTTCAAGGAATGCTAATAACTTGAATTGAAGTTTTAGTAAAGAAAATTATAGAAAAATGCTACGGTAGTCTCCTATCTATCAAAAATTTAGATATAACAACTTGAATAGTGCTCATCCGTAACTAATTCGATACCAAAGAGCTTGTAACCTAGTAATAGTGATCTCTTGTAAGAGATAATGGGTCTAAATCCTAATAAATTAGTTCTGCTAGGAGCCTTGTGTGTGTGTGTGTTTAAAAAAACATTAATTCAATTTTCAGTGGAAACTGAATTTAAAAAAAAACTAAACCGAACCAAAATAATTTTAGTTTTGGTTTTTTTAGAAAAATTTTTTAATATAAAATCGAACCGAAATTGCTAATTCAATTCGATTCAATTTGATTTTTTTTTGTTTTAATCAAATAGTATTCACCCCTAGTCAGATGTGACAGGCGTAACTCACTTATAGTTAAATTTGTGTTTTGGGTGTACTGTATTTATATTTAGAGACAAGTGGCTTTCTAAAAAAATATACATATGTTTTTTTCTTTTTTTCTTTTTGCCTGCACAAAGCTTGTGATTTATGAAGGGAAGAGCCCATATATGGTAGAAAAGCGTACTTGTGAGTGTTGGATCTATGAGGCTTTAAGGAAAAGAGTTCATTTTGAGAAAAAGAGTCCATGATAGCGAGATGGCCTACCTTTGATGGGTTTTGTGGGAGTCTAAATTTCAACTATCATCAATTTATGTTGCTGATTTAGGGTTTTCTTGCTGCTTTTGTCTCTTAAAAATTGTTTAGCTCAAAGCATTTTATTTGAAAATCTGATCTGACTTAGGATGATTTGATTGTTATTGCAAATCCTTTACGTAATCAATTCAATCTAACTCAGTTCACTTAACAAAACCTTGATCCCAGCTACGTGGGATTATAAGGCAATTCAAACTAAACAAGCCAAAGCCCTACACGAAATTCACAAAAAATAAGGTTACATTCAACTTGGTGATTGGATGATAATCCTATAAAGTATTAACACACAAAGCAAAAATCCAATCTATCTAAACGGAGCAAGAGGGTTGGGACTGCTAGGGATTTTCAGGCTCCTAAGTTCTTTACAGACATGATCTAACATTCCCAGAAAGTCTCTTACAATCACGAAAATACGAAGCGGATTGGCTTCATCTTTGCTCACATTTCCATGGAAGTATTCAGTAATTTCCCTAACATGTAATAGGACTCTATCTTCGTCTTCCCGCAGCTCCTTTAGATTCCTTGCTGCATAATTTAGGAAGGTTTTCATTGTATGAACAAAATTTCTGCTCTTTTCGTCGGTTGACAAGTCCTTGTTTACCAGATGTTGTAATTTAGCCATTCCATCTGACAGGTTTGAGACTGAGCTTGCAAGAACATCCAGGTCTATTGTAGCTGTTTTCTTGGCATTGTAGAGTTCTGTGCTTAGACCAGAAACAAGGTCCAGTCCCATTCTTCTGTAGTCTTCTTCCCTTTCTTCGACGGTTTTGGTCTTGTTTTTCTGATCGATCTTCCCCATGATGCTATCCGATACTCGAATCCCTTCTGACCGGATTATTTCTTGGACAACGAAATGGAGTAAGGTGGTTTTACCATCTGTTCCTTTCACATCAGAAAGCTTAAGGAGCGCATCAAGCTTGAATGCTTTCGCTCCTCCTCTGATTGTTCCCACATTCATTCGGTTGCCCGTTTTGAGCACAGCTTCAAGCAACTTTAAGAAGAGTCTGCTTGACCTGAGTTCTTTGCAGGCCTCCTGGTAGAAAATAAGAATTAGAAAGACGAAACAGGCAAATATAAGCTGTGCTGCAATATTGTTTCGATGAAAAGACGGTGTGTTGTATGGTTCGAAGGTTACCTCTAGCATTGAAAAAGAGTTTCTCAGATGAACCACCTCATCTTCAAAAGTTTCTCTATAAAGCATTGCTTCAACTCGTTGAAAGGCAAACGGTATGCCAAGAACTCCTCGAACAAACTTCTCTGCAGACCCCAACTCATTGATGTCTCCTTTATAACCGAACAGCTTAGCCTCTTCTTCCTTAGTAGGTACCATCTTCGCCAGTGCCTCGAGTTGTTGTAAACACAAGTCATCCCCTAATGTTCATAGTATTAATTGGTTTGTTATAGACATATAGGATATATGGTCTGTATATATTTGTGCTCAGCACTCATTTCTAACGATAAGTATCAAAAGAATTTATAGTTCGTTGTAACGATAAGACATCTAATAGGAATTCATTTCTAACATACCTCTCATTAGTGCATTGCATACTTGCTCAGCAGTTGCATTTATGGCCTTTGAGAGAATGGTGAGGTTCTGCAGTCTCTTTGGCTCGAGCACATGCTTGCTTGGCGAAGGAGTTTTGCTCTTTGCTTCATCGTTCTTCGATGTGCTTTGTAAATTGTATCCAAAAAGTGATTCAATCATCTCTTCATCGAATCTGTTACAGAAACCTCATGTAAATAAGCTCCAAGCGGAAGATTGGAACTATACTGTAAATACAAACACACAAACTTACTCGAATGAGCTTGATCTTATCTTGTCCCACACCATGCTTTGGTCTGGTGCTGCTCTAACTTTGTCCCAATGAAGTGGCTTCAATTTTGGCAATGGTGCTCCATCTTTTCCCAATGGTGTATATTGAGGGAGTTGAGATGGCGGAGGAGGTGGGCCTTTGACAGAGCCACTATTTCCTTTCAGAAATGGAGGTGGAAATGAGGGAGGAGGTAGGCCTTTGGTTGATCCTCTATTTCCTTCTAGAAATGGAGGTGGGATTGGCGGAGGAGGAATACTCGATAGAGCTCGTGAAGGTTTGAGAGGCTTTTGAGGTGAAGGCGGTAAGTCACTTCGAGGTGTTCGGCTTGATCCTGAAGAAGCATCTGACTTCCTAGGAGGTGATAAATTTGGCAATGTAGAAGAACTTGAAGCTTTAGGTGTAATTCTGGTTGACCGCAACGATGTGCGTGAAGGAGGTATGCACATTCTTGGTGCCCGAGCAGGTGGAGGAGGAGGAGGTGGTGGGGGAGGCGGTGGCGGTTGGGATGGGGATTGGGTTGTGAAATACTTATCATGAACTATTGTTACTTTTGGAATGTCTAAATTTGTAGGAGGTGGTAAAGGAGACGGTATTATCTTCAGCACATTTGAGGAGGAAATTTCTGAAATATCACCAAGACTACCAGCCGAAGCATTCGAAAGCCGGACATTAGATGTTTGAGAATCAACGAAAGAGTGAAAAGATTCATCACCTGATGAATGGCATTCGAAGGGAATAATTTTATCCCCAGATGAAGAGTCACCACCATCAGATTCATAATTTACTGATTCCACATCCTCGTGAATAGACGTGATTTCCCTTGTGGAAGAACTACTAGCATTATCTGAATATGATTTTATTATCAATTCTTGCTTTGATTCCTGCCTCTCATGTATTGTAGACTTTGGAGTGCTATGATTTGATAACATTTGTACAGTTTCAGGAGTTTGCTTAAGATATGTAGTTTGCTGCTCCAAATCCTTTTCTAATGAATTGAGATACAAGAGATCAAGGGCAGGATTTAAGCTCACCTTGCTTGCTGACTTATGGGAACTCATAAACTTTGATTTACCTCTGCTTCTTCCTTTTTTCCTGTGCACCGACATTATTCTTGTCGATTTTTTCCTGTGCTCCCTGAATTTGCCAGAGAACCAGATGAGCCCAAGAACACAAAGCAAGAAGGCTGCTCCTGCAGACGCTAGAACTGCTATAAGAACTCTTTTGAGTCTACTTTTATCTTTGTGCTCTTTCTGAATCTTGTGCGGTGGTTGGGCTGGATGTTTGTGATGCAGTGGAGAATAGGGATGGACATGAATTTGCAGCCTTGGAGCAGGAGCAGGAGCAAAAGCTGGAGGCTCAGCTTCCATGGTGGCTGATGGAGAAGGTGCTGGTAACACAATTGAGGAGCTTCTTGTTTTGGAACTCTTTAGTCCAAGTAAAGCTCTAAACTTTTGAACTATCAATGTTTCTTTCTCGTCATTCTCATCGTCTCCTGAAACTTTCTTAATTTGCTTCTCATTATTAACATCTTCAATACTTTCCTCCATGAAACTCAACTTTGGTAGGCCAGGAGCTTTGAAGTACCCTTCTGCATTCACTGAAGCATCATCAGAAATCAAAATGTGGGGGCATTGTAATAATATGAGCATGAAAATAGTGATGATGAAGATCATGTGGAGAATCTGAGGAGCACAACCCATGTTCCTCAACTAGAAACAATCGCAGCATCAAATAACTTTCTGCTTATAAATCTAGTACATTGTTTTCTTAGGTTCTTTTTTCTTGAAAAAAAGTAATTTATTTTTGGGTGGTGTAGGTGTTGTAACAGTGAAGAAGATGTAATGCAGTGTCTTTAATGCTACTCCAAGGAACCCCTGAGCCTTGGCAGTTGTAGTTGTATTGGGCCTTCTTTACTCTTCTCTTCATAGATTCTTATCTCTGCTCGCCTCCATAAATTCCCTGATAACATTGTTAAATGTGTATTACAGTTTGTCTTTAGGACACTTGTCCTCCAATTTTAATTTGTTTCCCCATATGTTTAACTTTCCTATTATTCTCTTTGTTAAAGAAAAGCTGACTAGGTGAAACATGTTTTGTTTTTGCTCTTCATCAAATCATAGACTTTATCATTTCCTCAGTTAAAAAGTGATACCAAAATCTTCAGCTTCTGAAGTTCTGAGTCATGGGATTTTGCAATTCAACAAAGCTTTTTAGTTGCTAAAAGCCACAAAATCAGTCCATGAAAAAGTTTCCTATGTGGGTCCCCATTTTTGGTTGGACTTGCCTAACCTTCCATGAGGGTGTTGGTGCAAGTTTTCTCCTCCAACCTCCCCATAATTGATGGGAGAGAGAGAGAGAGAGGAATAGGGTTTATGGTCCATCACTTTCTCATATGTAAGGGTGTGATCTTGTCATTGAGAAACTAAAAAACAACATCTAAGGTTGAACCAATCTTTTATGTTGAATTATGGGAGGCTAAAAAGGTTGCTACTCTATAGTAAGAATCCCTTTCCCATACTTTTTAATGCTTCTACCACCAAATTGGTTACTGCTGCTGCTTTCAGGTTCACAATGTGGTACCATGGTTTGGTAATTGGTGGGACAGAAGCTGATTTCTAAGACATCCTGAGGTTATTTGCTTCCAGTTGTCTGTCACAAAAGAGAGAGGGTGGAGTTCTAAACATAATTTTAAATTGCAAACAATTAAAAATATGATCATTGATTGCAGTTTAATATAATATTAAAATAATTGTAATAGAATGTTTCAAAATCATTATATAGTGTAATGGCTGTTATTTAAAACTACTTATAAACCCAACTGCATCCTCACCATGTTATCAACAATTGACTTAAAGTCTTAGCTAGTTATGATCTTTAGGACTAATCTATATGCCATCTATCATGAGGGATCTCTTTAGGAACTCAGTTGAATATTTTTGAGCCCAGATAAAGCGAGAAAGATAGATGATTAAGTTTCTTAATTCTACTTTAGAAAAAGAGTAGCAAACTGTTCTGTTTGCCACTAAACCAATCCCATTTCATACATGAAATAAACAAGTTATTGAGCCACACCCAAAAAGCAGAAGAAAACAAATCAGGCTGGCTAGATAACAAAACAAGTAAAGAATATTCCCTTTAATTCATGAAACAAGTTAATTAAATCATTAGCAGATCAATGATTAATCTTTGTTTTTCTTAATTCAACTCAGGCAATTCCAAGTCAATTGAGGGACCTGGGGTGTTTTATTTCTAACTACTATTTTGGATTTTGGCTAGAATCAATGACGTAACTTTACACTAAAATTTCAGTACTAGACTGTTGATAATCAAAGCTCAAACAAAATCCCTCTGTTTTTTTCTTTTTTTCATAGGAAAGACTTCTGCAGCAATGCTTCTCCTTAATTAAGAAGCATACATGATATTGTTGGACATTAGCCAAATTTACAACAAAAAAAAAGAAGATAAGTCTATAGAAGACATTTATGTGGCATTAGATATGAACTGTTGCTGGGTTTAAAGAGTCTTATTATTATAATTGATCAAAAATTAGACGTTATCTCACATTAGTTTAACTCAAAAAATCATGGATTTAATTTTGATTGATTCAAAAATACCTTACTATCTATATTAAAAAAAAAAAAAAAAAAAAAAGAGAAAAGAGAAAAAAGACAAAGGTAAGACTGGAATGTCAATGATGAACTGATTAACCATATTCATAAAAGATGGATTTTACAAGGAAGGGTATTGGAGGACAAAATCTCACTGTATCAAAAATTATCTTCTTTAGGTACAGGGATTCTGATTTTGAAGGGTTTGGCCAAGGAATATGTCCTTAATTACGAAGCATACATGATATCGCGGGACATTAGCCAAATCTACCCAAAAAAAAAAAAAAAAAACAGTCTAGACAAGGTTTTTGTATGGGGCTAGAGACTAATATAAATTATATTCTAACGTCTCATTTATCAGCTTAAGCTTTTAGGTGTGATAATCCTTTAATATGTGAAATTAAATATGAGTTGTTATTGGGTTTAAAGAATCTGATCATTAGAATTGATTAAAAGTTAAAGGTGATATAACATTAATTTAACTCAAGAAATCATGGATTTAGTTTCGGTCAATATAAAAATTGATTCAAAAATATTTTATTATCTGTAAAAAAAAAAAATGAAAGACGGAGGTAAGCCTGGAATGTAAATGATGAACAGATTAACCATATTCATAAAAGATGGATTTTACAAGGAAGGGTATCGGGACAAAATCTCCCTGTATCAAACATTATCTTCTTTAGGTACAGTGATTCTGATTTTGAAGGGTTTGGCTAAGGAATATGACTATAATCCAAATCAGTCCAAACAAGATGCAGGTGGTCATCTTATAGTACTGTCTGTTCTATTAGATGTGACACAGGAATTCTATATGTTCAATACTATTCACCGTTTTGTGGTAAGAAGTAAGAGGCAAGAATCTTATGTCATGTGTCCTATAGGAAAAACATGGATGCAAAACGATATGGGGGAAGACAAATTAAGAATGCTGGTCCAAAATTTTCGTTTCAATTCTACCTTAAAAAAATATATATTTATTAAATTATTTTTTTTTTCATGAAATACTGATCATTTATCATTTGTACTAAACAATTAACAAGTTACTTTGTATGGAAATTTAGTAGATTTTTTTTTTGTAAATTATTTTCCATCCTGAAGATTTTTGTTAAGAAACTGAACATCGATTTTTTTTTTTTAATTCCAAATTCAGGATAAGAAAAAAGTTCCCTTACCAACTAGTTGGGTTTTTTTTTCCTAATAATTAAATTGGGCTTTTAGAAGTGTTGGCCAAGGAAAAATTAGAGGATTTTTTCTTCGAAACATTGAACAACAATGGGCTTTTATGTGACACGAACACATTCCATTCATCGAGACAGCTATGTAGTGGTAGATGACCATGGGCTTTGGCCCATATGGTAGTTCAATAATTGCCTGCAGTGGTATAAGAAAGTTAAAGGATTAATTATTAATATGATTATGGAATTTTTTAATAACGTCTTCCATTTATAATTAGAATATTATATCTATAAAGTTGTTAGAAATAATTTTTTGACTCATTCGATGTGCAACAAGTATTCATATACAAAATTTATCTTGATTGTCAATTTTTAAAGCAAAACATAGCCTGAAGAAATGAGATTTTAGTTTCAAAAATTTTTGAAATTGAAAAAATATTAAAAAAAGGAAGACACTTTTTATTATTGAATAAAAAAATAAAACAAATCATTTTAGCATTTTGTTTAAATCTTTGGTTTAGATGATAAATGTGAAATTTTATACTTAATTTAGAAATGGATGTGTAAAATCAACTTACGAGGATTTATTCCTAGTATAAGAAAAGGGTTTTTTCTTCATTTAAACCTTCTTTTTTTTTTCATGGAAACTTTTAATTCTTTTTAAGTTTGTTTAAAATTCTCTATTTTTAAAAATTTTTTACTTCAAATTCCTTGTTATAACATTCCTTAGTTAATGATCGACATACGAATTAGATTTTTTATTTTACAATATCACTTGTCGATCATTGATTTGTAACATTATAACGAGAGGATATGAAATAAAAAAAAACTCAAAAAATAAAAAAATTCAATAAATTTTAAATTTCAAAAAATACAAGATTTAAAAATAGGGTAAACCATATAAAAAAAACTCGCTCAGGCCAACATCCATTAATTTTTTTTCTTCCTCTTAATATCCACTTTCAAAACGCCATAGATAAGATGCTCAACATTTGTGGAAGCTTGTCAATCGAAATGAAAACCTTGCTTGAAGTAGGAAGCGAAAACTACGTTTGACCCTTATAGCGATTATGTGTTTGATTTTTCAACAAAACGCGTATTAGCTTTCGTATTTAGACAACAAAAGGTCAGAGTCACATAGGATATATAGGAGCAAACCTTTCACTTGTTTTGACAAGTTGTTGATTCGATTGTCTTCTATTTTACATGGAATATATATATAACTAACTCGTAGCATCACTATTGACAAAGGGCAAAACCTAAATGAGAATGCCTTCAAACTTGACTGGTTTTTTGGTTAAATCAAGAGGCTCTTCGCTGATTTTGGTAAATGCATGGCAAGTTCTTTAAATGGCGTTTTCAAAACTCATACCCAAACCAACTCTTGTATTTATATGTGTACACTTGTGTGTCATTGTTAATCATTTCCTGTCTTTTTGACATCTCTGCTAATATTTAAAAAAGCAATCAAAGTTGAATGTGTTTTTTACTGGGATTATACGTGGGCAGGTTATTCCTTGACGTCATCATTAATTAAGGACAATGCTCATTATTACAAGTTAGGAATATAGTGTTGTCTAAGATAAGCCAAAAAATGAAGAAAAAAGCAAGAAAATGGTATATTGATCACGGGTTGTATTGACTTTTTTTGTTAATGGTTGCCAAACAATATATAGCTTGCAATTAAGAATTTTAAGATGGATTAAGAGTGTGTTGGATAGTTTGATTAGTTTTTTGAAATAAATTAAAAAGTTAGATGTGTCGCTCTTCTATTTCTAAATTTTTGATTGCATATTTTTTATCCTTAAAAAATTTTAAAATGTTTAATATGCATTTTCGATTAAATTTTTCTATCATAAATTTTTTTTAATCCAAATTTCTATTGTTAAAATTAAAGAAAAAAAAAACATTTAAAGCTACGTAACTTACATGTTCAATTATTTATTTACTTGCTTGCATTTCAATCAGAGTCATCCAAGTCAAAAAAAATTTATGGAAAAAACATATTAAATATTTTTAAAAACAAATAAAATTTAATTAAAACTCTAAAAATATATGAAAAACTTTATATATATATATCCGCATAGCTAACCACACCCCAAAAATCACTTAATTATGTTGTGAAAACAAAAGGTGAGGATCGTTATTCTTTGAAAACGAGAATGGCAAGTAATATGCACAAGAAAGCAAAAAAGAAAGAAATTAAGACTCCACGTCCCATGGAATTAATTAATAATGATTAAAATCAAAATTATAATATAATAATTAATGCTGTTTATAAAGTGCAAAATTTCGCAAAAAATTATAAAATTATGATGAAGGGACAGAAAGTTTGATACAAAAGATTTTACCAAAGTTCTTTTATTTTCTCTATCTGTTATTTTTTTTCCAAAAAATATGAAGATAATATTTATTCAAGGGCACAAAAAAAGAGAGCTGAAAATGACAAAATTTTTTTGGTAGAATTCTAATATTCTAAAGGTGAGTACTTTCCCTAGCTAACACTCTATCTCTTCTTAGTTCCCTCTTTAAATTAGTTAATAATCACCAAATAATAAATAAATAACCTCAAGAAACTGCCTGATAACCCACCGCTGTGGAATATGACCAAAATTTATTCCATAAGCAATTGCCTGCAATTTTGTTGACATCATTAAAGACGCACATGAATCATCATTGACTAATTAGGCTGTTAATATTAATTAATTTATGTGTTTCTGATGTCGGCTTCGCAAAGATAAATATCTTGATTAAATTAAGTTAAGCACTAACCCATTGTCGATTATTTTATTTGATCATTAACATGTGATTGCACAAGAACCTCATTATTATCAACAAAATGGGATTAGCAAAGACGCATTAACAAAAAAGTTAAGGGTTTGGTCTTGATTGTGATTTTTATTCAGTATTTTTACCTCCTCATTAAGGCACTAACCCATTTATTTGCTCCGGAGTAAATTATAAATTAGTCCCTCTAATTTTGAAAAATGAATTGATTAGTCCTTTTTGTTTTAAAATTTAATTATTTAATCTTTTTATCCATTTTATTTTCTTTTCTTTCAGAAATAAAAAATAAATAAATATTATATAAAGATTCATGAGCAAAGAAGACATATTTTAGAATAAAACAATATTAAATTTAATATATGGTTAAGAGATTAAATAATTAGTTTTTTTTTAAATTACTAATTAATTCGCTTCTGAAAATTAGATAGATTAATTTATAATTTACTCGTTTACTTTAGACTATATCAAACATTTCTTTCAGTTTTCAAATTCTTCCTTCTTTTGCCATTTTCTTTATTAATTTAATGATTCTTTTCCTCTAAAACTCCAATATGATCTAGAAATCATTTCAACTACTTTCTACATTGAAATTAAGCCTTTCTTTGTATTACAAGTTACTTGCATGACATATTAATTTATTCCATTTTAAGACTACTATTAGAGATGTTCTCAAACAATGAGATTACACGATATTATGCCGTATTGCATGCATCATAAACAATGAGACCACCATATACAACATCACATTGCACCAAAAAATAAAAAAAAATCAATTCATTGTAAACTTCAAAATTCTTAATTCCCTTGTAAATACAAGGTACCGTAAAATTAACCGAATGCATTCGTCATAGTATTAATTTTTGACCTATATTTTTTTTTTAAAAAAATAATAATAATTTCTTACTAATAAATTGTTGATCTAGTGACAAGCGAGTTACTTTCCATACAAATTTCTTACCGATGTGTAGGATTTGAATCTTGGAGTTATACTTGCTAGAAGGAGTTAAATCATGTCGTTTTCGTTTCGAATAAGATTAATCCTATCCTGGAGTTGTACTAGTTATGAGGGGTTAAAACTTGTCGTTTCCATCCCAAACAGAATTATTTTTATCTTTAATATAGGATGAAAATACATGAATAAAAAAATAATAATAATCTCGATACAAGTATAAAAAAAATAAAAACTAGTATAAGAATACATGCAAATTGCATTTCTAAAATGGATAATTACACTATAAGTATGCCAACTTTTAACTTTTTCTCAATCAAGTACATGAATTTTAATTTTTTGTGTTTGAGTACATCCAACTTTTTTAAAATTGTCAATCAAATACTTCGTCAATTTTTCTGTTCACTAATGACATGTCCGGTACTATCAAATTATAATTTTATACTTTTTCTTAATTGAGTACATGAATTTTAATTTTTTTTCATTTCGATACATCAATTTTTTTAAAAATGTCAATTAAGTATTTTCATCGCTTTCTTCATTAATTGATGATGTATTCGAATATAAAATTATAATTTTATCCCCTTTGGTTAAAAAAAACCTTCTCCTCAAATTATTTTACTATTTTATAATTTGAAAAATAATTTAAAAAATATTTTTTATCTATAAAGTTTCAAATTAAACTTAATTAGGTTGTTGTTAAAAAAAAATTCAGTTATATTTAAAAGTGAAAATTGAAGAAAAACAAAAATGAATCCTCTCGATGAAAATCTCACGCTTGTATCTCCTTCAATTTTCATGTCCAAAAACCTACTTGATTTTTTTTTTTAACAACAAGTCTTACTAAGTTTAGTTCGAGATTTTATAACTAAACATATATTTTTTTAATTCATTGTCAAATTTTAAAATAATAGAATAATTTAAAGAGAAAGTTCCTTATAATAAAAGATAAAAAAAATATAATTTAGTGTTCGGATATGTCATCAATTAATAGAGAAATTGACTAAAATACTTGATTGATAGTTTTTAAAAAAGTTAATGTATTTAATTTGAAAAAATTAAAGTTCATACTCCATTGAGAAAAAAAGAGCAAAATTATAATTAGGTATTTTGAGGATCACGGACACTTCATCATCGGTTAACAAAAAAATTGACGAAAGTACTTGATTGATAGTCTTGAAAAAACTGATGTATTCAAACAAAAAAAATTAAAATTTATATACTTGATTGAGAAAAGATTGAAAGTTGATATACTTATATTGTAATTATCTAGTTTCTAAAACAAATAGCGGCTGTGCAATTCTAAAGAAGTGTTTACTTTGTTAAAACATAGCCAAATTACAAGAGTTAAGGATTTCCTCCACAGATAAGAATTAAACAAGAGCATCATTATGTTGACAAATATTATTATACCCTACCCCATTAGTTATCAATGCTTGACCTTCCACTAATACAAACTTTATAATTTTTCTTCATGTTCGTTAGATGTCTTTTACTCTCTTGTCTCTTGTTTGACAAAACTAAGTAGGTGTTAATGTTCTTTTGAATATTCTTCGAAGATAGAATTGAAGAAGTATATAATCTCTACCCACTACGAAGAACCAACACTTCAAAACAACCCAGATGCGCCCCTGGGTTTCTCTGTTTCTGACTTTTTTCGTCATTCCAAATCTTCCACCATAGCCACCCCACATGAATATAAATTCTTGGCACTCTTCTTGACGTCCTCAAGGCAATTTTCTAAATCTTTCTTGCTAAACTCCACCTTCTTCTCTTCTTTAGCCTTGAACAAGCTGAAACCTTGCAAGGTTTTACCATTTCGAGTCAATTTCAGGTAGAAAATTTTATGTTTCAATATGCATTTCATCCAATTTTCTTCACGTTCCAATGTTCAATGATTGCTTGCACTCCTCTTCTCAAATCAAAACAAAACTAACATGATAGATCCTACCCCAATTTCTCCAGCGAAAGATAGTAGTAACATTTATCTAAGGGAATAGTAATTCAACAATGCACTCAATTAGCATCCTAATTTTTGCACCAACATTACTAAAATGGTTGTTATTGATTTTCATTTTGGTCCTTAATTCAGGGGGACAAGCTAGCACTGTTTCAAAACTCCAGAAGAAACGAGATGGAAATTCAAGAAAACCATCAAGATTCATGGTCAGAGACAGAAAGCAATAGCAGCACAAGAATTGGCTACAGTGGTCCGTTAAGCGGTCCATTGGTGACCACCGCTAGGAAAAGCAGCAGCAAGAAAAGTGCAAGATTCAGAGATGAAGAATACGTTGAAATCACTCTAGATGTTCGTGATGATTCAGTTTCTGTGCAGAACATCAGGGGAGGTGATCCAGAGGCAGCATATCTTGCCAGTCAATTGGAGAGAAAGCACCATTCACTTGGGTCACAGCTTTCTTTCAAGCTAAGGCGAGTTTCGCATGAACTTAAAAGGATGACATCTTCCAAAAGGTTTAATAAGGATGATAGGAGCAAGTCTGGAGCTGCTCGTGCCCTGAAAGGGCTAAAGTTCATGACCAAAAATGTTGGAAGTGAAGGTTGGTCTGAAATTGAAGCCAGGTTTCATGAATTGGCTGTTAATGGATCCCTTCCGAAATCGCTATTCGGCCAATGTATAGGTATGTAATGGTGAAATTATGTACTCCCTTCATTTCTCCATTGTCTTGTTTTATTTTTATTTTTATTGGTTTCAAAATATTTGTCTTGGTGAAAATATTAAGTACGTATTTATTTTTAAAGATACTTCTAATTAAAATCCATTTTATAAAAGACTTACAACTAAAATTTAATAATTTTGAAAAATATCAACAAGAAATAGTTATATGACATACTAATTAATGATTTTTTGAAACCACGTAAAAAAATCAAATATGATAATTTTTTGACACGGAAAAAATAGTAATTGTAATTTAGAATGAGTTTATTTTCAAATTATGAAGTTTTCATTTACACATGATAATAACATGAAATGGCGAAATATTCATGCTTTTTAAAACGCCTGAATCAATTTCTTTCATGAAAATAGGCATGTAATTTCATTCCACTTAAGATCTTTTTGTTACATACTATGATTTTTTTTTTTTTTTTTCATTGAATTTGGGATGAAAATGGAAAAGAATAAAACGTCAATATATGTGGACTATGGTATCAATGTTGTCAAATTTTGGTGATGATGTGATTAGGAATGAAAGAATCGAGTGAATTTGCAAGCGAATTGTTTGATGCATTGGCTCGCAGGAGAGGCATAACAACACCTTCCATAATCAAGGCTGAACTGCATGAATTCTGGCAACAAATTACAGACCAGAGCTTTGATGCTAGGCTACAGACCTTCTTTGACATGTAAGAGCCTAGCACTATTGTCAAGCGCTATATATATAAATGTATATATATTATGGGATTTTTGTCTAAGAAGGACCTAATGCAGGGTGGACAAGGATGCAGATGGGAGGATCACTGAAGAGGAGGTGAAAGAGGTGGGAGATCAATATTGAAAAATGAAATGCCAAAAATAATAGCAACGTAACATGAAAATGATTAGGCATTTGTTTTATTTGAATTTTGCAGATTATTGCATTAAGTGCCTCTGCTAACAAGTTATCAAAGATTCAAGAACAAGCAGAGGAGTATGCAGCTCTAATCATGGAAGAACTGGACCCTGACAACCTTGGATTCGTTGAGGTTTATATCCAAAACAACCCTGCTTCTTTCCTAGGGCTGAAAGTTGAATAAAAACAAAGCCAGCTTCAGCCCATTGTTAAGGGCTCCATTAGCTTTTCTCCAATGGCCCAACTTGGAGTACTGCTAGCCTCTTTCGAGCCTGGTCTAATACTCTAAGCAAACTAAACCCATTAAAGGTTGACAATTTCTTTCCAGCCTGACAATTTTTGGTGTGTTCGTGCAGTTATACAACTTGGAAATGTTACTTCTTCAAGCTCCAAGCCAATCAGCAAACCTAGCGACCGATAGTCGCCTTTTAAGCCAACTTCTAAGCCAAAAGCTTGTGCCAACGAAAGATCATAACCCCATCAAGAGAGGTTACCGGAGGCTAGCCTATTTCGTCGAGGACAATTGGAAGAGAATTTGGGTCCTGGCACTGTGGCTTGCAATTTGTGCTGGTCTATTCACTTGGAAATTCATTCAGTACAAGCACCGTGCCGTTTTCCATGTGATGGGCTATTGTGTTACCACAGCTAAAGGTGCAGCTGAGACACTTAAGTTCAACATGGCACTGATTCTTTTCCCAGTTTGCAGAAATACCATTACTTGGCTTCGAAGCAAGACCAAGTTAGGAATGGCTGTTCCCTTTGATGATAATATCAATTTCCATAAGGTATGGTCCATTCAACAAAACGAGCTAAAAATGAACTTTAATGTTGCATCAAAATTCAACAATTATAAATATACAAAGAGAGTCTGAATTTTGTTTCTTTGGCTTGGATTTTTATAGGTAATTGCTCTAGGGATTGCTATTGGAGTTGGGCTACATGCTGGTGCACATCTTACGTGTGACTTTCCCAGGCTACTACATGCCACCGACGACGAGTACCAGCCAATGGAGTCATTTTTTGGCAAGCATCGGCCCGATGACTATTGGTGGTTCGTGAAAGGGACAGAGGGATGGACCGGTGTAGTGATGGTGGTGCTTATGGCTATAGCCTACACGTTAGCCCAACCTTGGTTCCGAAGGAATAGACTAAACCTTCCTAAAACCCTGAAGAAGCTAACAGGATTCAATGCCTTCTGGTATTCACATCACTTATTTGTTATTGTCTATATCCTCTTCATCATCCATGGATACTATCTTTACCTCTCCAAGAAATGGGAGAAGAAATCGGTAAGCTTTTTATTAAGTAGTACTAAATTCATATGCCGCATCGACTGGATTACCAATAACCATATGTTTTCAACATCATAACTTTGTCTAATTCATGGCATTGATTTTGCAATATCGTTGACAGACATGGATGTATCTTGCCGTCCCAATTTTATTATATGCGTGCGAACGCTTGATTCGTGCGTTTCGATCAGGTTATAAAACCGTACGAATATTGAAGGTTCGTCTTCACCTCATTATTAATGTTCTAAGTAATTAATTTTTCAATGTGCATACATTAGATGGCGATTAATTAAGAAGAAAAATTAACATACTGCCATGTCTAAAATTCAGGTTGCAGTGTATCCTGGAAATGTTCTGGCATTGCATATGTCCAAACCTCAAGGATTTAGATACACTAGTGGGCAATATGTATTTGTAAATTGCTCTGCTGTCTCTGCATTTCAATGGTGAGGATTGATCTTTCAGTATATTTTTTTCACTTCATTTTTTCCTGATGTGAGCAATAAAGCAAAATATATGGCGGTGCGCATTTCAGGCATCCATTTTCTATCACTTCTGCTCCTGGAGATGATTATCTGAGCATCCATATTCGCACTTTAGGTGACTGGACATCACAGCTCAAAGCTGTTTTCTCTAAGGTATTCTTCTTTAGCAGAACTTGCTCCAAAATTTTGATTCCACAAATATTCACTAATTCTATGCAAATTTTGATACACAAAACTAAACATTTTCCACCTCTTATTATCCTCCTGTCATTTGGTGAATAAGGTATGTCAGCCTCCATCAACCAATCAAAGTGGCCTTCTAAGAGCCGATATGGCACACCGCGATAATCAGCCTAGGTAATTGCGTTATTTGATTATTTCCCTCTAAATGGTACTTCTTTTTTTGTAATCATTTGAATCATATCAATACGGTACTGATAAAGCACATTATTGGTAGGCTGCCAAGGCTGTTAATCGATGGACCTTATGGAGCACCAGCACAGGACTACAAGAAATATGAAGTTCTCCTTCTTGTTGGACTTGGCATTGGTGCCACCCCTCTGATAAGCATAGTTAAAGATGTGCTTAACAACATTAAGCAGAAAAAAGAAATGGAAGAAGGGATAGTAGAAAGTGATGTGAAGGGCAACATGAAAAAGCCTTTCGCGACTAAACGAGCCTACTTTTACTGGGTCACTCGCGAGCAAGGCTCGTTCGAGTGGTTCAGAGGAGTGATGAATGAGGTAGCGGAGTATGATCAAGATAGGGTTATTGAACTTCATAATTACTGCACAAGTGTTTATGAAGAAGGTGATGCTCGATCAGCATTGATCACCATGCTTCAATCTCTTCAACATGCTAAAAATGGCGTTGACATAGTCTCCGAAACCAGGGTTAAGACTCATTTTGCTAGACCGAATTGGCGAAAAGTTTTTAAGCGTGTAGCAGTTAATTATCCTGATCAAAGAGTTGGTAAGTAATTATTGCTTAATCTACCTTAATCTTCTAATTTTATGTTAACCAAAACATTGCATCTTAGCTAATTCTGGATTGTTCTTGTTACAGGAGTGTTTTATTGTGGTGCACCTGGATTGACCGGGGAACTAAGAAGATTGGCTCTAGATTTCTCTAGGAAAACTACAACCAAGTTCGATTTCCATAAAGAGAATTTTTAAATTTGTTTTCAAAAATACCTCAATTGAAAAAAAAGTTATTCTCTCCAGGTGCAAAATATCAGTGGTTTTTCTTACTTTTTTTTTAATCCAGAAACTGGCCATCATTGAACCATTTTCGATAAGTATAGATTGGTTTTAAAACTGAGGTTCCAAGAATTGGAACTTTGAACAAAAATTTAAAGCTTCTACCACTAAACCATTCCTTGTGCTTGAATCTTGGTCTCAGTAAGATATAGAAATCATGTTTAGGTTTTTTCTAGCCCTCCCCTGCTAAATCTTTTGATGCTTTGTAATTGTATATTGGCATTTGCATATATATATATATATATATATATATATATATATATATATATATATATATATATATATATATATATATACCGTCCTTTTACTTTTACTTGTTACTGCTTTAGTGGTTCAATTCCTTGATCCGCTTATAATATAGCACATTCAGTTCTGAATAATTGTAAGATATATAAAAAAGAATTCTTTGAAAGAGTTAGAGGCTTTTGTTTTGAGTAAATCATTTACTAATAGAGGATATTTTACATGTTAAATGTTTTCTAGTAAAATACTTTATTTGAACAAGTTTATCGATATTTGGTTAGTAATATAAAAAATACAATGATTGTAGAATGACGGTAATAATGTATTATAGTGACGGTGGTGGTAGAGCAGTAATAGCTGTGAAGAAGGTGGTGGTGGTGGCGGCTGTGGAGTAGTGAGAGTGTGAAAAATAATGGAGGTGATGATGGTAAAAATAATTAAATTATATTGTAAGTTAATTATTGTTTATATGGAATTTTATAAAATGAAAATATTTTGTATCAAAGTGATAGAGGTGATGGTGGTAAAAATAATTGAATGATATTGTGAATGAATTATTGTTTATACAAAATTTTATGAGGTTAAAATATTTTGTAACAAATTAATTAAGAGTAAAGATTGATTGTAAAATATTTTACGTTGATCCATTTTTTTATAAAAAATAAATACAGAAAAATCAAGAATATATTGCAAAACAAAGACATTCTTAGTCACCATTTATCAACATAAGAAAATTAGAAGACAACCATGTGTTCTGTTTTTTCTCTAATCAAGTCTAAACTTTCATGGATTAATTATATCGGTATGTCCTTCTACTTCTTTGTGTAGTACTGAATATAGATTGCCGATGGATCAAGAATCTAATTCTTAAAATCATCAAAATCTGAACGTGATCTAGCACGAACATAACCTATCCAAACATGACGAACATTTTCGATTGATGTAAAAATTTATCTACTCAACTATATATAAATATTGAAAAAAAATTATGTCAGTATTTTTTATAGTTGAACTTACAACAAATCTAGAATGTTGTAATATTAATGAAAATCCAACTACATGTGATTAATGCAGTTATTGAAACTCGAGCTACCAAGTTCATCTTAAGAACTCAGCCATGAATTCGTGAACAGGTATCTAAATTATAATGCAATTCTCTTACAAGCACAAGAAAAAAAGAAATAGAAAGAAATGCAGATTTGAGAAGTGCCTTCTTATTAGAGATGGTATCAATGAGGAAAACTTGTTAATAAATTTGCCTCTTGTAAGTTGGCAGATTGAGGTCGTTGGACCAATATATTGGAGCATTGGACCACTAGCTCCGCAATTAACAAAGGGTGTCTATCTGCCTTTGTCCTCGACCAAATGGTCCTTCTAGTTACTATGCTATATTTCATAGGCACCCAAATGTCAAAAAATCATTTCCGTTTAGGTGAGATTCTAAAAATAATTTTATACTATTATTTAATACATTCTCCAAATTAAAAGCTTTTTAAATTTCAAATTTGCACATATTTATTTCTATCTTGTAGTCAATTATTTGATTAGAAAAAAAAATTGATAAAATTTGAAATCGTGACCGTTGATTATTAAGAATCTATTATCGTGTTAAAAAATTATTTTAATTCAAAAACTTAAGCTATTAGAAATGATTTTATACTACTTTTTAACATCAAATAGACAACTCATGTAATATTTTATACGGTATTAAAAATAAAATGATATTTAATAAGGTGTAATATGATTTTGTCTAGAAAGTGATGAATTTCATTTCAATTGACGTAATAAATGATTCAAAAATACTCTATTATTTATAAATATCAAAAAATAAATAAAAATATATAGTTTATTTAATAGTTGAATTTATAACAAATCTAGAATGTTGTAATATTAATGAAAACCCAACTACGTATATTGATGATTAATGCAATTATTGAAACTTGAGCTACCAAGTTCATCTTAATAGCTCAGCCATGGATTTGTGAACTCGTATCGAAAATATAATGCAATTCTCTTACAAGTACCAGCTAAAAAAAGAAAAGAATGGAAAAGGAGAAGAGATGCCGATTTGGGAAGTAACTTCTTATTAGAGATGGCATAAATGAGGAGAACTTGTAAATAAATTTGCTTCTTATAATTGGCAGATTAAGGTCGTTGGACCAATAAATTGGAGTATTGGACCGCTAGCACTGCAATTAACCAAGGGTGCCCATCTGCCTTTGATGGTCCCTGGGTTTTAAAAAAATATCAAAAGTGCCAGCCAAGGTAGAGAAACTTTTTAGATCTGTCAATGGGTAGGGGGGCTTTTTCTGGTATGGTTTCAGCCAGGCAATGATGAAATGGAAGATTCTCATTGATTGATGAAAAGTGAATTTACAGGCTATATTATAATTTGAATTTGAGTTTAAGAGTAAAGAAATTATAATTCAAAAAAAAAGAAAAATACTCCCAAGTATATCAATTCGGATACAAATTAGTTATTTAAAATATGACTAAAAAAATAGTTTTTCTATACATAAAAAAGGATATAAAATACTCTAAAATTAGCATCCGAAACAAAATTCACCTTTATCTCCCTTTGCATGTAAGTATTACTTAATCAATAGTTTTGCTTAAATTGCTTGAAAGCTTGAACTACTAGCATATAATTTCTTCTTCTTCTTTTTTCATCCTAATTTATCAGTCATATTTAAAAAAAGTTATAAATTAATTAATTTTTTATGTTTCAAAAAATAATTATTTAATTCCTTAATCATTGTTGATCATGTTTAATTTAATATTTTTTATTTTATAAAATATTTTTTTATTAATTTTTTTATATTTTTTACTTTTATATATTTTTATAATTAAAATTAAAAAAAAATAATTTATAAGACATTTAAATTATAAAAACTAAATAATTAGTTTTTGAAACAAATAAAATTAATTAATTCGTTTTTTGAAAACTTTGGGATGAATTTATAATTTACTCCTTTCAAGAAATCATGGTAGTTCATTACAAAATATATGTGTGTGTGTCACCAAATTACCAAGTGTCTTGTCAGTGGCATATAGGCCTTGACACATGTCATATGTGTCCTGCCACGTGGCATTTTTAGTCCAATGTGTGTGTGTGGTGGTGTGGGGGCCGCCTATTAACACTCTCGTGCATGTTTCATGTATAAAAAATAAATCATGGTCTAATAATTTAGGAATCAAAGAATTTCAATAATGAAAATTCCACATCAGAATAAACTTATAATAACCAAATAATTAAAACTAATCATATTGCAAATCTATCAAATAAATATTGTCTTCAATTTTTTTTATAATTTTCTTTTAAAAAAAATGCTCATTCATAACTGTAAATAGAAAGAAAGAACTAAGAAACATATCAAATACATTAAATTATAAGCTAAAAAAGTCTAATCATTTCTGAATTTTAAATCATTTGAAATTGAGTTCTTTAATTTTTTATTATTTTTGAAGATTACCGAACTTTTTTATTTATTTTGATTGATGCATCTAATGATTTTTAACTATCATCTTTTCTTCTTAAAAATTCAATTCTTAGTATTTTGTGATGAAATTTTGCAAACAAGTTGAAAAAAATTCAATCCATGTTGTAGAAAAATTTCAGAATCTTTTAACATCAAAAACTATATTTGTTTATTTTTTTAACATTAAAAATATAAAAAATCAAGAGAATAAAAAATAACTCTGAAATGATCCCAAAGCTTTTTAAAAACTCCACATAAATCTCATTAAATAATTTTCACCATAAAACCATTTATGTGATTGTTATTTTTTGAGATAAATGATAAAAAAAAATTGAAAGATTAACTAAATCTTAAAAAATTAAAAGTTTAAAAATCCCAAAAAATAATTAAAAAAATTCAAGAACTCAATCTCAAATTATTTAAAATTCAAGGCCAGTTAGACATTTTAATCTAAATTTTATTGTAAGATCAATTCCTTCTTCAGACACTAAAGCTGTTGAATTTCGACCTTTATTTTTTAAATCAAGATTTGCACATTTTTAATCTTAACTAGCTAGAAAGCATTAAGCAAAAGTATCAAATGTCTTTGTAATAACAAATGAAGTCCAATAATTTGATGTTAATAAGCTAGCTGGGAACCAATCTATGTGATCTCTTTTCTAAAGTTTTTTGCTTATAATACCAATTTTGATTTGATATGATTTTTCACCTAAAAAAGAGAGAAGGCATCAAATGCTAATTTTATTAATTAGGTATCCTTTATAACAAAAAGCTACTCCAAAATTTACGTAGTACCAATATTCATATCGCAGCACCAGCAGGTTCGCTATTTTTTCCATCTCATCAAGCACCAACCTTTAGGCCCTACATTTTTCCTTTTCCTCTCATCGCTTCAAGTCCTTGGAACTTTCATTGTTCTTAAGCATTTCCACCCATCCTCAAATTCCTCCTCCCTCTCTCTCTCTCTCTCTCTCTCTCTCTCTCTCAAAATTCTCCTAATGTCAGAACCGAAGACAGAAGCTAAACAAGAGGCCACAACAGAAGCTAAACAAGTGGTTATAGAAGAAAACACAGAAGCTCCTCTAAAGTACAAGGTAACTGAATTAAGCCAAAACAAAAACTCATCTTTCTAGGATCAAACTGCCATCTTTCCCTGTCTTTAACCTCATTTTTCTTTGTTTTTCAGAAATGGGTCTTGAAAGTCTCGGTTCATTGTGAAGGGTGCAAGAAGAAAGTCAAAAAGATTCTGAATAACATAGATGGTATGTAAAGTGTAAACCCACTAAAACATAACATTAAATTCTTGATTATTTCTGTTATTTTCTGTTACATTCTTGCAATATTTTCAAGATTCCCTCATTTTTCTTATCTGGTTTTTTTTTCCCTTTAATTTCAAACTTCCTGTAAAGCTTCTTCTTTTTTTTTCCCCCAATATTTAGCTACAAAAGTTTCATACTTTGTCTCTCAATTTTTCCCATCTGTATTTCTGTTCATTTTCACTCTTTCTCTGCCATTTTTAATTTCTAATAATAATTAAACCCTTAATTTCATAACTTATTGCCAATACTTCTGGTTATTTATGCACTTCATTAAAGTTGCTGATTTTGTCCGTTATATTTGCAGGTGTGTACACCACAGATGTTGATCTAAGGCAACAAAAAGCCACGGTGATAGGGAATGTTGATGCAGATACTTTAATCAAGAAACTAATAAAAAAGACAGGGAAAAATGCAGAGCTGTGGCCTGAAAAAGCTGATAAAAATCAGAAAGGGAAAAAGAAAGGAAAAGCAAAAAACAAAGAGAAAGAGAAAGAGAAACAAAGTGACCAAGAAAGCAGCAGTGAAGAAGGCGGTGATGGTGAAAATGAGAAAGGAGATACAGTCAAGACTGAAGTAGTAAAAATTCAAGACCGTTCTCCTAAAAAAAGTGAAAATGGCAGTGCTGGTCCTGTTGTTATTGGCAAAGCAAGTGAAGGTGGTGGTGTTCAAGTCAAGGAAGTAAAGATCAGTGAGGTTAGTGCTAAGCAACCTGTTACATTACCGGCCGGCGGGAAGTCACCGGTGGCTGACAAGAAAGTTGGTGGGGAAAGTGAGGTTGTAGCTGAAAAAAGTGGTGCAGGTGGGGGTAGTGTTGGTGGTGGCAGTAGCAGTAAAAAGAAGAAGAAGAAGAAGAAGGGGAATCAAGGGAATAACAATAGTAACAGCAATGGTGATGAGGGTAACCAATCTGGTCATGCACCAGCAGGCACTGGATCACCAATTCATGGGCATGTTCAAGTCCAAATCCCACATCCTGCCAATCAAAGACCTTCACGTTATCATCGCGTGTATGACTACCCAGCAACAACTTACTATGCACCCCCAGTGTATGCTGCGAGTAGCAATGTTGCATACCCTAGTACTAGTTATGGTGCCTCGTACTATGCCCCACAGCATTCCTACGCCTATGTGCACGCCGGTACCCATCCCCATCCGGGTGCGATGAGCGAACCTCCACCGTCCGATTTCGATTCATATCCATCACAGCCGTCCGATTCGTTCGAGATTTTTAGTGACGAAAACCCTAATGCATGCTCAATCATGTGACAATGGCTAGACAAATTGTGGCAATTAGCACATTGAACTTATACTACTTGTAAAAGTTCATGAGGGGAGGGAGTTATTTTTGTAATGTATGTAGATATATGAAAGGTAAAGTTCTTGTAGCTTTTTAATTAGGGGATCATAAGAGGGGAATTACGGTTTGGGGTTTTTCTCTTTAGTTTTTGGGTGTTTATGTTTAGCTTTCTTTAGCACTTTTTACTGTTTTTAAGGTTGGCTTCAAAGAAGTTACATAAATGGCAACCTTGTAAACTCTCTCACTTGTTTATTAGTAGGCCCTCCTCCTCAATTTGTCTTTTATTTCTCTAAGTGGAAAGTGGATTTGGCATTTTGGCTTATTAGAATGTGATTATGGTGACATATGGGCAATTAGTGTTTGATTAGAATTCAAAAGCTAGCGTTATAAGTACCTAAGTATGTGGCAAAGAATTGGACGCTAAAGATTTTGAGAGACTTTTTGGGGTATGAATCAACCTAAATTGACACGGTTTTGTGATTTTTGTTAATGATTTTTTTTTTTTTTTTTTTTTTTTGCGCCCTACCTACTAAGTTTTCATGATGGTTGGAGATTTTTTCTGATGGGGATTATGCTTAGTTGTATGTAGGACCATTGCAACCTTTCCAACACTCTCCTGATGTGTAAAGTGAGTTTTGTTTGTGTATTAGGGACATTTAGTTACAAAGGAGATTAAGAAAGTGAATTGTTAAGAATGAATTATAAAGTAGTTCAAGATCTTGGATTTTTGTCCTTCGTGAAAAAATCACTTCCTGCTTTGAACCAAAAAAAAAAATATATATATATATATATATATATATATATATATATATATCCCTTTGCATTGTATTTGATGAATTTCCTTTTCCTTTTTGTTTCCTTTAATATTGCAGATTCCTGTCAAAGGCATTGACATCCCAATTATTTTTCCTTTAAATTTCAGTAACTTGTCACTTGAGTTTCCAGTTGTTAAACTAAAACCTGTCGCTTTGGTATGTGTGTGCTTGAACCATGAAGGTCTTGGTCTTGGTCTATGGCTAATTTTCATTTGGAAAGTTTCTCTTTCTTTCATAAAACCAACCTTTGAAGTATGTGTTTGTCCGTCTTTTTTTAACATATCTTGCTTTATTTAACTTCTTTTTTTCTTTTACTTCTTTTTGTGTTTTTTTTTTTTTTTTTCATGACGAAGAGGGTTACTCGAAAACTGCTGTCAAAGTAAAAGCTTTTTTTTTTTTTTTTTTAATAAAGAAAAAGTAAACGTGTACTACTGTACATGGCTCTTCTTTTCTTTTGTACCTCCCTGCCTTCTCTCTGAACTGGGGTAGCAAGGAACTCATGAAAGGAGAAAAAATCAAGCATGATGCTGATGGATTTTCATGATACGGTCAGAAACAGAATGCTTCTTTATTTACTTCTGCTTTGACTTAATTAGACTGTTTTGGGCCAATATACCATTATTTACTACCAGTGACACTTGGCCAACTCCTTTTGGATCATTCTACTAATCACAAATTTCCCTAATAATTATTTCATTACATGCACTGATTTAGTGGATTAGGAATTAACACTTTGTGGGTCCTGCTGATTAGCACTATAATTCTTTAGAGGGTATCATTTTCGTTCTTAAATCTTTTGCCACAGCTTTGATCAGGAAAAAGGGAGGAAAAAAAAACAACCAATCCTTCCTTTACTAATCTTTTTCAATGTCTAGAAAGCTCTCTTTGGAGTGTTTATTCTTTTCCCACTAGATGTTCATTTGACATTTGACATTCCAAGCTTGATATCAAAGGAGAATCTTATTGTTTTAATTATTCTTATTCTTGGTTGAGGTGTACATTTTTACAAAATAATTTTTTTTAAGGCCAATCATGAGTATAGAATAAATAATACTATATGTCTATAAAAAAAGCTTTCTTTCATCTTTGCAACCAACACCAGAGGTTTGCAAGAGAGACTGAATGATTGGTATCTCAAGGTAGTGGTACTGGTGACCCTATTCAGCTTCTGCTCCATAGAGATAAGTTTAAGATTTATACCATTATTGACCTTTGTAAATCTAAGTCTCACCTGAAAAATAAATAAAGGAGGAAACTTGGATTGACAGAAAAAAAAAATCTTTGGTGGGGGGGTGGAGGGAGCAAACAAAATAATATTTGACAGAAAAAAGAAAAAGGAAAAATGTAAGATTTTCTTGGACCAGTGATATGGATGAAAATTTAGAGAATCTTAATCCAGAAACGATTAGTACATTTCATGTTAAAGTTTAGTCAATCAAACATGACATCTGCACATTCCTTGTCTTCATTTACTAAGCAATTTCCATTGATCAGAATCTGATTCCATTCCACCTTGCTTCCCAAGCCAACCCCTTGTCCTTGAAGCCATTCTTATGGAAGCAAATACAAGGCCAGTAGAAATATCAGCTCACCCCTTGTTTGGGAGGGCAACCTGATATATATAGTTGTTCTTGTTCATATGAAAGCAAACACTAGTAAAATAAATTATAAGTCCTCGTAGTTTAATAAAATTACAAAAATAATTCTTATAGTTTTAAAAACTATATATTTAATTCTTATACTTTTAGATTTGTTTATGATTTAGTTCTTTTGTCCATTTCATGTTCTTTTAAATTATTTTGCTATTATTATTTTAAAAATAAATAAATAAAGAAAAGAGAGAGAATTTAGTAAGATGCAAAAATTTAACCGTAAAAAAAACATACTATGAAACAAATAAAAAACTACTAAATTAAGGATGTTTCTAATACAACAGAAACTAATCAATTAACTTGATAATCTACAGAAATAAAAAATGTATTCTCAATTAACGTAAAAATTTGTTCGAAAATATCCCAAGTAAATTATAAATTAGTTCCCTTAATTTTGAGAAACAAATTAATTAGTCTCATTTGTTTTACAAACTAATTATTTAATCTCTATGCCGTTAAAATTTAATTATAACTTAATTCTTTTTATTCTTTTTTAATTTATTTTAATTTTATTTTAAGAAACAGAAAAAAATATAGAAAAAATATGAAAAGAAATGATAAGAAAATAAGACATTTTATGAAATAAAAAATAATATAAAACTAAACATTGTCAATACTAAAAAATTAAATAATAATTTTTAAAATAAAAGGAATTAATTAATTTGTTTATAAAAAATAGAGAAACTAATTTATAATTTACTCATATATATATATATATATATATATAACTCGAACAAACATTGATACTTTTTTCTACCGGATGGTGGAGTGTCTAAAGAAAACAAAAATTGAATGAGAAATCACAGATATAGCAATGATTACGGATGGTGGTGGAATGATTAAGCATGATGTTTAGCCATGCTGAATAGACCAGAGATTTACAACTGGATTACTGGCTACCCAACTTTATGGATGGCTACAAGAAAAGCATATACCACTAACAAAATTGCTACACTACGTTCCAGGCAATAAAAATTAGATGTCTCGATAACAGGGACTTATGCCCTCGTTGAAATTTGCAAACAAATTGTTTTGGGCCACATTCCCAATTTAAAAATTGTGGTTACTTAATATTGGCCCTAATTACCGTCCAAAAAGGTGTGCAGCCTGCTAAACACCTACCTTAATTATTACTTTCTCTACCAATTTCAACTTTTAATATCATCACAGATACCATCATCAAAACTTCAACCAATTGCAGTGCATTTCTATTACCATAAGTAGCAAAGATATTCTGGACAGCAGCATGCATTTTCTGTAGATTTGATAGGAAATATGTGTCAATTCCTAACCATTTTCCTTGGATCAGAGCTTCAAAAGTGTTTTGACAAAGATATTTACCCTTCTGCGTGGGGTGTCTTACGTTAGAACTCGAAGTGATACTTCCAACCCAGAAAAAAAAAAAAAAAGACAGATTTTTTTCCCTTTTTTTTTTAAAAAAAAATCCAACTCGAAATGATAATATGAAGCAAATCCACTAGCAAACTTAAGGCTGCGTTTGTTTTAGGGAAAACAAGTTCCCGGAACTTGTTTTCCCTATTTTTCTGTGTTTGTTTGGCCATCATGAAAAAAAGTCGGAGAGGTTTGTTTTCCAGTCAAGAAAAATTAAAAGCCAACTTTAGGGAAAATGACTTCCCAAATTGAAAACGGGAAAACATTTTCTCTTTGGAGCTCGTTGTCGTCCATCTCCTTCACACCCAAACTCATTGGAACGATGCTTGTCGCCCGAAGCCAACCCAAGGACATCTCTCGCCACCCAACGTCGCCACAACAAAGAAAAAACCACCTTCGAGAATCCAAAACCCGCAAAAGAACGATCGGATCCGCCGTGATTTCCCTTCCTCTCGTCGCTTTCTCTTTGGAGCTCGTCGTTGTCCATCTCCTTCACACTCAAACTCATCGGAACGGTTGCTCGCTCGAAGCCAACCCAAGGACATCTCTCGCCACCCAACGCCGTCGCAACAAAGAAAAAACCACCTTCGAGAATCCAAAGCCCGCAAAAAAACGATAAGATCTCGTCGTGATTTCCCTTCCTCTCGTCGCTTTCTTGTGTTTTCTTTCTTGTAAACCGTCGCTACGTTTTCCTTCTCTCGCCACCCAAGGAATCGGATTTATTCGTCGCTATTTTATTTTACACGGAAACATTAAAATTATTATATCCTAGAGGGCTTAAGCATCCGGGTCTATTTTGTATTCATGGGATCTAGAAAATTTAAATATTCACCTTCAATGCTAGTTCTTTGATACATCAATCTCTTTTTAGCAATGAATGTTTGTCTTCCGATGACCATATGATTAAGGAATCTGCCGAATGGGCTAAGTTGGCCATCAATCGTGCCATTTCGTTTGAGGTTATTGTTATTTGGCATGTTCTTTCCTTTTAGAAGTCCCCGCATGCATTTGGGTGTATTGAGTCGTGGTCCGGGGTTGCATTCCGTCATGGAGGAGATTTTGGGTTCTCGATTCTATCATGGAGGAGAAGTGGTCGGGATTGCTTTGAAGATGTGGGTGAAGTAGTCTCGTTAAAAAGCCAAATAAATTATAAGTATAGAGTATAAAATTGGTGGAAATGGGGGAGAGGCAACTTTTGATTTACTAAGTAAATATGAGTCAACCAACATATAGTCATTGGTTGTTTGTTCTTCCTTGAAATGGTTGATCTCTTCTTGTCCGACTTACCCTATCGCCTTAGTCATTGTCTCCGGAGTACCATAGGCAATTTTTTCTATTTGGCTTTAGAAATTTCATTAGAAGTTTCCTTTTCTTGTTTTTTTCCTTTTGGCGTGAATGTTGTGTATGATTATTATTATTGTTATCTTTTTCTTTTTGTGAGGGTTCAACCTTCATTACGAATTCGTTGGGCCTTAAAATTCCAAAGGAAAGCTCTCTTCTCCCCGAAACGATGCCACCCCTAACAATTTAGTTTTTAAATTATAATTTCTAAATATTTTGAGTTATCATCCCGTCGTATACATGTTGTAATTTTAGCAATTTCTTTTTTTTAAATATAATTTATAAATATTTTGAGTTATTGAATGAGTGATGATGTTATTTGACAATTTCACTTGTTTTTATTTTTTGAAATTTCGTTTATTGGCAATGCTTGTAGAAATGAGTTACACACAAGCAAGAAAAAGTTAAAGCCGAACAATTTAGGTGGACAAAACCTATGTCTCATATGTTGCTTGAGATTTTGGTCGAGGAGTATGTGAAAGGGAATAAACCTCGCTTCCACTTTCAAACAAGACAACTTTGCACGTGTAGCAAGAGAAATCAATTTGAAATTTGGATTAGATTGTTCTCTTGATCATGTTAGAAATCATTTGAGGACAATAAAAAACGAATGGAAGATTATCGCCTAATTGCAAGAGAAAAGTGGTTTTGGATGGAATGATGAGTTGAAAATGATAACTGTCTCAAAACAAGTTTATGATGAAAGGATAACGGTAATATATTTTTTTTTCAATGTCTCAACTTGTTTTTCTATATTTATAAGATGTTTTCTAATTTCTTTGAACATGCGGGCACATCCTAACCATGAGAAATACTTGAACAAGAAAATTGAGATGTACAATGAGATGGCACTTGTTGTTGGACAAGATATGGCCACAGGAAGTTTTGCCAAGTCTTTTACCGATATTAACTTGGCTGAGAGTTTTGAAATGGAATCTATAGCACCGGATGAAGTTGACATAGGCAAAGGAAAAGAAGCATCGTCAACTAGTATGCTTTCCGGAAAGAGAAGTTACCGAAAAAGAGGTTGTGAAGCCGACGAATCAATTACATCTCGTTTTAGCTGTGAAAGTGAGAGAAGTGGCCAAAGCAATTCACGCTTTAACAAAAAATGAAATTGATATAGATGAGCTTTATGATGTGGTGATGAAGATTACCGATTTTGACGATGGCATATTGAATAATGTGTTTGATTACTTGGTACAAAATGAAAGGTTGGCAAAGGCTTTTATGGCAAGAAATGAAAAACATAAAAAGCTTTGGATTGAAAAGTTTATCAATGAACATGGTGGATCATCTACATGATGTTATGTGTGACTTTCCTATTATATATTTGAATTTGTAAGAGTATGGATTTTATAGACGATTTTTATGTTTTTTGGATGTTAGATTTTTACAGCTACCTTTGTAGCTATTATTATTGATATGAGATATTTTAATTATGGATATTTTCCGGTGTACAAGTTGTTGTGATGCATGGATGGGATTCGACTTTTGGATTGTGAGTAGTAATGGGTTAAATTGATAGAATGGAAAGAATTATTTAATTTATTTATACAATCAAGTTTTTCATTATAATTTTATTATATGATCTTTTTTTTATAAATAATTATATTATATTTTTTATGTTTCGATTGTCATATTAAAAATTTTCAAATCAAATTTTTATCCTTTATAATTATATTAAAATTCATCTTATCAAAAAAAATTTTAAAAATTATAAGTAGTGTTATTTCAATTACAAAATATTACATTATTATTTATTAGTTTAAATTTATGAATTTTAATATAAAAAAGTTCAACAAGATTAACTTTATTTCTTTTCTCATGTTAAAACTAAAACTTGAAAATGTACATGGTGGGTTTGTAATCATGAAATTGTGTGTGTGTGTATGGATGTGAGATTTTTTAATAATTTTTATATTGTAAGATTATCAATATACCTTGTTGAAATTTCTTTAAAACTCATTGATATAACAATTACAATCTATTTTTGTATTTCAATTTTCTGTATCAAACAAACAATGAAAAATGTTTTTCAACAGTATTTTCATATAATTGCCAAACAACAAAAAATATTTTCTTGAAAAATAATTTTCAAAAAAATAACTTCCTCAGGAATTAATTTTCCTATGAAACTTGTTTTTCCTCGAACAAACGAAACCTAAATTATACTCTCATAATTACACAAAATTTCAGCCTTCTTTTGCCCCTTTTACGATGATTTAAATCCACAGGACACAACGGAAAATTGAAACGATCACTGATTGTAGACCCAGAAAACTTGGTACAGAGGATGATTGCGAAATGGATTTGTCAAGCCAAGTCTGCAGCACCACTATTGCAGTGTGGTTATGACTTTTCTGGCGACCAGAAGTCAATCAATGCAAGGAAATAAAGCTGCTACAGGAACTTGACAACAATACACTACCATATGCCAACGCAGAAGCGAACTACGCAAAGCTACATATCTCATCATTTCATGCAAGAAGGGAGCAGCTTCGCAGCTGGAATTAAATGTCTACCCAAACTATGGCTAGGCTTGAAATTGGCACTTCAGAATTGTTCTGCGGCTTCTCGCACCTTATTTTATCCCTAACAGTATGATCTAGCGAAACCACCAATAGTTAAAACCGGCTCGGACTTCGAAATTATACAAGGCCATAGAATTCCAAGTCGTGGCAAATCCAGAATAAATCTACAGGTCATGTCCTATTTTGTGTACCGCCACCTCTCCAGACGCTACCACCACATATTGAAATGAGAAAGAAAACACTTACGAGTGATTGCAGTTCCAAAATTGGACAACACAGAAATAACCCACCTCACTTGGAGATCAGGAGCCTCAAAATTTCAAAAACTTAAATGGAAAGAAAAAGTTAATATCATTGACATAACGAAGTTTCGTTCAAAATATAATCATCAGCTAAGATTCTTGAAAGACGACAAAATTAAACATAGTTGAAAAGTGAAAGCAGTTGTTCACACCCTCCTTGAACAATGTCTAAAAAACAAAAACAGCATTATCTATTACTGCTGGCGGAGCTCAGTCTTCTTCTTTTGCCAAAGCCTATCAACGGCACTGTCAGCATCACCCTGGAAAATATATCAGCATATAAAATCACATGTGAGTTGAGTACAAGAGAAGTAAAATGTCTTAAGGCATAAAGAGAATGATAAACAAAGCAGTATATCTAAAAGTCAGCATATTATCAAGGAGCCCTCAGATCTCATAGCTTCTTAAAATCATACACGATTTAACACGAATGGTATTCATCAAAAGCCTTCACAAACCACCGCAATATAGAAGTGTGTGTGTGCAAAAAGATGGAGTGGTGAAGGAGATGGTTGTGGAGGCAGTGGTGAGTGAAGGCTATCAATGAATAGTCCATTAGCAACCATTCAACACATTTTATGTTGTGCATCATCGGGCAATGCTTAGAATAATAAAACAGGACCCAAATAAAGAAAAGTCAAACCAAATTATGCTTATTAGAAAAAACCTAAAACATTAAAATACATAACAAAGATAGATAAATAAGGAAGAAAACAGGAATAACAAAATTATATTAGGGAAATTAAAAATCCATAAGCGAGACCAAAAAAAGAATGACCAAAAAGAATTCAGCATATCATAAACGTTTTCACAAACCAAAAGCATAGGAACAGACGATGATTGTTAAAAGGATTTACTGCAATAACTCCTCCATATCATATACATAAAATGAATTAAATGTTAGACAGCCCTCAGATCTCATAGCTGAAAATCATACAACGATTTATAGCTAATGGGGTTTCATAAAAAGCATTCACACACCACCACATGGTATAAAAGTGTGTGCATAAAAGGTGAGTAGTGGCAGTGGTGGTAGAGGTGGATGTGGTGGTGAGTGAAGGCTAACAATGAAAAGGCCATTTGCAACCGTTCATCACAGTTTGTATTCTGCATCATCGGGCAAGCACAAAAACTTTCAAAAACTCTCAATCAAGAAAACTAAAATCAAATAATAATTGACAACCAAAAAACAGAAAAACCATTATCAAACAGTGCAACCGTTCATCACAGTTTGTGCAACGGGCAGATTACAGAAAATTTTAAAATATCCCAATCAAGAAAAGTAAAATCAAACAACCATTGAAAATAAAAAACCAGAAAACCACAGGCCATTTGCAATCGTTCATAACAGCTTGTAATGTTCATCATCGAGCAAAGCACAGAAAATTAAAAAAAAAAAATACCAACCAAGAAAATAAAATCAAATAATAATTAAAAACAATAGTCAATTATCAAGATTATGTATAAATATAATTAACCCAACAAGATTCTAAAGTAAAATACCTGGGCTCGAACAAAGCCGCAGAGAGCAAAAGTCGTGAACTGGCCAGTGTAATGACCATTAGCATCCAAATGACCGATATTGATCTGCACAGACGCGTGGTCCTTAGAGGTGATAAGCCTGTTTGTGGCAGAGCTGCAAAACATTGCCATAAAAAGACCTTGACTCAGGTTTCATCTTTAAAAAAAAAAACAAAAAACAAAAAACTGACAGAAAAACAAAAACCCAAAAAGAAAGAAAAAGTTGCGCACCATTTCCTGGGGATGTACAAATCCATGTTTTGACCCTCTTCGTTCTGCATCTTGAACGTTTTGATTTGCCAACCCAAATACAGTTTATGCTTTAAATACCTGATTTAACAAATAAACCTTCTTTAACAAACTTGCACACTTAAAAAACACTTAAGCACGGAAAGATGAAGAACGATCACAGTTATCATAAGGAACTAGAAAGAAGGAGAGAGAGAGCACCAGGAAGAGGAGAGGCTGCTGCTAGGGCTTGCTGAGGAGGAGACGGTGGCTTTGTTCGCAATTTTTATATGTGGATGCAAAACCCTAATTATTTTATGGACGGAAATGCCCTACTGAACAAGCCGATTTAGGGATGGAAATGGGCCAGATACCCAGCCCATTGAACCAATCTCCCACCCTACCCATTGTTCATACCCTTTAAAATATTACTCTCTACATTCATACTCGGTCCATACCTAATGAACAAGCCCATTTAACCCCAGCTAAAACAATTTGTCAAAATATATCATTTTAGTCGCTGTGAATTTCAAGAAAAAACTTATTTTGGACATTAAAATCAATTTTTAAAAATTAGATCCTTTATTTTTAATTTTTTATCCTCAAATTTTTCATAAAAAACAATTTGGTCTCTAATTTATAAATCCATGCATGCTATTTAAAAAAAAATAATTAGTAAATATTAGTAGCATACAAAGTGGATATTCAAACTCAAAAGTTATATTAACAGGTATGTTTTTTTGTAAAATTATCCACGTAAATGGTCATTGGATATTTTTAATGAGTATTTAATAAATTTGATAGAGCTCATACACCTATCATAGTCGATCCATTGCCATCTCTAAAAAAGAATCTATTAATATTATTATACATTTATAACAATTTACTTCAAAAAAAATATTATTAGTAGGTTTTATTTTATTAGCATTGGAAATATCACAAAACTAAATAAGTGTTGATATTGCATTTGCTTAAATTTTCCTTTAAATTCAATCCTCATCAATTTTTTTAATAATGCATGTTTTTTAGTATCTCAAATTATAACTTCCAGCTACTTGCTTCAACATCTTCTCTAAATAAGTGAAATAAGAAAATGATTTAATTAATTTAGAATGTTATAAAAGAGCTCATTTATAAAACTCCATTGTCTACCTCTTCAATCTAAATTACTGTTGTTTGAAATTTAGAATAAGTAAATCCAAAATTTCAACTTAATATCGTATTTATATTTTTTTCATATTAAATTTTAAATATTTTAAATTTATTATATTTATTTAAAGTAATGTATTTTTTTTAATTGGATTAATACCATACTAGCTCATGGTATAGATCCACATTTGATCCATTTAATAAATAGATTAATGGATTCGAATCATAATCGTACTCAAATTATTAAATTATATGCGAGATCTATTTAATTACATCATATTTTGATCGGATTCGGGTCAAGATATGATCCATCAGCAATCATGACTGTGCTAATGTCTTTGGCTTGATTAATTTCTCTAGAAATTTAATCTTCACGAAATGGGATAAATTCCCAACACCTCATTGTTCTCTGTGAGATCATTCAACGTTTTTATATTTCACATCTACTTAATTTCAAAACACTATTTTTCATTAGTAGAAATATAATTATAAATATGCATAAAAAAATAACAAGATCAAATGATGAATTATTTAATGTGTTTACATGATCTCAAAAGAATAGGCAATCTATTTTTTATAGACATGTTCAATAAGTATGATTAATTTTGAAGCAATAAAATTTAATATGAACTAAAAGATAGCAATCATCAAGCACTAAATTCTTGTTATTTTTTTCTTCTTAATGTTAATTTATTGGTGGTGGTTATTTTTTAAAAAGAAAAAAAGGGCGCTCGTTATTCCGTTTTAGTATCATTGTTATACAAGTTTTTGGAAACCATGCATTTTACATTGACTAGTCGTTAATTATTAAACCTCTATTATTGTCAAAAAATTTGATAATCAATTATTATTATTATTTGGTAAATTGTACGAAGAATCACTATCTTTCATAGTATTTTATGCAATGATTTTTTCAACAAAAAAAATTGTGGAAAATGATCGTTAATTTTTTTCACGAGGTTATATGAAGAATTTTAAAATAACAATTGATTATTGAGGAATTTGATTTTGAGAAAAAAAAAAAAAGCTGGGCCTAAATGCGCAACAGACTCATGCGCGTGGGCCTAAAGTGCATAGTCTGGCTTAAAAATAAAAAAAATAGACTGTTTTCGACCTCCAGTTATCAAGGGTAGCTTGAAATATGTAGGAAAATAGAGACATTGGATTTAACCCCCGAAATGCTATTTTGCCACTAGTTTAAATACCTCAAACTCATTCTAACAACCTCCACAAACTTGTTTTTTCACTTCAAAAATCTATTATAATCCACTTTAAATGGTGTGAAATTAAAATTAAAGTTTTTAAATGAAAATATGTCTCGATTTTATTTTTTATATTTCGATTATAAGTAAGTCTTTCACGAACATCGATGAATTCAACTTACTCATGCTAGCCTCTCTGTTTTTTTTTTTGGTCGGAATAGTCATTGTCCACAGCTTCTTTCTTGCCTTCTTTCTTTAATTTTTGCCTTTCTTTCTAGAAGTAGAATTAAGAATCAAAATTTAAGACAATTGAATTAGAAAGACCATTTCGTATACACTTAAATTAAAAAAATACTTAAATTGTTCTAAAATTAATATATGGTTTCATAATAGAAAAATTAATAATAAATTAAATAAAAAAAAGGCAAAAAAAAAAACCCATACAATAGAGAACTAGTAGTCTATTAAATTAAAAAAAAAATAGCCAAAGAAAATACAAATGAGTGATTGACTTTTTTCCAAACTAGACGAACTAAAATCCCGTCTACATAGGTCCTTTGTCAAAAGAACGTAGCAACAAAAAAAAAAAAAACTTGGATGAGATTTTTTGTCTTAGAAAACCAAGTTGGGATTAAAGGTCTGTGTTCTGTCCCTTTTTGTTATGCATATTGACTGAGATATAGTATGTTTTGTCCATGTACGTTCTACATCCTGACTAAAATGTCAAGATATATATTTTGTCCTTTTACGTTCTACATCTCTCTCAAATAGAAAATGAATTGTAACCATTAAGCTAAGTTAAGAAAAGACACGGTGACATTTTCTTTTATACAGTTACAATTAAATATCATATAAAAATCTCACTACAAGAAAATTAACAATTAGCGAAGGATATAATTCCGTCTCTAATTAGAGACAAATTAACAACGAACGAGAAAAATTGAATTTTTACGAATGATTAACGATGGAATAATTCCGTTGCAAAATAACGTGGTAAAAAAAACGTCGAGTGTAGCGATTGATTTTTGTCACCGATTTAGTGAAGAATGTAAATCCGTCGCTATTAGTTGATAAATAGCCACGGATTTATTCCATGGCTAACTAAAATATAATATAGCTCCTCTAGGGTTCAAATTAGCGACGAACAGCGATCCATCACTAATTTTGAAAGTCAAAATAGCGACGGAATTTTAAACTCGTCGCTATTTTGGCAATTTTTTTGGGAAATGCGAGTTTAAATTAGCGACGTATTTGTCAATCCACCGCTATTTTGGCTCCCTTTTTTTAAATTTCATATAAAGTGGTCCAAATTAGCTACCGAATACATTCCATTGCTATTTGGAAATTCAAATTAGCGACGGATTTTGAAATCCATCGCTAATCCGTAGCTATTTTAGCTTTTTAAAAAAAAAAAAATCGAGAAACTTCCAACGCCTTTTGGTTTTCAAATTAGCGACGAAATAGGTTTTCGTCGCTAATCTGTATCCCTTTAAATACCTCTTCCTCCTCTTCTTCTCCCATTCTCGCTCCCCCTCTCTTCCACCAAAAATAGCACCGCCACCCACACTACCAAGTGAGTTCCCAAACCGTTCGAGCAAAGTGAGATGCATCTTTCTCCCTCGAAATCTAACCGAGTCTTTGCTCTCTCTCCTTTGTCTCTCGCAGTCTCAAGTAAAACTTTCTCTCTCTAACTTTTTTGTTTTTTAAAAAAATTAAATAAATGTTATAAATTTTTAGGTTAATTTTTTTATTTGTTAGTTGATTGATTGTTTGAATATTGTTAATTTGTTGTTATGTTGATTTTTAATTATGTTAAGTTGTACGTTAATTATTAGTGTAAATTTCTTAATTGTTTATTTAATTTTCTTAACTCGTTAGATTAATTTTGTTAAGTGTTACTTTTTAGTTATATTAATTTTTAGGTTAATTTTTATGATAATGTAAACCTACAAAAATTTAATTATGTTAATTTTTTAGGTTTAATTTTGTTAATGTAATTTAGTTAAGGTTGATTTATTGTTAATTTATATATTTTAATTTTTAGTTTAAAATTTAATTGTTATTTTAAATTTGTTAATTAATTAATTATGTTAATTATTAGGTGAATTTTATTAGTTGTTTGTTTTAACTTAATTTTTAAATTATATAATGTTTTATGTACTTTAGTTAAATTATGTTGATTATTTTTTAAGATATTTTTAATTTATTCATTGGTTAATTTTTTTAATTAATTTATTGTTAGTTTATGATATTGTGTTTCGTTTGAATTAATCACTAGCTTAACTAGTTTAAATTAACTTAATGTAATTGGTTTGATTTAAGGTCATTTCGAATATAAATTATAGAAGTAATTGTTATAATTTAATTATTAAAATTGAAAGAAGATAACATGCATAATGATTTAATCGTTTGAAAAATAAAAAATTGGAATAATAATGTAATTAGAAAATAAACATAAACATTAAAATTTAATAAACATTTTATTAATTAATAGAATTTAATAAATATTTTATTTATGATTAATTAAATTAAATTTATTTGAATTTATTATTAAATTAATTAAAAAAATTAATAAAAATAAACATTTTTAGCTTCAACATAAATAAAATTTCATGTAATTTAAATGAAAATAATAAATTTGCACTTAATCCCTTGATTAGGAACCCATTATGCTCAAAGTTGATAAAATTAGGGTTTGATTTCGTTTCCTTAATCAATGAACTCTTGGTTAATTAGGAGTTAGTGAAGTGTGACTTGATAATGGAAAGTGAAAATTTTCACAAAAATTAAAAATTTTTATCTAAATATCTTAGGCCTACATTCAGCTCAAATTGGGAATAAATTAGGTTTTAGGTGTAATTGACTTCGAATTAATACTTCAATTAATCAATTTAGACTTAGAATAATGTAATTAGGTGAGTTATAATGAGAAATTACATTGAAATTAAAAAATTAACTTAAATTATCTAAATTATGGTTTAGGCCCAATGAGGTCCAATTTGGAGTTTATGCATGTAATTGATTAATGAATGCCTAACCGAGTTACTATAGGTGTAATTGAATGAAATTATATGAGAAATCGATGTTGAAATTGAAAGAAATGGTTTGGTTTAGGTTGCGGTTACTATTCGACCTAAGGTAGAAAATGTACAAAAATAAAAATACATAATAAATTATTGAATATTATAAAATTAAGTATTGAAGAATAAAAAATAGAAAAAATGTAATGATTCTTTAAAAAATTATTTAAATACAAAGTCAAATTCTTAAAACAAAATTCATTACTAATTAGAGACAATTCCACAATTAATATATATACTTAATTTTTATTTAAAACTCACATGAATGATGACAAGTAATTGTTTGCATTGGTTGTGTCATTTTTGCAATAATTATAAAAATGAGATATGATCAACAATTGATGAATGTTATGTTAGTTAACGGGTTATTAAAGGATGACTTTGTCGGAGATGTAGAACAATTTTTAGTTTTTACTCGTTGAGCATTTTGAATGTATGAATGGAACCAAATTAGGTATCCTTGTAATTTTAGTAAACATCGAAACAAAAATTTGTGTCATAAGGTTTTTATGTTGGGATATTATGATTGGATACATCTTGGCAAATTTGAATCTTATATGGCATCCGAAAATTCTAAGAGTCGATATATTTCGAAAATTATTATATGGGCAAAGGTAGTTCCAGTGAATCCTAAAACCCATATCAAACTATGATAATGGATGCAACCGATCCATCATTTGATTCGTCTAACACGGAGGAGGTTCCTAATCCTAGCGTCCAACACTTTCATGATATGTTGAATGCATCACGTAGAGAGATTTTGCTCGGTTTGTGATGAGCACTTGCAATTTTCAGCGAGTTGCTCGAATGCTAAATCTAAAAGCATAATATCATTTTCTAGAGAAGTGTTTCGACCGGTTATATGAGCCGATGAAGGAGTTGATGCCGATCGATAATTATATGACGGACAATTTTTATGAAACAAAGAAGTCTGGTTAAGGAGATGAGTTATCGGTGGAAAAAAAGTCATTATTATCACAACGACTGTATGATCTATTAGAAGGAAGACAATGAATTAGATAAATGCAAGTTCCGTCAACATCCCGAATATCGAAGTTTTCGTTAAGAATCAAGAAGATAAAAATTTATTCCAAATAAGAAAATGTATTACTTTCCTTTAACCACGCTTCGCACTAATTATATGAATCGAACGTGACATTTGAGCATATGACATGGCATGTCAAACATGGAGGAGATGATGCATGGGTAATACATCATCCCTCAAATTATATTGCATATCAAGGTTTCAATTAGATTAATCTCCCTTTTTATAGTTGAAAAAAGAAACGTCGGATTAGAAGTGTGCATCGATGGGTTTTAACCATTTGATTAATACGATGCACAATACTCCTCATGGTCGGTCATTGTGACTCCATGCAATTTGCCACCATGGATGTGTACAAATGAGGAATATATGTTCGTAACGATGATTGTTGTGGATCTAATAAACCCAAAACATAAATTGGACGTTTACTTGTAGCCTTTTATATCTTAGCTTATCCAATAATGGGAAGTGGATGTGGTAAAATTCATTTTTTACATTTAGCGACGGATTTTTGGTTGCTTGTTTAGTGACGAAAACAATGACGACTTAGCGACGTCGAAACGATAGATCCTATGACAACATCGATGACGAATTTTTTCCAGATTAGTGACGAAAATGTCATTGCTAAAATTGCAACCGAATATGGTTTACGTTGTAAAGAAATAACAACAAGCTAACTAGCAAAAGATGTTATTTTCATCACTAACCCCTTGTAGCAATGGAATATCGGCAATTAACGATGGATTTAATTAATGGGTTATTGGAGAAAATTAAACACTACAAAAAAAGGCAATTAGCGCTAAAATATTCAAGCTTATCCGAGTTATTGAAAATGGGTGTGGTAAAATTCATCTCTTACATTTAGCAACGGAGTAACGACAACTTGACTTAATGTCGGATATTAACAACTGATTTTTGGTCGTTGTTTAGTGACGAAAATAACGACGTCATAAATGACAAATCCCATGACAAAATTAGTGAATTTTTTTTTCTAGATTAGTGACGGAATGTGGTTTTTATCATAAAAAAATAACGACAAGCTAAATAGCGAAAGACGTAATTTTCGTCATTAACCCCTATTAGTAACGAAATATCGGCAATTAGCGACGGATTGGTAGTATTTAATTTTCTTCAATAATTCATTAATTAAAATTTTATATTGTATAAGCTCTAAAATATCTTAAATTCATTGATTTTTTTTCAACATATGATCACCGAAATTACGTCAGCTTCTTTATTGTATATATGTGTTTATTATATAATCGCAATCCGTTTATATACATTAATGCTTCAAGTTCAGTCTCTATGCTTCTACCCAATGACTCATGCAAAATTTCTTTTTCTTCCATACGAACATGCTAAAGAAGCTTATGCTCTCACCAACTCATGCAATTTTCTTTTTCTCCTCCACCGACATGCTAAAGAAGCTTAAATTATTTGTGAATAAACAATGAACCAAACGAGTATTTTATATAACTTGTACGTCACATAAAAATCTTTAAGATAGTCCAAAATGGGCAGTTAATGGTGCCCATCAATGGTATTTCATATAATTTCCTAATAATTTTCTATACATCCTCGCATGCAAAAAAAAAGAAGTAGATTGCTCGTCGTCACCTCTGCAACCTTCGACAATCAAGGATCGCCCAAAGATGCGCTAAGAAATTGGGACCATCGGATTTGGCTCCTCTAATGCTATTTTGCCATCATTTTCAGCGGAAAAAAACCTCAAACTCATCCTAAGAGTTCTCCTCAAACTCTTTCCAACTTCAAAAATCTATTATAATCCACTTTAAATGATATTAAATTAAAATCAACGGTTTGAAATGAAAATATGTCTCAGTTTCATTTTTTATATTTGTATTGCAAATAAATCTTTTATGGACACTAATCAATTCAACTCATTCATACAATCTTCCAGACAACTTTTTTTTTAATCTAAATAGTCATTTTCCACAACATCTCTCTTGTCTTCTTTCCACAAATAGAACTAGAGATCAAAGTTTACGATTGTCACAACCCAATTTTGAACCTCCAAAATCAATTGGATTAACTCTTTTAATTTATTTTATTTTTATTTCATAGCATTTGATGATACATGAATTTTAGTTAGTTTTATTTATTTATTTATTATTAGATTTTAATTGTGTTTTAATTTTGAAGATAAAACAAAAACAAAAACAAAAAAAAGAAGAAAGGAAAATACAGAATTTTAGATTAACTTCCTCTTTAGTTATTTCATCATGAAAACAAAACCAAAATGAAAAAAAAAACCAAAAAAAGGAAAAATACAAAACGAATTAGAATTAATTTTAGATTTTAGGGGTCTAATTGTAATTAAATTAAAAAATATATAGGGCAATTCACAAATTTTAGAAGTCTTGAAATGAATAACATCATGACTTTTTTAATATATATTTTTTTTGACAAAAATAGTTATCGAAATAGTCATTGCCTTCCCTCCTTAATTTTTGCCCTCTTTCTAGAAATATAGCTAAGGATCATTGTTTAAGACGATTAAAGTACATAGACTATTCCGTATAAACCTCAAATATACAGGACTGATGCAAATATATATTCAAAAAAATTACTTAAATTATCAGATAGAAAGATGTTGTTTTATACAAAAGCAACAAAAAATGACATGGTTTTGGCCCAATATACAGTCACTAAATCTACACTCTACACTAAAACACCATCCTCTTTTAGTTTATTTTGTTAATAACAATGCTAATAATTTAACTTTCATTTAAAAACCACATTTACGAATATAATAGCATTTTCCACTTTCCTAATTATAATTTCATTTAAATAAAAATTTCCAAAATAACAATAAATTAGCAATATATTTCTTCCCGCCAATTCCACAGCGAGAGAATTCCTCTCGTCTTTTTATCCCTACATCCGGAGAGAGAGAATCACAAAGATGGAGTTCAGTCTCAGCGGAAACGCGCTGAAAACCTTCGCTCGCTCCATCACGTGTCTCTCACGTGTCGGCAACGAGCTTGCTATTCAAGCTTCTCCTGCTCAGGTACTCACTCCTTTTCACTTCCTCCCTCACTTTCCCTCTCTTCAAAAGCACTGATATCTGATTAACAATTACAATCAAAAACTGAAACTTACTGTTTCCTTTCCATTAATTGGTTTTGTAATTACTATTTGAATTCATTTTAGGTTTTTGTATTTTTGATTTTAGGGTTTCAAAACAGAGAAAAGCTAATTACAATCGTTATTAGTTAGTTAATCATTAATTAAGTTTTACAATTTTCTTATATCTCTTCAGCTTGCGCTCCACACGCTAAATTCATCGCGATCTGCTTATCAGTCGATAACATTTAAGCCGAGTTTATTTGACGTGTATACAGTTTCTGGTACCGAAGTAAAATTCAGTTTGCTTCTGAAGGTAATAAATGGTTATAGTCTTTTAATTTTAGATTACAATTAATGGTGTTAGGTAATCTAGTGTTGTCAGTTACTGACTTTGCGTGTGTGTGTTCAGGCTATTTGTTCAGTTCTCAGGACACCAGTTGCGGGTATCGATCACTTGATTGTGCAATTGCCTGATCCGGATGCATTGAAAGTGCAGTGGACTTTGGAATGCTTCAATGGTAAATGTGTTTGTTTGTTAATGCTTCTTAGAATGCTCAGTTGATTGCTGTATACTTAATATTGTGAAGTGGAGATAATTGGTGGCTGGCACCTTTTTGTGGCAATTATCATTTCTACTGGATACTATATTGAAAATTATTTGTGCATTTTATGCTGTGAAATCATGGAAGATTTCATTACGATGTTAGTATTAAGAAGCATGGTCACTCTGGTAGCTTTCATGCCTTAGTGTCCAATAAGGAGTTATTGAGTTGATTCTAAATGAAGGTTACAGTGAGTTGGTGAGTTGATGTCTAGTCCTGATATGAATCATAAAAACATGGAAGGTAATGTAGTGACAATGTACGCCTGTAGATAATATATATTCCTTGAATTGTAATTTGCCACGTTAGAGTTTGTTCCAATTGAACTGCTTATGTTGCATATATGCCTTTTATTCTTGACTGTTTGGTTGGGTGCTTCGCTTAAGTGTTGTGATCAGAGATTCATAGTACAACCATAATTACCACACAATTTTACAAGTTTAATTATATAGTGTGTTATTCAATGTTATCATCCTCATTGTTTCAACAGCTAAAATGCATAATTTTGTACTTTGATGATACTGATTGAATGCTCTACCTTTGTGATCTTGCCAAGCAGCTGCTCTCATTTGCCATCACATTTTGGAATATAGGTTATATTTAGTTAATTATTTTGTGGTCACAACAAATTCACAACTTCTATGTACAGGTATGAGAAAATCCTATTGGATTACTTGCAATATTGAGCCAGAGATACAACATCTATCTCTTGATAGGAGAAGATATCCAAGTAGCTTAGTTGTGAGACCTCGTGATCTTAATCGGCTGCTAGCTAATTTTCAGTCATCACTCCAGGAGATCACCATCATTGCAACAGAACCTGCTTCCATGACTTCTGACACTGATAGTGAAATAGGAGGAAAAGCAGTTGAACTGAGAAGTTATATAGACCCAACCAAAGGTGAGTACTCACTAATGATTTTTTGTATTCCTGACCAGTCTCAAACGGGACATTCATGCATCAAATTTTCAACTACAGACAATGATTCTTCACTGCACACTCAGCTGTGGATAGATCCAGCTGAAGAATTTGTCCAGTATGCTCACAATGGAGATCCTGTGGACGTAACATTTGGTGTGAAGGAACTGAAGGTATGGTGGTCTTGGTCCTGAGCCTGTAGTATATTATTTGAGTTTTCATAACATTTTTGCCGTATGCTCAAGTTGACGAATCCTTGTTTCTTTCTTTTAACAATCTTTTGTACCATTGACATGGAGATTAAGGCCAGCTATTCATTGTTACTGTTATAATTATTGTCATGTAGTTCTCTGGCATAAATCTTATGTTTTGACCAATTAGTTAATGAATGTCTATTTGGGTTTTGTCACTATTTCTTAATTGCAGGCATTTCTTTCTTTCTGTGAGGGCTGTGAAGTTGATATTCATTTATATTTTGAAAAAGCTGGAGAGTAAGACGTTTCCTCTTTCTGTCCCAGTTTATCAACCTTCTGTTTTGTTTTCTTGCTGTGTTGCACCTCGTCTCCTTCCTGAAGAGTAGTTCATTTTATGAGTTTTTTGTTCAACCACTGGATTCAGCCTATCTGCAGATCAACCATGATGTTAAGTATCCATTTGGTCACAAATTGAAGCCTCAGCAAGCATCCACACTACAAGTTGCTGACAGTCTTCTTGTCCATGAATGTGTGTGTGTGCAAGCATAAAGTTATTACGTAAACTTGGTGTAGAATAAGTTTGAGCTAAAAGATATAATTTTCCCCTAAATTGCATGCATTTCATTGGAACATTAGCCTCGAAGTGTTGCTAGAAATATTTGTATTTGCAGATTGATTTGCATTGCTTAAAACCCACAATTCAAAACTTTGTTAAAAAAGAAGCTAAATTCCAAGTTGTATTGCATCAGTAATTTGGACTCATGCATTTTCATCACACCATTAACAGCAATCCTTGTTTGTTTTTAGATACTATTTGGGATTCGGTGTTATGATTGTCTAAAATATGATTCAGTTCGTGCAAAAACCATGTGTTGGTAAACAGGCCTATTTTAATGGCACCAAAATTTGGTCTAGATGATGGGTCCAGTTCAAACTTCGATGCTACTCTTGTACTTGCAACTATGCTTATATCACAACTCCATGAAGGAAATCCATCAGAAGCTCCACCTTTGGTTACCACAGAGTATGGTCAGGCTGCAGATGAGACAAGGACTCAAGGACAACAAGAGAGATGTAGAGTGAATGTTTCTGAACATCCATCTGATCACACCAGAATTTGGTCTGAAATTTCAGGTAATTGTTTAAAGTTTCAATGGCGACTTTATTTGTGCACCTGAAAATCTTCCATACTTTGACTTCATGCAGGAAGTGCAGCAAGAAGTGGTAGTGGTGCTGAAGCAAGACAGGCTCCAGGAGAAAGAGATTTGAATGCTAATGAACAGCGGGAAATCCAAAGGATCAGCACAATGCAAATCTCGAAAGACATGTCTGCTAGAGAAAATGTTGTCGTGGATTCTAGTCTGTATCCTAACTGTTACTGTTTGTTTCTGTATGTTACCTTTTCTGGTCATGTGATTTTTAGAGTTCTCATTGCTTGAATTTCTAGTGATGGACTTTACATCTCTTTCTCTCTAAGCATGTTTGGTGGGCAAATGTCCCAAGTCTTACATGCCAACAGCTAGCATAGACAACTGGATAGATGAAGGATTCAGCATCTAACATGGTCATAGTAAAAAAATTTGTTGCATTTTCAGGGGGTAATTTGGATAGAACTATGTTAGTGTTTTGAGTGGTTGCTGTTAAGTTGTGGAGACTGATGTGGATGTGGCCTATAGTTTAGCATGCTATGTGGAGTTAGCATGGCAGTCTCGCAAGCCGCTCAGTGAGCAGGGGTCAAGGGGGCAGCGCCCCTTGCAGTTGCAGGGGCTCGGGGGCAGATCTCCTGAAAGGTTGACAATGCATTGGGCCTGCTGTATAGGCCTGTAAGGATTTTCAATAATCCTAGTTGTCCATACTATAGATGTGGACAATATCTCTTATATTTGTGGTTGATCAAAAACCTAATAAGAACTCCTAGTGTACTCGTAGATGTAGGCACACTTGCCGAACCACGTAAATCTTGTGTTGTGTGATTGTTTATTGGCTTTCTGTTTTATCTTGCTTGATTCATTTTCTAACAGTTGCTTGGAACTAAGGTGGTAAGGTATGGTGGCTTTGTTATGTGGACCCACACAGGTAATTTGCAACTGGATATTGCTTCATTTGACTTCATCTTCTACAATATTATGGATCAGTGTTTACAATCTGCAAAAGAAGAGAGGAAAAAGCAAAAAAACCCTTTCTATAAAATCATATGTTATGTAGTTCTGTTCATCCTTGGTAGAGTTTTGGCAGCTGTGAGAATACATTTAGAGGCTTTGATTTGTGTTTTCAACTCAAACTCATCGAAGCGGTATTCATATGACTGGAAGAAGTCCATGTTCTGTGCTCGCTGGCCAGGAAATTGAGTTTGAATCTGTTAGCAATCCTCGCAGAACAGGGCCTCTTTTGTTTTTTGTTTTTTTTTTGGCAAGTAGATTGAAAGCATGAAAAAGGTCAAGTAAAATATTAATTTTATCCATACAATAACCAGGTTCTTTGTTCTGTGAAATTTTTTACATATCTACTCAATTTAGATTCTCCTGAATATCATTCCTGGTTATAAGAATTGGAATTACAACAGCACGAAATATCATGCACTGGCATGAGTCCACTATACTACCTAAATAATTACTAATATATCACTTTAATGTTTGTAATAAGTCTTTTGCGTGAATTCTAATATCTGGTTGATGAGTTGAACTGCATTCCTTGACTTGATATATTAGTTGCCATCCTATGGAAAAAGATCATGCAAAAGAAGCCCAAGGTTAGTGGTAATCTTGTTTGGGCTAACCTTACAAAAGATTTCCTGCTGCTTTATACTTACAATTTTTCAATTTTCTGCTCCCAGGGAGGTCAGAAACTAATGGCCATGGTTTTTCTCAAAGTCATCCTAGTAACTGGGTGGACGCAGACGATGACGACGACGACGCAGATGGAAATGAATTGTGTGTTCAGTCAACACCGCCATACTATGAAGAACAATAGCGACTAAGGATTTCTTTCTCCCTTGATAGTCTGCTTTCTACCTTTCTTCTGTTGTAAGTGTGTGAATGAGTTCTATATATTTGCTTATTTTCTTATTTTTGCTAAAGGTCATTTTCTTATTAAAGTTTGTTTCCTTTGACAAATCTTATCAGCATTTCTATTTCTTTATTTCTCTTGTATTGTTCAAGAGTTTCAAAGAAATTTTGTGATAGATAAAAAGTAAATAGAGAAATATTCGAACTACCTATGTAACTTTCAACTGGACATGGTCATAATTTGTGTGAGTTTTATCTTCATCCAAATGTAACGAAGATGCCATAAAATGAAAGAATTAACTATAAAAATATTGAAGTATATGATAAGGAGTAGTTTAATGCATTTAGAAAATAGAATAGTACATAAAACCACCATTCCTTGTCACTTAACAAGGCACGCTGCCCAACATAGAAAGCTGTCCCTTATACGAATCTGCCTGCTTCAGTAATACTGACATTATTATTTTAAATTGGCGCTATCCTACTTCTGAACAACGTTCATCCGTAAGATCAAATGGATGCACCATGTGCTATTCATGAAAAGCTCGAAATTTTCGTACTGGTTTTGTGCTGATGGGCTCCTCCATGTTATTCTTTCAACACTGACATTTTTCCTGCACATTTACTGGACCCAACCTTGAAAGTATATGTTGGCTTCCATTAATGTCCTCTTATCTATTGAACCTCTTATTTAAATGATATTTCTGGGACATGATGTGTGAAAGGGCATTTGGATCTGAAGGTGCCAAACTCCAAGGTTAGGCTTTGGGATTGGTGGATGTTTCAAGAACTTACGTGGTTCATCATCCATTACAATGCATTAATTAGACATTAATTAGATGACCCCACTGTTTGCCATGTTTATGAAGCAAATCTGAGCATTCATTTTAGATTGAAGCTATCTTGCAGCGATTACGGCCTTTAATTTGGTCTTTTGAACTTAGAAGAGGTGAAGGTTTGTTCACTATGATCACTAACTTTCTCTTTCATTTTGTTGTGATAGATTATTGACAATAGTTAGAGTTCATTTGAACTTAGATTGGCATGATTTGATAATGCCATTGATAATTGTGATGCCGAGCTGAAGCTCTAGAAGGATTATACTATAAATGACATGGGTTGGAAGCAAAACAAAAATCGAGGACGATTGATTGAAAATACTGTCCCACTCGAAACATTTCTTTCTGTTGATAGACAGAGGAAGCTGCTCAAGGGGTGAAAACACAGTTATGATGTTTTAGACTGCTGTTGCATGTTCTTTACAAACGATGAACTGGCTATTCTGGATTCTCCAAAAAATGCATGTCTTTTCTAGATGGAAAATGGATGTGCATATTAGTTTCGGAAACGCATCTCGAGGAAAATGGCCATTGGGATGTTGCAACTGTGATGTTCTTCTTCAATTCAAGGACCTGCTTCCAACCTGGTTTGTTAATCTGTTACAGATTGCAGAGAAGTTCCATGGCTTTCCCTTCCATGCATCAAATTCTCAATCAGTGCAACTTGGAACCTAACCCGAGATGAGTTGATCATGTATATTTTCAGCAGCTTTACAAATTGATTTGGGAATCGAACCGTCTCCAGTAGACCTTAAATATCGATTGTTAGACGAGTTTTTTTCCTACATTTTCCCATCAAGTAAGATTCTTACAGTCTTTCAACTGTTTACAAAATATTCAACTTAGTTCAGTTAGCCAATTAAGTTTCTAAACTGCAATGTGGATACTGGATAGTTTGGATGAGTTGGGTCCTTGAAATCTTGAACGCTGTTGATTCTGATGCCTTTAAAATCTATAGGTGGGGTTCATTCTGTTAACAGAATCCTAACCATTGAAGATTTCATTAGACATCCATTCATGTAGCATGTCAGGATGTCATAGAACCATTATTGATGTCATAGAGCCAATCTTTCCTCGTGATTTATTTATTCATTCTTGACGATTTCATGGTAGGTTTGGAACAGTTCAGAGTTCAGAAATCAATTTTTATACTCTTTGTAACAGCATCCGCACAAAAAAGTCTAGTTTAGAGTTCACCTTTTTTAATGTAAGTCTACAACTCCTAAATTCAACTCTATGATGTGACAAATGATGATTATTAATGTATCACAATGTCTAGGATTAGAATTACAATTTTGTCATGTTTTAATATATTAAAACTATTTTTTTTATTGTAAAAAGTAGTATTTTTCAAATTTAGAAGGTCTATTAGAATTTTTTTGAAGTTCATGGATTAAAATAGATAATGGGGTTGTTTGGAAAATTAGAAAATTGAGATTATCTTTGTCAATAATTAAGAGAATGTTTTTGGGGTCTTGGTAGTGTTTTTTAACCTTCTTGTGATTAATGGGGAAAGAAAGTGAAACAAGAAGATTCACGAGGAAAGGAAGATTTTTCTTTTTGAAAAAAAGAATCATATATGTATGTGAAATAAAAAGAATTTTATAAAAAAGTGGTTAAGAGACAGCTGGCTTTGGTAGGGTTAGTTTTGGGACGCGCAAACACCGTCCATTGTGATCTGTAAAAGGCCCCCACCTTTAACGGCTACGTGCACGTCACTTCAGCGCTTACAACTATTAGTTAACGCCGTTTAAAAAAATTCTTCTAGCCGTTGAACATTTTAAATGTTGTTTGGCGGGTGGAAGAGTCTCTCTCTTTGATTTTTCCAATTTAGTGGGGCTTTCGCATATAGAATTGCCAGCACAATTTCTTATGGTAATAGAAAATGTTTTTGCAAACAATATTCTCTTAAGCACATGCCGAGCACTTTAATAGAGCATAGTTTCATAGGGATCGCTTAAGTCAATTGATAAAGATCACTTAGTTTTATTTTCAGAAGTGTAATTTTTTTTTTTTGAAAAAAAACGCTTGCTATTTTTTAAAATAGTAATTTTATTAAATTAAAACTGAGAAATACTTTTATCTTTAGATTAGAAGTCAATAAGAAAACAAAAGATTCTCTATGTAGAGAAATGGGTTTACACACCACTATAAGATAATCTAAAAATATACCATAAAAATTTTACATAGAAACCAAAGGTTTAGATTTTAAATCTAAATATTAAAAAACTATTTTACAAGTGAATGGATAACTGGTACATTCTTGATTGACAACAATAGTATTTATATTGTTTTGATCTTCTACTTTATTTTTTTTTATTTAGATAAAAAAATTTAAATATTAATTTATTTACATTATGCAAAGTTTACATTGCAGTCAAAAACTCACGGAAGGATAGTTCATGTAAAACAGGAAAAAATAACATTTGAATTAAAAATAGCCTTCCAAAAAAAAAAAAAATACATGAATGGTAAAACTGGGATTAAAGGAAAAGACTCAAGTATAAAGGTCGAAAGAGAAATCCACAAAACGAAAGCTCTAGTTGACGGTTATATTGATTAGTGGGAAAAGGTAAACGGGGGCATTAATTAACGGTAACGGATGCTTGTTGTACGCTAAAATGGAATTAAGCCAGGTAGGAAAGAGAAAACGTGTTTCCGTTAAGATTCTTGAATGGGCTAGGAGAATAGATGGCTAAACCCTAGATTGATGCCTTATAATTTCTCTTACTTTTATAGTTTTATTTTCTCTCTCCTTTCCTACGAAACTGTGATAGAGGAAGGAGAGGAAACGACAAGCAGGACTAGTACTTGTAAATCTTAGGTATGGACATATGAATACGTCCATCATGTTCGTTTTAATAACGAAGTTGACATCTTCAATTTTCCTTTTCATACTTGCTCCAGGTGGGGAAGCATTTAGGTGGGATTTGGTGCCAAACTTTTGCCAAAACCCTCTTATAATTTAATATCCCATTTTGATGTTAGGTTTGGGTTAGTTTTTTCTTAAAAAAACCTAATAATCTATCAAATATAAAACATATTTTGACGTTAATTTTATTTAAAAAATTATAAATTTAATATCAATTGATGTAAAAAATAATTTAAAAATATTCTATTAACGGTAAATAAATAAAAAAATTCATACTCCCATTTTCGTTGATTTTGTATGAAATCCAATGCTAGTTGAAGCCTACTAGCAATTAACTAGTTAATTTCCAATATGTATTAGTAGATGTAATAATTGTCAAATCTTCATTATGTAACAATAATTCTAATTATTTTTATAAGTGACCTTTTATTGAAAAATTTAATCATTTTTTTTTGTAATATATATAAGTTTGTGTTTTTTTTTTGGGGGGAGGGGGGTAGTTAGATAACATAATAGGATTAGTTATATGACAATGATATTTTTTCCGGCCAATTTTTTTTTTTTAAAAAAGTTGATGATATTAATGCTTTGTAACTAAACATCCAACATAATATTATTAGAGTGATACATTTCCGATATTTTTCATTTCGTTCAATCAGTTAATTCAAACTTAGTTGTAGTTCATTAGTATTTGTATTGATTGTACCAAAGCTCTAGTGCTGATTATTGCCTAGACTAGTATTACGCAGGATAATGTCAACTTAATGTGAAAGTAAATGATGACATTTTTAATTTTTCAATTAATTATTTGCATTTGAAAATACAAAGTTTAACTGTACCCTCAAACTCTTAGGGTTATATTACTTTACATCCAAACTATTTTTTATATCAATTTTATTATAAAATTATTTTGATTTTTCAATCAATAACTTTTATTAGAATCATTAAACGAAAAACGTTAAGTTTCCTATGGAGTTTATTACTTAAAAAAAAGTATAATTTAGATAAAAAAAATATATAGAAGAAAATCTTAAAAATAGACAGAAGTACTTAATTGAGAGTTTTTTATAATTTAAAAGTAAAATTGATATGAAAAAATGTTTGCTGATAAAATAAAAACTACTTATATAATTAGAGGATATTTTTGAAATTTATCCGTAATTTGGCCCTTAATCTCCCTATCCATTAGTCAACAATACCAAATATCAAAATCAAGTTCCAACCATGCATTCTTCTGTAATCCACCAAAATTATGTGTTGAACAGTTCTTCTAAAAAAAAGAAAACAACAAGGGAGTTCATTTGTTTAAAATATTATAGTATAAAATACGCACAAGAGGTCAGAATTCTAGAATCATTAGGAGGTTGGTGGTGCAATAGCTTAATCTTTGTAGTTAGTGGCTGCCCATGAACCCAAAATTTCAAAGAAACGAATGGCAGTTTGGTAAATAAAACCCAACATCGAAGTCAATCATGAATACTTGTCTACTTATAAGTATTCAACTAGCTAACCCCTTAGCTGTTGTCTTAACCTCCCGAAGAGAAAAGAATAAAGAAACCTTAAGCTCATCACCATATACAACGGTACCATCATCTCCACTGACCCAACAGAGAGAGAACCGACAGGAAAGAAACCAAGAAGACCAAAAGGAGGGAAAGAGAGAGTGTTTTTGTGTATATTCTTGTCCAAGAAATGGCGAAGTTGAGTTCTTGTTTCTTGATTTCAGCTACAATCTTGATCTTGGTGGCGATGGGCTTATCATCCACCGTCCAAGGAAGTGTGGACCACCACCTGGGGTGGATTCCGGCCGCCGCCACCGCTAGATCATCAATCTGCAACAAGGGGTCTATAGCGGAGTGCATGGCTGAGGATGGGGAAGAGTTTGAGATGGACACAGAGATCAACAGGCGCATTTTAGCAACTACCAAGTACGTCAGCTACGGTGCGCTTCAGAGGAACAATGTTCCTTGCTCTAGGCGTGGTGCTTCTTACTATAATTGCAAGAACGGTGCCCAGGCTAATCCTTATAGCCGTGGATGCAGTCGCATTACAAGGTGCAGGGGCTGAGTTTTATTTATTTATTTACTTATCATTTTTTTTTCTTTTTGGTTTTTTTTTTTAATGGGTTTGATTGATTGTCATACGTGAGGGGAAAAAAAAGGGAAAGAAGTTGGTGCTGTTGGGTCGTTGATGTTATTGATGGAAATATTGTTGTCGAAACTATATTTGGATGTCTTTGTAAAAGATAATTGTTAACTACTACTATTATTCTTTTTTTTTTCCTAATATTTGTCTCTAATTTTCGTAATGGGCACTTTTTTTTTTCCCCATTTTGTGCTTTAGATTTGTTAATTGTGTTAATTTAGGTGGAAAGATCTGTGATTTAAGTTTGATTGGTTTAATTTTGGAAATGGGTAATTTCCCTCTAGCTGGTTAAATTTCTTTGTTCATAACAAAAACTTCTAATTATTTGTGTTTTTATTGCCATGGATTTTTTTTTTTATTCACTATATTTCGTTAGGTTCCTCATAATTGAATTATGGGCACCTGAAGAAACTAAAATGCAGATTGATTCAATTGATAGATGGGGTAGGACAACATTTTATGCCAAAGAATTTATACAAAATTTGATCCCACTTTTGGGTCAAGGAGTCTAGTAGTCCTATACCATTTACAGCCATTTTTTCTTCTTGACATGTCTATTTGTTGAGCAACTCTATTGGGACTTGTGTGTTTTTTGCTAGCAAGTCATGAAAATTCTCGTTTTGAAATGGACTGGTAGGTAGCTTCCTGTGTTTTCTCTCTCTCTCGTGTAAAGACTGAGAGAAGAATAGTACAAGTAATGACATGAAAGGTAGGAATTGAAAGACAGAAAATAAAGTGATATAAAAGCTGACAGAGGAAAAGATTGTACAATTATTGGGTTGTATTTAGCATAGATTAACTCAGATAATTGAAGAAAGATGATGGAGAGAATAAATGAAGTTTACTCTTTCTCTTTGAACATAAAGAGGTGGAAACAAAGTATACATTATTCTTACAAGCATTTAAGAAATACAACCTCTTTTATGACTTAAAATTGGCTACCCAAAGTTGTGTAAACCTCTAAAATCTAAAATCTAACACATGCCTGTGCTTAATCATGGCTTCTTGATAGCAAAGACAAGAGTCAAGGGGATTCTATTCTTGTCAAAAACAAGGTAAAAGAGGTATAAATTTTGGATCATTATTATTATTTTTTCAAACTCAAAAAACTAAATTAATTATTTATTATTCGGCCCCGATGTATAAGGTAAATATAATTGTCCAAAGAGTTTTATGCATAAATAAAATTTAAACTCAAAATCACTCGTTTGAATTAGTGAAACTCATTCTCATTATGCTAAAGTCAACTCTTTTGGGTCATTTTGGATTATTATTAGTACTTAGATAGGAGGATTGTGGGCATAAATTTTGGATTAAGAAGCCACCTCTCTTGGATCATTTTGGATTATTATTAGTACTCAGATAAAAGGACAATGGGCATAAATTTTGGATTAAGAAGGTGAAAAGTTGCATCTTAATCAACTAGAAGACCAAATCTCAACCTATCATTTACATCAACAAATCATAGTTAGGCAGATCATCATCAGAAGGTAATTAAGAATCACATCAATTTGTGGCAAATTGATGTGATTCACGTGAAAAGTGAATGATTGAGTGAGTTGAAGCAATGACAATACCTAAACAATTTAAATGTTGGTGTTCATATTATTAATTTCCTTTCTTTAATCTCTTTGGTGGCCATGCTCTGTTTGTTAGTGATGGGTCCATCTCCCTGTTGTTTCTCATAAATTAATCAATCAAAAGCCAGACAGCGGTCCCCTTAGCCAAACCCACGAAATTTTTCGAAAGGTCTTTCTAAGATTTTCCTTTTACACTGTTGGGATTTTTGTTTCATCTTTCCTAAAAGGTTTGAGATTGCTGTTTGTGCGCAACTTCTTCAGGACATTTACTGTAGTTTTTTTTTTCACCTTCACACACCGACATTATTGATTTTTTTTTTTTTTTTTTTTTTGGTATGATTGGTTTTAGATAAATCGTTCATACGCTCAATGAATTGGCGAGAAATTAATAACTTGCTTCTTACAATTTTGAATTCGAAAATTATAAATAACAATGGGTGATAAAAATCTAGGAGGTTTTGGATTATTCTCTTAAAATATGATTGTTATGTTGGTTGAATTTAAGTCATTGGATTCAAATTGAACCAATATAGTTTATTGTATGCATGATAAAAATAGTAACAACTTAACTCTTTAGGTGGCGTTTGGTTATTAGGAATGAAAAATTCAAAATAAAAATACAGAAATTGAAATGATATTTGTATTTACATATTATGTTTGAAATGCCAATGAAGAATCAAAATGCAATTTAAATTTTTTAATATCTAATTTTTTATATAAATAAAAATAATGATTAAAAAAATAATTTTATCAAACTATAATGGTAGTAAAAATAATAAGGATGATGGTGGTGGTGTAAAAGTAGTTAATAAAATAATAAATAAATAAAATATATTATTATTTTGAAAAAAAAATTTATTCTCATTCCTTATTTTTATTCTCACGTCTTATATGGAAATGAAGTTGTATGTAAATTTTCATTTTCATTCTCGTTCTTCATTTTTATTTTCATTTCATTTATTTTAATTGAACGACTACAACGTAAGAATATAATTTTCATTCTCATTCCTATCATTTCATTCCAGCATTATCAAACAACACCTTATTATTTTATTTTTTCAATTTAATCCAAATCATTGAGTTCAAAATTAATTATATTAGGTTTGAAATATGATCGATCACAAAATAATCCAAAGTCCAGAACTTTTTAATACCGAGATATATATGAATATGTACACAACTTTTATAAAAGATACGGAGATATTTAAGATATTTCGGATAAAGTAATTTAAGATACCAAATATTCTTGCATTCGGTAAGTTAAGAAATCTTAAATTTTTTGAAATCTCAAATGTTCTATGATATTAAATTGTCCACAAACTTAGTAATGTTATTCGTTTAAAAGAGAAATTTTAGATGCCAAAGACAAGGGATTTTTTTTTAAAAAAAAAAAGAATTCACGCAACAAAAGGCTCCCAAAACGTTGTCGGTAAAATTTACTGCATCATGAGATCAGGACATGAAATGTAAATCCATGTGGATCCCACACCATAATTTTTTAATTCTTAGTGTTTGTTTGACAAATGACAATGAAACGTACGTTTTGTTACCCAAAAAAAAAAAAAAAAACAGTGCTTGGAGTGGAAAAAAAATGAAATTGATGCATTTTCAGATAAATCATCAAAAAATACTTTAAAAATATCAAATTAATGTTTTCCAGATAAAAAACATTTTTGAATACCGCATAAATAAATGCATTGGGAATCGCATTATTGTGTCGAAATGATCATTTCAATTAAAAAGTTTTAAAATAATTTTTTAATATTAATTAACACATTTTCTCAAATAAAAATCTTTCAAGTAAACAAATTTTGAATTTAAAATTTTTATAGATATATAGATTTATGCCTTTTCAATTCAAAAGTTTAAAAATAATTTTATAATATTTATTAACACACTTCCTTAGATGAAAAATTTTTAATTTTTTGAAATAAAAATTTTCGAATTTAAAATTTATATGGATATGTAGATTTATGTTTTCTTGTGCTTAATTTTTTTAATTAATTAAAAAAAGTGAATATAGTATAATTCAAATTATTTACCGTTTAGTTAATAAGTTTTGATAATACTAATAACATGTTAAAAAATTATCACCATTTAAAAATTTAAATTATTAAATAAATTTGTATAAATAATTTTATATTCCTCGTCAATAATAGTAATTGGTGTGTAAAGTACAAACACGATATCCGGGTGACGTGAGATCAGATCCATCACTCGTAATGGACCCCCAAGAACTGTGAAAAGTCTGTTTGGAGTCTGAAACGGCCCATCTGGAAACGTCAGATTTCCTGCTCTGAATTCAAACATGCTCGCGTGACGACTCTGTTTTTCTTGTAGACTAGCAGTGAATTCTGATAGAATTTGCTTAAAAACCTGATTGGCAAATGGTAATTAGGGGACACTGCAGCTACCATTCCCAGCCACGTGGTGATCAGTAGAGTCCAAACCCAAAAATCTATATATATCTGGACAGGGTGCAAGGGTGAGTCTATGGACTATGACACAAGGCTTTGCATATCTATCTCTTCCTCACCAGAAGCTAGCTAGCTAGACAGCTTTCCAATTCTCCGATCCCAAAAACCGGCATCCAGATTCCAGGAGCAGTAAGTTATGACTATTGATCACTGCAAGAATAAGACCTTGTTTGAGCTATCAATGCCTGGGAGCAGGAAGTTATGTGAATAATGAATCTGCCGTGACTTGTGATACGTCAGGTTAACCCACCAGACGTGTGGTCCAAAAACATGTAAGGTGATGACAGGTCTCTTTCACTATTACAGCAAACTTTAGTGTCCATTGAGCTAGTTAATGTCTTCGACTAAGTAATTACTAATGCATTGATCTTGTCTGACGAAATTATTGTTCAATGAATTATACATAATTATTCTTTTAATAATATGATATATTAATCAAATTATCTTACGATATTCTAAACCTAACTCATATACCGTTATATTGATTGAACAACTCAATTCTTAAAACTATAAAATTAAATAACTAAAACTAAATTTTATTTAAAAAATTTAAGTTTTATGATGAATGATTCTTTCTCAATCTTATATATTAATTATTTTTAATTTAATTATTTAATATATGATATGTGTAATAACAAAAACGTACTATAATCTCATGCGACAAACCTTTCAATTGACGTGCGCTCTTGAAAAAGATCAACCTCGCTCTCTCTATGTATAGTAAAGGGATCGTATTACTAATGAAGTCGTCATTTTAAAAAAAAAAGTTAGGTAAATCTGCTTCATCAATATACAAAAAAATGGCTCTATCATTATATAAATTATTAGGTAAACTTAGTTCCACGACGACCAATTGTAGATGTACGTGATATCATTTTATTTAGGCATGCCGTCAATTTCAAAAGAAAGAGACAATAACTATATTAAGTATAATGAAATGTGAGAAAAATAATAATAATCAGTAGTATAGTGAATTGTACGAGAGGAAGAAATTTTTGACACGTGGCAAATTTTTAAAAAAATTATATAGATTACCTTTTTTCTTTTTTCATTTTAATCATTTTATGTTTCTTTTTAATGAGAATTTATTTGGTTGTTTGGTAAGTGTATTTCCTCCATCTACTGCTATTTCATTTCCAAATCAACCTATTATTATTTGGTAAGTTGTATATCAGTACTTTGTGTTGAATATTTCTAAGGATTTTTCTGACGCTTCTCAATCTATATAAAAAAGAAATGTTTCTTTTTCACAACCAAGTGGATTCGATTCCATAATTAAGTAAAATTCCAATCCAAGATTCAATATTATTAGATTATAGAAATTAAAGCATTCTACTTGTATCAATTACTATGTATCCTCACGATACATGTTAGAAAAACCCTATGTTTTTATTATTTTGTAATATAGTGAACATGCAATAAATTAATTCTTAAGACTGTTTGGATGATTCTATGTTCTAAATACAACAAGCTTCATTATGCTATTGAGCTCTTTCAAATAAATTTCGAGTAAAATTGCTCAATTATTGAGGGAAAGATGGAAAGTTATTGTGAGTTAATGAAGATCAAAGTGCTTATCCCTCATATCTCGAAGATTCCTGGTGTTACCTTATACTTTTTGACCTTTAGCTCTTTTTTGTGCATTTGGCCTTTTTCTTCTTATTATCAATCGATATTTATTTTAAACTCTATTTGTTAAGGCTGGTACTTGAGTTAGAGTAAATTATAAATTAGTCCCTTTCGTTTGGAGAAACGAATTAATTAGTCCCTATTGTTTTGAGAAAATAGTTAATTAGTCTCTCTTATTTTAAAAACTAATTATCTAGTTCTCATATTTTGAAATATACTAGTAATTTAGTTATTTTTGCTTCTTTTTAATTTTTTATTTTAAGAAATAGAAAGAGGAAAAATATACAAAGATTGATGAGAAAATAAGAGATTTTATAATAAATAATATTAAATTAAGTACAATCAATACCGATTAAAAGACTAAGTAATAAATTTTGAAACAAAAAGGATTAATTAGTTTGTTTCTTGAAACTAGAGAGACTCAATTATAATTTACTCTCTCTCTCTCTATATATATGCGTGTGTGTTTTTGTTGACGTGAGAATACTAGAAGTTAAAAATATTTGTTTAGACTCAAGAGAGTTGAGTAAAGCGAAAAAGACTTTAGTCGTTTAATTAAATGATTTCAAATTCAAATTCCTATATATATATAAACTCTTTAAATAATTATGCATGCTTTGTATATTCGATCAAACAATAAAAGATTGTTCTGAATTTTTAAACTTAAAATATTTTGGGATTTCAAAAATAATTGTTCGACATTGACATTAGCATATTGTTTTGAAAATATACTCAGAGGATCCTTCTTTTAACATCATTTGATCCTACAACGCCAAGAACAAATGAAAACGAAAGTTTCTATATCCATCTATTATATAAAGCCATGGAAGAGGAGAAAATCTACAGGTTGCTAATAAAATATCAGGCTTCACAAAACAAGCTTCAAAATTAATGAAAATTTTGTTATTTTAACTATAAAGAAAAGAACCCCATCATAAGGATTTGTTTCTTTCCAGGAAAATATTTTCTATATATCTTTTTTATTTTTTCTCTATGAAACAAACATTGAAAAATAAATCACATAAAATATTTTTTCTAGTCAATTCTCAAATGGTATCAGTTTAGGAGGGAAATATTTAATCTTATAAAGTCAATATAGGTTTATATCTATCTATCCATGATCTATAACTATATATAAAATAAAGTTAATTTTGTTTATATTTTCTTAAAATTATACTTGAATAATATTTTTCAAAATAGACTTCATTTAGAGGTAATTTTTTAAAAATACAATACCTAAAATTTTCGTCAAATAAGTATTTTGAAACTGATATAATTAAAAAAAAAAGTAAATAATTTTTTAGGACAGAGAAAATGATAAATAGTAAGTGTGCTTCTAGTTAAAAATGGAACACATCTAAATGTTTTGTTCTAAAAACCAAACAGTTTCTTTAGAATAAAATCTGAAAGTAAAACAAGATTAAAGAGTTTTTAGATAAAGAACAGTTTAAAACGACCGTGCTTTTAAATACACACGTAAGAAAATTTTAAGTTTTAGTTTCCTAACGGTGAACCAAATACAGTAAAAACTAAAAAATACATTACTAATAATTTTTTACTGAAATTTTCAACCGCCTTAACAGAGGCTACCCAATAAGCTTTCTAGAACAATCTATACCAAGCGCGTAGCATGTGAGGGATGTTTGCCTTTGCTGTCAAACCTGTTTCTTAGCAACTAAGACGTCAACCCCGGGACGCCTAAATTTCACCAAATGACAACCCGCCACGTACTCAGTCTAAACTCTCACCACAGCCGTCCGTTCCCACCGATTTTCGTGCTCCCATTTCACACTGAGATCCGTGCCACCTGTTCAATCCTTTCTATAAATAGAAAACTACTCTTTTTATGAGCCCTCATCTCATTCTCGTTCTCATCGAAACCTTAAAAAATTTAAAAATCAAAGGTAAAAACCTTATTTTTCTCAAAGCTTCGAAGACCCCTTTTGGTTAAGTTTATTACAACTTAAGACTCTCTCGTCATGGCTGAAAGTGATGTCAATATGCAACAACAATTGGTAAGGATTCATTTCCTTTCCTTTTTTTTTTTTAATTTTTTGAAATTGGGTTTTGGGGATTTTGTTTTGATTGAATTTGTTCCGTTTTTGGAAGACCAAAGAGGAGGAAGAGAGGAGGCTGAAGTACTTGCAATTTGTGCAAGTGGCTGCAATACATGCGGTGTTGACATTTACGAACCTGTATATTTATGCTAAGGACAAGGCTGGTCCATTGAAGCCTGGTGTGGAGACTGTCGAGGGGACGGTTAAGAGTGTTGTTGGACCTGTTTATGATAAGTTTCGTGATGTTCCTAGTGAAGTTCTCAAGTTTGTTGATCGCAAGGTGAGTTTTGAGGTTTCTTAATCTGATTATGATAAGCCATAGCCCATGATATGATTAATGATGTACATATTGCCTGACACGAATTCGGGATTCTAATCATGTTTTGTGATACGGGATGTTTTTATTTTTGCATTTTTGTATTGCTATATTGATTGCCTGTGATTTTGATAAATGATGTGATGATATGTTTGGTTATTGCGATATCGTGAGTATTGTTGGTGAGGTTGAAATGGTAGGGCCTAAGTCTTATTGGCTGCAGAATTGTGCTTTGATTGGGAAAGATTGTTTTGTGAAATTTGGTATCTTATTTTGAATCAAATTTGATAGATTTATGGAGGTATATTTCCTGTTGCGTATGAACCAATTTTATGCTTTTTGTGCCTTCTGATTAGACAATTCGATGCATATCACTTTCGTCATTTAGGTCTAGTTGCATCTGTGGACATTGTTTATGTTTGGATCCCCTCTGGTTAGACAATTCTCTGCTTTCTGCTTTCTTCATTTGAATCTAGTTGCATTTGTGAACTTTCTTTGTGCTTTGTTCGAACATGAGTATTCCACAAATTTATGACCTAATGTATGGTATATGGTATGGTTCCTAATCTAGTTCAGTAGTTCATCTATGTAATCGTTCCTATTCTGTTGTTTAGACATTATCTCAGATTGAGCGCCCGGAAAACCAGAATGGTCACTTTTTAAAGTCCTTCTGTTTTGAAGATTTCAAAGAAAATTCTATGCATTTGTGAAGATGATAGGATCAGTCTATCATCTGATTGTCTGCTTATGTTATACCTTACGATTCTAGAAGTAACTTTAGGCTTGTTTAATCAATCGTGCAAGATTTTAGAGAATTGCTGTGTGAATTGGAACTCTGTCTTGTTGCAGGTGGATGAATCTGTCATTAATTTGGACAGCCATGTGCCCCGACTAGTCAAGCAGGTGTCATTCCGAGCCCTTTCAGCAGCTCAAAATGCTCCAGTGGCAGCTCGAGCTGTGGCTTCTGAAGTTCAGCGTTCTGGTGTGAAAGAAACAGCCTCTGAATTGGCAAAAACCGTGTATGCCAAGTACGAGCCTACAGCCAAGGAGCTCTACTCTAAGTACGAGCCGAAGGCAGAACAAGCTGCCGTTTCTGCCTGGCGCAAGCTCAATCAGCTCCCACTCTTCCCTCAAGTGGCTCAGGTGGTTGTGCCAACTGCAGCCTTCTGTTCTGAGAAGTACAATCAAACCGTACTCAGCACTGCAGAGAAGGGATACAAGGTATCTTCATATTTGCCTTTGGTGCCTACCGAGAAGATTGCTAAGGTCTTCAGCGATGAAGTGCCCGAATCAACCCCATTGGTTTCCAGCTCGGCGTAAGACTGATCCGCTCAAAATTGGGATGTGAAATGTGGTTTTTATTATTATCATTGTCTTTCAAATTATTCGGTGACTTTGTTGCATCTGCATAAGGAAGGCACGTGCGGACTGTATGTTTGGATAGTCTGTTTTAAGTTTTGCTTTCTCGGTTCTATTTGACCATGACGATAGACGGTTTATAATGTAAATTCCTACATTTGTCTTCCATCTGCTCTTTTTGTTTCTTCTTTCTCTTTTAGCACCGGTAGGGCTGTAGTTGGCTTCTTTAGATCACATCTCATCACAGCATTTGCTGTGTGCATGTAGGAAAACCCAATGTATAAGTTGCTGATTTAGATGCTTTATAGCTATACAGATTGAATTTTGAGAAGGAAAATAATATATTTGTGGATACAGAATTTGCTAAATCACTTGTCAAAATATGGGGGTGATCCTCTTTTCTTTCTCGATCTATATTTACGAGTAACGTCAAGCTTGCAGAATCAAACTTGTGTTGCAGAATCATTGCTTTATACCCATAGCAAGCATCAAGTTCGCCTTCGATGGAGTCAAATGCTCTTTTAGAAGCTCAGGGGTGGGTGCTCAGAGAGGATGCAAAGACTGTAGAGGGTAAGGATTTTTAACTTTTACATAAACCACCAGCAACAATTGCTCGCTGCTCAGGCCGAATAAGTTGCAAATGGGCTCCTTCTAAATGTAAAGAGGGGACAATGGACATTTTGAAAATGTTCCAAATATATTTTTTTAAATGAGCTTTATTGTCATAATTATGGTGACAAATTGAGCTAACTACTATACATTTTGATTTTTTCATTAAAAAAAACAGTGAACCAAGAAATGCCCTAATTAATTATCTTCCAAAGTCCTATGTCTATGATGGGGATTAATTGGAAAAGCTTGAAGAATAAAAAGCAATTCCTGATTTTTGCTGCTCTCTCCCTCTCTTGATTTGTTTGATTAATAATGAATTGGGTTTTTGAATATTTGCTTGGAGACTATGAACCATTCTCTTACTTCTCCTTAGCAGTTGCTTTTTACAATAACCGTATGTCATCATATGTGATTGAAATAAGCGTAATATTAAATTATAAGTATCTTTTTTAAATTATACCTTTTGAAATTTTCATAAAAAAAATAGTAAACCAACAAATGTCGTAATTAATTATCTTCCAAAGTCCTATGTCTATGATGGGATTAATTGGAAAAGCTTGAAGAATAAAAAGCAATTCCTGATTTTTGCTGCTCTCTCCCTCTCTTGATTTGTTTGATTAAGAATGAATTGGGTTTTTGAATATTTGCTTGGAGACTATGAACCATTCTCTTACTTCTCCTCAACAGTTGCTTTTTATAATAACTCGTATGTCATCATATGTGATTGAAATAATCGTAATATTAAATTATAAGTATCTTTTTTAAATTATACATTTTGAAATTTTCATAAAAAAAAGTGAATCAACAAATGTCGTAATTAATTATCTTCCAAAGTCCTATGTCTATGATGGGGATTAACCGGAAAAGCTTGAAGAATAAAAAGCAATTCCTATTTTGTTGCTCTCTCACCTCTTGATTTGTTTGATTAAGAATGAATTAGGTTTTCGAATTTGCTTGGAGACGATGAATCATTCTCTTACTTCTCTTTAGTTGCTACTTTTTACAATAACTATATGCCGTCATATGTAATTGAAATAACTGTAATATTAAATTATAAATATATTTTTTAAATTATGCTTGATAGATGTATATTTATAAAAATTAAAAAAATTATCATTATTATTTAAGACAACCTATCTTTCTGTTTGTGAGTATTTAGGAATAATTCGTAAGAATTTGAGTTACGATTCAGTTTATTATACTGAAAAAAAGGGCTAAATTTATATACTGAAAAAAATATATATAAAATATAATAAATATTAATATTAATTTATAACAATAATAAAATTGACTAAATGTTCAATATACTCAGTCAAAAAGATAGACTTTCATATGTCAGGATGGATCAGCACCACACCATCCAATAAAAAAGATGGACTTTATATGCCAGGATGGGCAGCATCGAAACCATGCGTGAATGAATATGTTCTATACCGTTTTTTTCCCGTATCTAAATAGTAAATACATGTTCAATCATTGATTTGGTTGAAAGGATCGATAATAGTTTCTTGTCCTTTTTAAACATTCTAGCTAGCATGCCACAAGCAGCCCGGCTAGATCTGGATATGGATTACAAGCTTATAGAATCATCATCCATGGCTAACAACAGTACGCTTCATATTGCCATGTTTCCATGGCTAGCTCTTGGTCACTTAATCCCATACTTAGAGCTAGCCAAGCTGATTGCTCAAAAAGGTCACAAAATCTCCTTCATATCAACCCCTCGAAACATCGATCGCCTCCCAAAACTCCCTCCAAATTTGGCACCTCTCATACACTTCGTGAAACTACCATTACACCACATAGGAAACCTCTCTCGAGATGCAGAGGCCACCGCAGACGTGCCATTGAAGGACATCGGCCTCCTCGAAAAGGCCTACGACCATCTTCAAGAACCCTTGTCTCAATTCCTTCAATCTTCCCATCCAGATTGGATTCTTTTCGATTTTTCTCCTTATTGGTTGCCAACGATTGCCCGAAAGCTCAACATCCCAACCTGTTTCTTCAGCATATTCGTTGCTGCAGTTCTCTGCTACATGAGTCCTGCTTCCGGTGATGAAGATTATCGAAAAGTCGTAGAAGATTATATAGAAAAACCAAAGTGGATCACAATTCCTTCCTCGGTATCATATAGACTTTTTGAGTCCAAAAAAGTGTTCTCTTCAATGATCGGCAATGAATCCAACGTTCCACTCGCCTATCGTTTTCGCGAAACATTGAAAGGTTGTGATCTAGCTGCAGTAAGAACGTGCTTGGAGTTCGAACATGATTATTTAAATCTCTTGGAGCAACTTCACAAGAAACCAGTAATTCCAATCGGTGTACTTCCAAAACAAACTTCTAGCGACGACGAGGAGGATATTGCACGTAGTTGGTGCAGTATCAAAGAATTTCTAGACAATCAAGCAAAAGGGTCTGTAGTGTATGTAGCATTCGGCAGCGAGGCAAAACCAAATCAAAAGGAGATCAATGAGATAGCTCTAGGTTTAGAGCTCTCTGGACTAAGCTTCTTTTGGGTGTTAAGGAAGCGTCGTGGCTCAACTGACGCAGAAGTGGTTGAGTTACCAGATGGTTTTGAGGAACGAGTTAAAGGTCGCGGTATTATTTTCACGAGTTGGGCACCTCAAATGAAGATTTTAGCTCATGATTCGGTAGGTGGATTCTTGACTCATGCCGGATGGAGTTCAGTGGTGGAGGCGCTGCAGTTTGCGAGAGCACTTGTACTATTGACCTTTTATGCAGATCAAGGGTTGAATGCCAAGGTTTTTGGGGAGAAGAAAGTAGGGTACTTGATACCAAGAAAGGAAGACGACGGCTCGTTTACGAGAATTTCGGTGGCTGAATCGCTGAGGACGGTGATTGTAAAGGAGGAGGGAAAGGTTCATAGAGACAAAGCTAAGGAGATGAAAGGATTGTTTGGAGATATGAATAGACAGAATCTACTATTGGAAAATTTTTTAGACCATCTTCAAACTCGGAAATGCATCAATACACCACATGAAATTGGTCATGGATCGACTGGTTAGAACAAGCTTATGGATGCATGTTATCTCAATCTTCTCAAGTTTTTTTTTTCTTCAATCAATATTTTTACTTGTCAAGACTGGAGAAAGAAAAATAAATCACTGTTTTCATTTGCATTTTGCAAGAGCAAACAATTATTGGATGACTAAATTTGAAATTTTTTGGTTGTACCTAGATTAATGCAATGGAATCTGATTAATTGCTAACACGTGAAATATCTATAGTCAATTATTGAATTGCCAATAAAAAAAAAAGTTAACTTTTATGTATAATAATTAACCTTTGGAATCAAGAATTCTTTATATCCATGCGAGGACTTGAAATTTAGATTTTTTTTCAAAGAATAAAGTCTCACAAAATTTGTAGTGTCGAGTATTGGTTTGTATTTAAATGGATTTAAAAAATAAAATTACTTTTAGTATAAAACAGTTGTCTCACTATATTAGTTGGCTAAAAAATAATAATAATCACATTCCACCTTTTATATATATATATATATATATATATATATCCACAACCCACATCTATCTAAATCTATATCTCTATATATAATAAAATTAATCTCAAGCATTTTGATAAAATTTAGCGATTTATTTTTTTCGTAGAATTAGAAATTTATTTTGATTCTGGTGTTGCTATGTAAAATATGTCAATGATTTTTTTTTTTTGAGCTGATAATATTGTTAGATGAATTCGAATTTTTAATAATTTGATTAACAAAATTAATTGTACAAGTATTATTTTTAAAAAGAAATCAGTTTCTAATGTCGATAAAAAAATTTATAATACAAATTGTGTATTAACAAAGCTTATTACTCACATTTTTTTAATAACAAGTACGTTTTTCTATCCTTATTTTTCTCTATATATTTTGACAAATTTTATAATACATAAAGAGTATTTAGTGGAATGTATAATAGTTATTCTATAGACTTACTTAAAAGAAAGAGATAGACACATAAAAAGAGAAAATAAAAAAAATTAAATGAATGTGAAAATCTTTTTATCACTTTTGATTGGTTCAAATGTAATTTTTATGTGTCTATTTTTCTCTTTTAAGTGAATCCATAAACTAACTAGTTTATATATTATTAATTATTTTTTATGTATTATAAAATTTCTGACGGATATCTTATACTCAATTTAATTTTTATTTTTTTGTGTTTTTAATCCATTATTTTTTTATTGTACATAAGTTAATTAGATTTTTCAAAGTTGCTGACGCAACGTGTGAAGATTTGTATGGAATGAGCGCAGCAGTTATAAGTCATATCAGGTTAGATTTTTTACTTCCCAGTAGATTAGATAATCCGATTGACAGCTATCGATACCAATCCAGCCTACAACTCTCAACCACTTTGTTTGACTGGCATTCATAAAAGCTATGAGTCGGATCACGTTGGTTTGACCCTAGTTTTTTTCCCTAGGTAGATTGAATATTATTATATATACATTGGATTCATATCCTAAAGATAAGTGCATCTATTTTGTTTTTAGCTTCTTCTTCATACCCTAAAGATAAGTCCATCTGCTTTGTGTTTAGCTTCTTCTTCGAGAATCCGGCACTAGGGGATATAAACACAAATAAGTAGTTCAGTGATAGTAGATTTTAACTTTTAACAGAAAGTTGAAAGTTTAAATCTTATTTTTTATATTTTTTTAGAACCATTGTAATAATTATATTTTTTAAAAAAATATATGAAGAGTTTGAAGCCTTCGATTTTAATATTAATATATATTTATTAAAAATAAGTTAAAAAGTGATTACTTATGGAGTTAAAAAAAAATAAAAAATATGACTCTTACCATGGATTGCGCATCTTATGACGCCCGTATATAAAAAGTTCAGTACGGGTATACACGGTAAAATAGTAGGCCCAAATAAGTTTTGACGTGGAACAGTGATAGTCACATTCTTACTGTCCCATCCGGGCAAAACTTTCAAATCTCCGCCTCTATTATTGGAGACTTTTCCAGGTATTATTCAATAAATAAAATATTTATCAATTAACCCTATGTTTGGATATTTGAGAAAATAAAAGAGGAAAAAGAAAAATGAGAGAAAAGAAAATTATTTTTCATTTATTGTTTGGATAAGAGCGAAAATGAAAGGAAAGAAAGTATATTTTTCTTATTTGGTTAATTATAAAAAGAGAAAAGAAAGAAAATATATTATTATATATTTACTATAATACCAATATAATTACATTTATATATTTAAATAATTATAATAAAATTGTATGAATATTTTTCGTCATTAAAATTGCACAAATGATAATAAAATAAAAATTTAGCATGTAGCATATATCCGAAATGACAAGATGGATAATGATCGTCTCCATAGAATAATCAATAATTGTTTACTAATTAATTAATTCAATAGCCAATTTAGATTAGTTATCAATATAAAATTAATTTAAATATGTATAACATGTATTATTATCTAAGCATATAATAAGTTAGTTATTTTTACTCATCATTTTCTCGACTTTTTTTTAATTTGGATTTAAAAAATTACTATTTAGCAATAAAAAAAAGTTTATTAAAGCATTACGAACAATCATGAAAAGTCAATTGAATCACAAAAAATATACATTTTAGCCTAGTTTAATTTTTTAAAAAAATATTAAAATATTAAAACTCATTTAAAAGGTTACCTGATTAGCCTAGTTTAATTACCAATTAAATGTACATTTTAGAAATAAACAAAATTTAGGAAGACGTGCAGTGGAGATGTAGCTTCCAGAGTAAGCTTTGAGTCCATGAACGTGAATGGTCCAATAGAAACTCATAAAGTCATGTTAATAGTTCAAAAATAATCAATCATGCTATAAATTTTTTACCTCCCTAGGCCTTGACTTCCCCTTCTCTCTGTCTCTGCAAAGAACCAATGCCCACTGGACCTAGTTTTTCAATGGAGAAACCAAAAGAAACCATTGTTGAAGAAAGAAAGGAATTTATGGTTTGACTCATCAGTAATGCAGAAACCAATACTAAGAATAACCCATTTTCTCAAGCCCTCAATTACCACCTTCATTGGTGAAAACACTCTTAAACACCCTTCACACTTTAGTTATTTTTTGCCGTCACCAATTGAACCCAAAATTAGGCCTTCTCAAATTTTATTTCATGGGTGGAGATGCCCACAGTAAGAAGTGGAATGAGTGGTTTGATAAAAGGCTTCCATGCTCTGAGGGAATTTAGATGCCAAATCCCTGCCTGAATAACTTAAGCAACTAAAGGGCGTAGAACATGATCCTGAGAGGTATCAACAACAGTAGGGGGCATGAATTGCCACATAGAAATTCTAGGATAGCCAACGAAGGGCATCGGATTGCTGCCAACAGCTTGGCCTTGGGCAGAAAATGGAGCTGGAATGGTAGGAGGATGAGGCAGGAAGGTTGGTGAAGCACTCAGTGCTTTCACTTGTCGCTCTAGGTTCTCCTTTTCTGTCTTTAGCCTCTGTTTCTCGTCACGAAGCTCGTTCTTCTTTGCCTACATATACAAAGTTTAATCAAGATAAATGACAGCAGTACTTGCCGAGTTTCCTTTGCATCATCATTGATAATAACATATTAGGTATAATTAATAAGGTGTATTTTAAGCCTTTTTTCAGTTTTTTATTTTTTTATTTTTTTTATCCTCAAAGATAATGTCTGATTGCTAAATACCAAATCCAAAGCACACCTTTAATTCATCAATCTTCTCCTGTAGACTCTCACTAGACTCTTTTCAGCTTCTGAGATTCATCTCGTAACTAAGTCACCATTCGAGCCGCATCAACTAATATAACAGATTTGTCCACTTTAAGAGAACTACCAGGATCTAGAAGAGCACCCAATTCCATGGACCTAGAGTCATGTCAAACTAAACATGAAAGAAAGAGAGAGAAAAGAAGATAAGCATTAGAAAGGCTGTATAGCATGCCTGTCATTCAGCTTATCCCGCCATATTTTCTCTCTGCATGCTTTGAAGATAGGTGCAGTAATGGATCCAGGAAATTATATTCATATCTTATGGATGAAGAGCAAGATCTGTTTTGTAGATCTCTGTGTTTGTTGTTAGTGGAGAGTAGAGAAAGAGGGGGTTGGCTAGGGCAAGGGTAAAAACGTGAATGAAAAAAAAAATTGTCAAGCATCACGGTTTTCTCTCAGTTTCCTCCCAATTTTGAAAGGAAAATGGATCCCACCAGAAAGACATTCGTTTAATATTTTTTTTCTTTTCACTGCTTTCCTATCTAAACCAAACGGAGGAATCTTTCTTTTTTATTTTCTTTCCTTTCCTTCATTTTCCTTCTTATCTAAACAAGAGGTAAAAGATAAAGTACATTCATGCAATGACAATATTTATCGATTAAAAGGTAAAAAATGTTAATTTGAGTAAAGAAGATTGTTATTACTTAAATAAATAATCTTAAATTTGAATTTTTATATTAAAAAAAATTATTCGAGCAACGATCTTTATCTTATACACTCCATGAAATAACAAGTCATATAAAATCAACACTGATTGTTGACTTTTTTTAACCACTCCATAGCAATATGTCAAAATCAAGACATTCTCGGTACACATTGGTGTTATTCATTATTAGAAGTACGTATTTGAATCGTTTTCTGTTGCTCCCATCAAATCAACATTGATTGTGACTTTTTTTTATAAGCATGTAATAGAATAAATTATAAATTAATCCATTTTGATCTTAGAAATAAATAAATTAATTTTTTTAATATTTTATTTTTTATTTTAAAAAATAAAAAATAATAAGAAAATAAGATATTTTATAAAATAAAAAAATATGAAATTAATCATAATCAACATATCAAAAAAATAAATAATTAGTTTTTAAAATTATAAAAATTAATTAATTCATTTTTCAAAATGATAGGTTACTTCTATTTAATAGTAATATGTCAATATCAATCCAAATTGGTGTTAGAAGCCACATATGTTAAAAAAATAAAAATAAAGAGACTAATACCAATCTATCCTTCTCTTCATGTATCTTGTTGGAGTTTTTAGTTATACAAATATCATATTGACTGAATGTTTAAAAGGTTTTTTCTCTGCTCTTTCAATCCTTGTTGCTAATATTTATCATTTTTTTATACACCTATACAATTATATTACAGTCTGATCATGCATTTTTTTTTATACACTAACTTAATATCCTTCAACCAATAAACAAGACTTGTTTTACAAATAATTTTCCCAAGCCATAATAAAGAGCACATCATCATCATACATTTCATACTCTAGTCAACCACTTTACATATTTTTAATTTTTCTGGCCTTAAAATCAAGCATTAAAGTGAATACCGCAGCCAGATTACAAGAGGACGCTATTGAAAGAGAGAGAGAGAGAGAGAGATAGGTGCTTATCCCACATCGATAAACCAATAGAAAATGCTGAGAGCCACACCAATAAAAAGCAACCGAATTCTATTTTCAAAGCATACCTTTCTCGGCCTTTTGGCTAAGATCAAGTGTAGTATCTGTTCTTATCAGTTTAATATCTGATATGTGGGCCAATGGTCCACACGATATTAAATTACTTTTTTAAAGGGGAGGGTCAATCACGGTAGCTTGCTACTGGGATCCTCAAGCGTCGCCCATGCGTTGCACTACTGCAAGGGCCTAGCGCACCCTCAAATGCTAAGTCTAAATTTTTAGCAGCTGTGCTTGCAGTCGATTTTTACGTACGACATGTACTTTTTGAATTTAGGTGAGTTTACAGATGATAAATAATTGCGTCTTGAGAATTCGTTCCCTACCCTATTCTTCCTTCTACGCAAGCTACCTATATTGCTATTCATCACGCAATCACTTTCATCGTACCTGTGTCAGTCAATACTGAGCCATTTGGCTATACAAATAGCTAGCGTATCCAATCATATTAGCCGAATTATTAGTTTTGATATAATTTATTGGAGAAATCTGCATTGGAATTACCTTGAATCTGCATCTGGATCTAAATCAAGAAAAAAGAAGTTGAGGAATTAAAAAAAAAACGAATTAGCCTTGCTTAGTAGAAGAAAGTTCTCACTGTATTATTTGGCTCAAAAAAATAAAATAAAAAACAAGTTCCACCACTTTATTATATATATATATATATATATATATTAAATCCACGCCCCACGTCTATCTATACTACTAATATTTCTATATATAACAAAATCTCAAACTTTTTGATAAGTTCTAAAAATTTATATTTTTTTCTCGAGTTTTTAAGGATTTATGTGGATTATGGTGCTGTCACCTTGGATATGTGAATGATCTTTATTATTGTTATTGTTTTTGATAATATGAAGGTTGAGACAAGTTAGTATTTTTAATAATTTGATTAGTATAGAAATTAATTGTACAATTATTATTCTCAAACACGAACTTTTATAACAAACCTAAATATAAGACACTATAGTTTTATTAGGTTTGGTATAAAAGTTCGTGTTTGAGATATATATATATATATATATATATATATATATATATATATATTCCTAATAATAGATACGTTTTTCTATCTTTATTTTTCTTTTATACATTTTCTTTAATATTAATCTGGTATTTTTCTTATTTGTACTGTTTTTAATCCATCATTATATTTTATTTTGTTGAATTAAATCTATGTACTCTTTTTTAGTTTAATTAAAATAGATTTTAAATTCGTAGTTAAAATTAATGTTATGCATAAGTTAAATTTTTTAGTGTTACTCACCAGAGTTGTGGAGATTTATCTAATTATAAAATAAATATGGCAATTATGAGTTGGATCAATTTAGGTTTTTGACTCCCCGTTAACATAATCAGATTGACATCTCTTAATATTAACATAAAAGGTTAGGTCTATATCTTTATTGATCTGGGATCTAATTGAGGTTTTTTCTTTTTAATTTGATTTTGTTTTTTGGGTTTCTGTATATATAAAAAAAAATAACAAGTTAATATTACATTTTTAAAATAATAATAATATTATTTAACTAGTCTAATATAATGTAAGTTAAGAATTAGAAAGAGTTAGATTCGTTATTTAAAATATTTTTCAGAACACAGAATCTAGAATCCATTCCCCTTCATGCTTTAGTATTTACTAGTTGGATACCCCTGTTACATTGCGAACGGACAACCGTTACATACATAGGGTTAACTATTCGTATGGTGTAATACGAGTAAAAAGTTTTATTTTTGATAATTAATATAAATCGAATCTATATATAGTTAATTTCTAACAAAACTAACACCATTTAAACCAAATGAAAAAAACCGTGCGTTTTTTTAACTAATTATTAATTTTTTGAAAAAAAAAACCAAGTCAAATTATTTTTTTAACCGATTATTTTTTTTAAATGAAGTTAAATTATTTAAAACACGTTTTTTAGCTCTTTCTCTCTCATTAGAATTTATATAAGCAACAACACCATTTTCATTTAAACATAATCAATCGTATAAATTATAATAATATATCTTAAAAAATAAAATAATTATGTTTTAAGATTTTATTTCAAAAGTCATATATATATATATAAAAAATTATCAATAGATTAAAAAAGAAAAGACAAGCTAAATCTCAACAGCTATTAAAAATAAGAAGAAAAAAAGGGATGTCGGTCGAGAAATTTTTTTTAACAAAGCTACAGTAATAAGACAATGAAAGATGTTATAGAAATAAGACTGTGAATGACCAGTTCAGCAGCCCACGCTTTTAAGAAAAAGAAAAAGCAAAAAAAAAAAAAAAAAAAAGGGGAAGGCGGGGAAAGGAAAAAAAAGAGAGGAGGGGGACTGTAGCATGATCAGTGTCACCTATAGTTTTTTTTTTTAATAATATTAGGATGCCTTTTCGAACATCCTTTACTCATTCCTCCCACAAATTGCTGTACATAACCCCACAAGAACTTGAATATTGAATTACCTGAAATATATATATATATATATATATATATATATATCCACACACAAGAACTTGACATTTTCATTTTCACAACGAATAAATTAAGGTTTCACATTTGAGTATGATTGTTTTGTATTTAATTAGACTGTAGAAATAAAATTACTCTGTATGAGAAAGTTTTCTCACTAAATTATTTGGATATAATAATAATAAAATATCAAATTCCACCCCTTTTTATATTCTTTTTAAATTTACAATCCATGTTATACTATGTGTATGAATTTAAATAAAATTATAACTTAATCATACTATTTTGAAAAAATCTATAAAATTAAATTACAATTAAACTAAATTTCTATTTAAAATATATATAACTAGCACTTTTTTAAATTATTATTTTTATTTAATTACGTCTTTAATTATAATTTTTTATGATAGCCATTTTTTAATTTTCAAACAAATATAATTGTTGGATCATGACTGCTAAAATTTAATAGTTAGTTACAGAATATTATAAATAGATGAATACATGATAAATACATTATTCTTTCTTCTAATGCTACAATTTCAAGAGAAATCATGTAAAAGAAATTTTAGGAGTGTTGCTTATAATTTTTTATACCGAGGGCAATAATTACTTTAAGGACAAGGTAAAGAGATTTATATAAATAATTAAGCACTATGATATTCCGTGATTGTTATTTTCTTTTTCAACAATATATATATATATATATATATATATATATCCTTGATTATATGTTTAATAAGTAAATTATAAATTAATTCTTTTATTTTTGATAAACACATTAATTGTTCTTTTGTTTCAAAAACTAATTATTTAGTGTTGTTGTCTAATTTATGCTCTTTACTAATTTGTTTTACTTTTTATTTAAAAAGAATAAAAAATAAAACAAATAAATAGATTTTATAAAATGATTGATGAGAAAAATAATATTTTTCTTTTGGAATACGATTTTTTTTGGCCCATCAATATAAAATCATGCCTCTGTATTTTCCTTCATTTTGTTGATTGCAATTAGGGAGTGTAAAAGTATTTATAATTTTTTTTATATGATTTACTTTTATAAGAATTTTTTTTAAAAAATTCAAGATTAGAGAGTTAAAAATATATATTTTTTAAAATGTAATTAACGTGCAGAATGTCAAAATGATGTAGTTTTGGCATTCCAACTAATAGTCGACTCAATCGACCGTTACACATTATGAAGATTAGACAATTTGAATTATATATATATATATTTTTTTTAATAATTTGAGAATGAGAGTTATTTTATTTGTGGTCGAGAGATAAATGTCTAACCTATTTTGTTTGAATTCTTATAATATTGTGAACATATATCCTAAAGATAAGTCCAACTATTTTGTTTTTATCTTCTCTTTCGTGACTATTAAAGTATTGATTGGTAATAAAGAATAAAAAATTAAAAAATAAAATTTTATATTTTGCAAGTATTTAATTTGAAAGAAATAGAATTGGAATGATAATGAAAATTCAGCATAATTTCATTCTCATATTGGAGGTGAGAATAAAAACAAATGAGCTTTTTTCTTTAAAATAATAATATATTATTTTTATATATTACGTATCATTGTTTTTACGACCAAACCATGTTCACTATAATTGCCATCATGGGCGGTGTTGATAAAAAGAATTCAAAAAAAAATATTATTATTATTATTTTGTTATCATTTCTTTATTGCCATTATATCACTGCTTTTACAACTAAACCACGTTCATTATGATTGCCACCATGGGCGTTGAAGATAAAAAGAATTCAAAAAAAAAGTTTATTGTTATTGTCTTGTCATCTTTTCTTTACTATCATTGTCATTATTTAATATATATTATCGATACTATTATACTATTATTATTATCAATACTGCAACAATCATTTCTATCATTTTTATTAATCATTATAATTACTGAAATTATTTTTATTTATTTTAAAAATTAGATATGAAAAATTTATTTTAATTTTTTATTGAAATAAAAATACTATTTTGATTTCTAATTTTCATTCTAACACCTAAAGGATACAGACATATGGTTCTACATGCATATATGACACTCAGTATGGATTTCACAACCCATTCACAAAAAGTTCAATGCTCCGCAGATTTTTAATTTATCTGGCCCTAGAAAGGAAGCTATCAAAGTGAATACCAAGCCAGTTCCCCTTCCAGTGCAATCACGACATTCAAGCTTCTAAAGAGAAAGAGGTAGGCGTTAGTATCCCACATCGGTAAACCAGAAGGCAATGTTGAGAGCTGAAGCTACAAAACGCCATTCAAGCTGCGTTCCAAAGCATACCTTTCTCGGCCTTTTGGCTAAGATCAAGTGTAGTATCTGTTCTTATCAGTTTAATATCTGATATGTGGGCCAACGGTCCACACGATATTAAATTACTTTTTTAAAGGGGAGGGTCAACTACAGTAGCTTGCTACTGGGAATCCTCGAGCGTCGCCCATGCGTTGCACTACTGCAAGGGCCTGGCGCACCCTCCAATGCCAAGTTTAAATTTTCTGCCTTGGTCTGCTGGGAATCTGAAAATCTCCAAATTACGCTTGAATTATAATAAAAATCTTCAATTATGCTTACATTATAATAAGAGTGTGAAAATGTGAATACAAATTAAATTGAAATTTTACTGGATTTATAATTACCAGCTTTTAACCATATCATTAACTCAAATCACTTTTCAAAGATCTAACCGTTTGGCCTTCAATTTTAACGCTATAAATAAATAAATACATGGAAAGAAAATTTATTTTAACTTTATTTTCCCCCGACAGTGGTTAATTTTTTAATCCATTTTTCATAATTTTCTAGGATGATGTTATTAGACAGTTCGCCTAATCTTTATACTCTGATCCTTTATCAAGTGTGTTTTTTTTTAAATATATTAGTTTGTATTTAATTACTAAATTGATAGTATAATTTATAATAATAAATTAATATTAATATACAAAGTTAGGTCCATATATTTATCGATCTGGAACCTAATTGTTTTTTTTTTAAAATTTTTTTAAGTTTCTGTACAACAAAAATTAGAATATACTACAAAATATAAAAATTAATAATGTATCTTTAAAAATAACAATAATATTGATCAACTAATCGGATACAAGGCAAGTTAAGGAGTAAAACAAATCAGATTATTTTACAATAATCTTAGCTTGTCAATTAAGCATGACTGAGTCGAAAAGCTCACTAATCACGCGATAATATATATAAAAAATTCGGTATATGTAGAAGAATATAGATTTATTTGTCAAAAAAAAAAAAGAAAGAAATTTTAACTAAAATGTACCTGTATATTCATTTTTTTAACGTAATTGCTTTTATCGTATATATAAATATTCAATTGGTTGAATTCGAGTGAATCTTTTGTACAAGTATTTGAGTTGCACCCCATCCTAGCTCCATACCTCGCCAGGTCGGATTAAAGTTGGGCTTTTTTGGGGCAGGTTGGATGAGTATAAAGTTGGGCTTTCCCATACCTACTCTAGAATGGCTCACCAAAACATTGAGAGAACACACCAAGGAGCCCAGATCTAAATGGGCTTAAAGTCTTAAGCTCAAAGAAATAACACTTACGTCGTCCCAAAACTCGCAAATTTCGCTCCGCGAGGGAGAAATTATAATTTAGTCTCTCTTTTTAGAAAAAGAATTAATTAATATCTTTTATTTAAAAACTAGTCATTTAGTTTCATATTTTAATTTCTTCAACAACTTAGTTTTTTTATTAATTTTTCTCAGATTACTGTTTTTCTTTCAAATTTTTTTATTTTTAATTGAGGTGATAAAAAACAAAAGTAGATGAAAGAGAGAGATAAAGTATCAAGAAAATGCAGTGTAGAAAATTTTTTTGATGAAAAGAATAAGTTTTTTTTTGAATAAATTAAAACATAAGAGGGTAAATGTTTAATTTTTAAAATAAAAAGATTAATTAATTCATTTATTGAAACAAGAGGGACTGATTTATAATTTACTCCCTAATCTGGCAAATGTCCTCCTCCAGTTCCCAAATCGACACGAGAGGAAACCAGAAGCCGAAACTATTGTCAAGACGCCAAAAGAAATCGCCATGGCAACAGCTTCATGTTTTCAAGTACTGCCTGTGACAACATGTTCATTACCATCTTCAACTTCGACCTCGAAATCAATTAAAATAAAAACCAACAACAACCTTAAAATCAAATGTTTTGCTTCAATTAATGCAAGAAATTCATCTTCTTCTAAAATCCCTATGCCACCAATAAACCCTAAAGACCCATTTCTCTCTAAACTAGCTTCAGTCGCTGCCACCTCTCCTGATTCTCTCCTCGAAAGCCCCGTCAGCAATTCTGATACGCCTCCTTATCTTGACCTCTTTGAGTCCCCTAAGCTCATGGCCACTCCTGCTCAAGTAAGTTTTTAAGACCGCGTTTGGTTCACTCCAAAGAAGAATATGTTTTTTTTTTAAGCTTTGTTTTGGTATTAAATACTATGCTTGTAATGGAGCTTTAATAGAAGTTGGAGTAACTGTGAGTGGCTGTAAGTAGTTCTTGATTGTTATTGGTGAAGGGAAGAGTTTATTATGTTTGTTACTTCTAAGTGAACCAAACATGGCCTTAGTGTTTTATAATTCATTTTTGTGTGTGTGTAATTTTTTTGTGGTTCTTTAATTTGATTGTGTAATGCGTTCTTTTGTTGATTGAAATTCTTGTCATTAGTTCAGCAAATATTTCATTTTGGTTTTGATTTGGAAGTGAACCAAACATGGCCTTAGTGTTTTGGAAATTAAATTTTGTGTTATATTAGTTTTCTTTTTAATGGGAATCTCTATTGGTTGAAATTTTTAGGTGGAAAGATCGGTATCCTATAATGAGCATAGGCCAAGAACGCCACCGCCTGATTTACCGTCGTTGCTTCTACATGGAAGAATTGTTTACATTGGGATGCCTGTAAGTGTTTTATTTTTTATGGATTTAGTCGGGTACTGTTTTAGTTCATTTCTAACTGCTAGCATGTCATCGTGTGAAGACAATTTTAACTTGTTATTAAGGGAAAACTTCAACCATGCTAAAGAGAGATTGAACTTGAAGAATTTTGATATGGATTATTGCTAAGAAATAATGTGGTTTTTAAGCTTGGCTGCTACTTTGTCTGTGTGATGTGTTTGACATGTTAAACATTTCTTTGTCTCAGTTAGTGGCTGCTGTCACAGAGCTGGTTGTTGCAGAATTGATGTATTTGCAATGGATGGATCCAAAAGCACCGATTTATATCTATATTAATTCCACAGGAACAACTCGTGATGATGGTGAAACAGTAAGTTTCTTCTCTTGTTGTGATATGCAACATGTTGTAATTAGATATATTAGTTACCGTTCCTGTTGTGAGATCCCTCTTTGCTTCAGTGCCAGATTATCCTCAAATTAGAGTTTTGAAGGATGAGTGTTATGTTATATGTAGATTATGTTTTATGTGCAGAAGTTTATAAAATCAAGGGATATTGCTATTTTGCTTTTGCAAATTTAGTATATGGTTATAATTGGTTTGAGTCTAGTCTAAAAGCCCAATCCGTTTTTCTGACTTACAAATAATGAATTTGTCAAGTATTTCAGTATAGCATGTTTGGGAAGTGGGCAAGTAAAACTGAAAGCCAGAATAGGTTAATGGGGTTGTGAATTCTACCATCAGATTAGCTGAGTGAGGAGTCCTGGATGGGTTGACTGAGTTGACTCTTTCCACCGTGGGATTAGTCTCAATGCCTCGGTTAGGGCAACTCATTGAAGAAAAATTCCTAACTTTAAGTGCTCATTTTTGTTGGCGAGCAAGTTTGTTATGGTTAGTTCCTCTACAGAAGTGCTTAATCATCTAGCTGTAAGGTTGACTTTGGAGAGGGCAATCGGCACCTGTGGGGTCATGCAACTATGTGGTCCCTCAATCAGGCCTCATGGCAAATGGTTGTGACGGCACTTGCTCTTGAAATAGGGTGCCATGCTTTTGTTTGCAAGAAGGGTGAAACACTCAAGAAGCATGCCTACCTTGTTGTGCCCTCACTTTAGCATCCAAACCAAGAATCTTGAACCTTTCTAGTTGATTGGTCTACACCAAACCTGAGGGGAACTTAAGCATTCCACGTTTTAATTGGTTTGGATAGTGAAAATCCTACATCAACCTTGAAAGTTATATTATATAACTCATTTTGGAGGTTGATCTGTTAGACTCGGGAATAGTTGGGTATTATGTGCCCAACAAAATATTTCAGTTTTATCATGAAACAAATTAGGACCAAATGTAGATGACATTGATAGTGATATATATGTTTCTCTTTTGAGTTCTCTCACTCTTTTCTGTAATTAACGCTTTGGGTAGTATACCTGTAAACTTCTCTCCCAATCCTTTCATATGTTATTTTTTAAAGTAGTTTTCTGTATGCTCACCACTCAGGTTGGAATGGAGACAGAAGGTTTTGCTATCTATGATTCAATGATGCAGTTAAAGAATGAGGTGAGTTTATCTTCCAAAAGTATTTTGGCCTCCCTCATTTTCAATTATGATTGAGTAGCAATATCATTGAAGGGAGAGATGGCCACTTATAGAGATTTAATTTTTCAAAGGCATAGATGCTATGAATTTCTGCAGGATGCATCTAGACCTTTATGATATTGCTAGCTCCATTGCAGGAAATAGGCTCTTTGTTATTCAAGTAATATGATGTTAGATGATTGTGCCCGCCTGTTTGTTTGTACGCTGTTATTTTTATTTCGTTACATGGTTGCTATTGCTTTTGCAGATACATACGGTTGCTGTAGGAGCTGCTATTGGCCAAGCTTGCTTACTACTAGCTGCAGGAACAAAGGGTAAACGGTACATGATGCCACATGCAAAAGGTATGATGCAGTAGGCTTGCAAATTTGCAATTGTAGAGTTCTTATGCAATCATTCCATCTTCTATCTGACATCCAGTTTTTCAGCCATGATCCAACAGCCTCGTGTTCCTGCATCGGGATTGATGCCCGCTAGTGATATTCTTATCCGCGCCAAAGAGGTTCGTTAAACCCATTTTATATCTTGAATGGCAATGTCGTGGTTATTAGTCAACCTGGCAATTTTTGCTTTTATTTCATGTTATTGTCCATCACATTCCAAAAGCACTTTCCAATTCATGCTATGTGCATTTTCCAAGTTCTCTTTGGCAATCAAAATAGTGGGCCATCATAACAATTGTGCTTTTGTAATTCAAGTTGGGATCTTAGCATTCTTCTGTTTTCTTTGCTTGCTTTCTGCCATTTACACTGTTATGAGGAGATAAAAAGTTAATCCTGAATGATTTTAGAACTTTGTGAGGTCACCAATCTGTAAATCAAATTCTAATAGAATATGCTTTTGGAAATCATCCTCACTCTACTGTCCTCATTGTTTTTGCAGGCAGTAATAAACAGGGACGTTCTAACAGAACTTCTGGCTAAGCACACTGAAAATGTGAGTATGGCTCATTATCATGTAGCCTTTTATTTAATCTTAAAACTACAAGCTCTGGGACTAATTGAATAACACTTTCTTTCATCAGTCTTTAGAGACTGTAGCTAATGTAATGAGAAGACCATTTTATATGGATTCTAGAAGAGCCAAAGAATTTGGTGTCATTGATAAAGTAAGTTATACAATACTCTTACACACCTGGTTGTTTTATTTCACTCAAATGGACGTTCTAGTATGTTGACTTACCTTCCATGCCGCTGCTGTTTCCAGATTCTCTGGCAGGGTCAGGAAAAGATAATGGCAGATGTTATGCCTCCAGAGGATTGGGACAAATCGGCTGGCATTAAACTTGCGGACCCCTTCTAGTGCCATTCCTTCCTCCCTGGCTGGAGAAGAGAGGACGGTGCTGGAATACTAGTTGTTCTACAGAAAAAAGATTTGTCTAGTCCTCTAGAGCAGCTGGTAATGCTTTTTCGTGGTGCACGAGCCTATGTCGGAGACGCTGAGTATTGGTTCTCACCTTTATGAAATCAGTGTTGAAGAATGTATTTAGAGGGTAGGGAAGCCTCGAAAATGAACCGAGATAGTTACCTATCACAAGCAAAGATAGAAGTCGTGTACTATTTTATCAGGCGTCTCAAGATTCAATCAGTTATATGCTAGTTTTTATTTTGTGTTTCTCCTCTTTTACTTTTCAAGCAACCTTTTCGTTTCTTTGTTAAGTTGATCAAACTAGATTTTTTCATTTTTCAACTGTTATAAATGGGAAGGTTGTTCAAGTCATACGCTAGAAACCATGACATGCAACTTGCTCGTTAGCCCATTTCATTTCATGGTTAGGTTTTCAGACAGTATGCATTAGATTGCTCTATTTCTCATCATCGAGGTTAAATCGAAAGGCACTGTCTTTGGCTGGACCTGATTTTTATTACACATTGTCCAATTTTCCTTAGATGTTGCGGGGTCTTGTCACCGGTCAGCCATCTCATGGCCAAAATCCGACCAAGCTCCGAAACTTCGACCAGATGCAAATCAAAAGGAAAGATTCATCGATTATTGCCTAGTTCTTGCACTTGAATTCTAAATCGAGATCTATTGACTCTCTCTCTCCCTCCCATCATTGCTCCATGTTTGCTTTGAAAAAAATGTAAAAAGGGGAGTGGCTTGCCACAAAAACCCAACTGCAAAATATGATAAATTGGAGGGAAAATAACCTTCGGTTGTCAGTTTCCACTTCCAAAAAATAAAAATAAAAAGTCCAGAAGAGTGGGAGAGGAAATGGGCAGCCCCGCTCTCTGCTCCTTCAGATTTGCAATCTTCTTCTCCCTCTCTCTCACAACTTCATCGTCGCCACCCTCCATCCTCTCCTTCAAACCACGATCACCACCGCCATCACTACCACCTTCAATCCCAAAAGCCACTCCATCCGATCTACTCTCCGTCTTGGGCCCTACAACCCAGTCATCCAAAATCAACCCTTTAATCTCACAACAACTCTCTTCTTGCCTTAAATTTCTTGTTCCCTTCACCCCCTCAAAACCCAAAACACCAAAATATAACAGCATCAATGGCTGTTATATTAAGCATAGGAGACTCGGTCCTGATAGTGTGATTAGCGTTGGAAGAAGTAATAATGAAGAGAAAGAACTCGTTTGGTGGCCACCTGAACCAGTTCTCGAAGTGGCTCGGCTTGCTCTTGATTCTGGTGGAGACCCTGATTCAATACACCGAACTCTGGATCCTACTGTCTTACCTGTGAGTTTTAGCCTTTATTTTTTCTCGAAGAACAAATCTTCATTTTTTTTTTTACTTTATTAGGAATAATCACTCAGGCTGCATGCGCGGCCAAAAGGCTTTGCCAGCTAAGCTAGCTAAAATCCATGATTTGTTATCGCATGAATTGGTAGCTAAAGAATTTTCTTTGATAAATCTTCAGATAGGAAGAATTTGGTGAAAGTAGAGTGTAGTATTTTAGGTGTACTGAGTTATTGCTAATGTTTAGATAAAAAAATTAATGATAATTGCTTATGTTATAGGTACCTGATGTTGAACGATGTAAAGAGAACAAATGTGAGCTTACTAGGACACCATATGGAAGACGGTTCATAAGTGAGGTTAGGATCAATCTTAAAAAGTTTCTTTTCTTTCTTTCTTTCTTTCTTTCTTTTGTTAGTTTAGCTTTTATGCTGATTACCACCATTCTGTTGTTAAATTGCAGGAGTTGAATTCTTATCTTGAATTTTTGTTTGAGCTTATCGTTGCTCGAGGACCGTCAGTTGGGTTTAATGTGTCTTTGAATCGATATGATTTGTTTCATGGTCATGTTTTCATTGCCAGGGACACAGGAAGACTTGGTATATTGTAAGTTTTGTGTTTTGGTTTCCTCTGATTATGTGCAGTAGAGATGCAGATTGCATTTCATGTGAAAATGGTATGTGTGCCGAAAATAGTTTGCATTGGTGCCATTATGGACTGCATTTTGACAATTATATACCGGAAACTATGTTAAGTTGTTGAATTCCGTAAAAACAGTGGTGAAAATGCAATATTAAATTAACTCATTTACAATCTGGAAGGAATGAACTAGTTAGTGTTAGCGTGTTTGAAGTATGTGGATATGCACCTATCTGCAAATTGCTTGGCAACTGGAACCAAATTCTAATATGTTAGTGTGAGTATGTAGTCAATGGATGGGCAGGATATCCTATACAAAAGAGGTTTTTGGTTCAGAACCCAGTCTGATTTGGGGTACTGGTCCTCTGCTTACATTGCAGTATCTTCAGTCAGTTTCAAATATTATGACTGTGTCTGGTGTTATCTCATTCGTAGGGTTAAATGAGAGAGCTCATTGTACTATTCAAGAGAGTCTCTCCTTGCAGCATGAATTTTTTTTTCCCCTTAAATTTGTAACGATCATTACATGGTCTTGATAATGATCTTGATGGAACAAAATTTAGCTCATTGATTTAAAACATGTTATTGATGATTCCTTACTTATTTTTCAGGTTCCATGCTAGAGAGTACCCAGCATATGATGAAGAAGCATTTCCATACAATACAGGATATTGCCAGAAAGGTAAATCGGTAAACCTCATGTGAAAACAACTTCAATTTCTGTTACCAACTCCATGTAACAATTTTCATTCTTTCACCCTTAAATCTGCAAAATTGCATCTGTTCTGAAGGTCTGAATTATGGATTAGTTTTTTTCCAACTTCATTTACTATTTATTACGTCCTTGGTAAAGAAAAAAGGAAACTAGAATATAATCTATTAGTTATTTCTTCTATACTATGTAAATGCCTAAAGTAATTCTGTTGAACTGTTGCAATCGATCTCAAATCATGAAATTATATCTCTGAGAAAACATGTGGCTGTTGTACTAATACCAACTTCTTTCCCCCTTTCAGGTTCTAATGTAACTTATGATGATTCTATGAATTTGCGAAATATTCTCTGGTTGGCTCCATTGCCAAGCAATTCCACTAAAGCTTGGGCAGCACCAGGTACATTTCTCAAGTCAAATTGTATCAAGTTGCCATTACTGTATTATTGCAACAGTCGGATTTCTGCTTCTTGATAGATAAATTTTGTAGGTTAAACAGTAATCCCATGTCTCATGGACTCTGTAATTTCTCATTGCTGTAGCGTTTTCATTGTGATTGAAACCACCAAAGTGTGACGCCCCTCAAAGCTGAATTTATGCATCTAAGAAAGATACTTGAATGTTAAGTTGCTTTTGTCTCCTTTACTTTGAGCTCTATAGTGTTGGCCTCTTTCTTTCTTGAATTCTAACATGTTTGTGGTACAAGAGAAGTAGGCATGTCTTATGATACTGGAGTTAGGTGTGTTCAAAATACTCAGAAGAAAAGGATATAGTAGTGAATGGTATAAAAGTTATTCCTTTTGAGTTGTACACAGTTTTAGCAGAAAGAATGCATAGAATATATTGCAGGAACTTGTTCCATAATTTTTATTCCTTGGAGATCACATGATGTTGTTTGATTTTCTTGGCTTTTATTAAACATGATGTCTTAAGAGTGCTGTAAAACATATATTGAACAAGATTTATTATTATCTTTTCTTGCGTCTTCCGAAAGTGGTAATTCATATGTTTCTAGTAATACTTAGCAAAATGTTCTCGAAATCAATAGAGTTAGGTGTCAATTCTCGTGCCATAATTAGTTTGTTATTGACTTGAAGGAGTCCTAGTTGTGCTGGATGCCCGTCCTGATGGAATCATATACAGAGATCTCATACCTGAGTATGTAAATATTGCAAGGACCATATATGAAGGTTTGAGCTTCATTTCCCTTGTATCTTTCACCTTTCAAAATTCAAATTTCAATGCATTGTGTTTCTTAAGTTTTAGTAGGATTATGAACATTTTATTGTTGGTCTTGGCAGATGAATTGGGAGAAGTTGTGGTTGATGTAAACTACTTGAATGTTGGAGACACAGTTCCCAATTATCAGATCTTCATATGCTGAAGTCCTGCTCAAGTTATGCAGCACTTTTTTACGCCCACTTGAAAAATGAATTATTTAGAGAGGCCAATTGGGAATGCTAAATAAGCCTAGAAGCCTCTAGAAGACTATGGAGCAACGGAGAAGCCTTTAGGATGTCCAAGAGAAATCTAGACATGTTCTAGAGTATTCTAGAAAATCCTTCATTATTCTAGCTTGTACATATCTAGATGGTTCTTTTTAAATATCTACATAGCATAATTTTAGAGAATCAATTGTATTCATTAGATCAAATAAATCTTAGTCATCCATTGAGGAGGTGGAAGACTATAAATAAGTGAGACCTTCATTTGGCAAAACATTCAGAAATCTAAGAAAATATAATCCTATAGTTATAAGCTTTAGAGACAGCAATATAAAGAGTTCTTATATCTCTTATATGTCTTTCATACTTGACAATTTTGTATGGGAGAAGGCTGGCTTGATTTGGAAGAAGCGAGTCAAGTGCTGTATGAGAGCTTGGGAAAAAGCTAAGTCCTTGACATCCTGCTCTCTTCTATGACACTTCTCATGCACTCCATCAGTCTTGTTTCTCAAATAACATTATTAGATCCTGTTGTTTTTAAGACCAGATTCGTCCCTGTAATACGTACCTAACGCTTCTGCATGTCCTAGGCATTCAAATGCCTCGACAGAGATTCTTGCAGACAATAAGACATAAGAGTCCATAAATATGGAGCTGAAACTTATCAATAACTCGGAGTTTCTTGTGCAGTCGCACTGACAAAGAATCACATTTTAATGCATCTTACATTGATTACCTTTGTGGTAGGGTTTTACACAGATCTAAAACTGTACATGATCATTTGCTAGGCGTAGAGTAGAAAACTATTATGCCTATGCTCACAGCTCAGATTCTATTTCAACATGCCCATCGTTGATTGGGATGCATGAAGACCTACTTCTCCGTTGAGTTTACCTTCTTTGTTCTTTTGGTTTAGACATTGGTTTTACTTGAATGTGACAGAAACTTCTTTGTAGCGCATAAAAAGATTATTTTATGGGATAAATATAATTTGTCTTTATATAATATCATGTATCTTTTTATCTATTTTTAGGTTTTTAATTATATTTCATTGGTCTTTAAAATTTTTTAAAATATTCAATCTATTTGTTTTTAAATTTTTAATTATATTTCACCGGTCTTTGAATTTTTTTAAAACATTCAATTTATTCTTCGGATCATGAGACTAAAATGCTCTCGAGTTAAAAAAAAAATTTATAAAAAATTAAAAAAATAAATAATTATATAAACAAAACAATTATAAAAACTTAGAAAAATAAACATGCAGTGACTTTAAATGTTATTTTTTTTTAAATACATTTCTTAATTATGGTCGGATAATTAGAAAGAATAAACATTTAAAAAATTTTCAAAATCAGATAGAATGTAATTAAAACTTAAAGAGATTTGGAAACTTTATTTTCCAGCAACAAAGTTTGTTTTCTATTACATTTAGGTGGTATGTTTGCTAATTTGTGTATTCGAGATCATTCATGTTTGGAGCAAAGGAATCTCCAAAATCCAAATCCAAGTTTATAAAGATGGGATGAAAATTATAATATTTGGTATTTTATTATTTTTTTTTTGGTAAATTTTTTTTTCAATTGTAAAATCATCACTTTTTTTTTTCCGATATATTAAAACAATCCAAATAAACTCTCTGTTTTTTATTACGGCGAGGGTGATATTTGAACCAATTTATGTATTTAATCGAAATTAAGTTTTTATTTAAATGATTTTAAAAATACATCTTTTACCTCGACCTGATGATTAATAAAATTCTCTTAAATATTGATTTTAAAATATCAACTCAGAAATTCAAGAAATAAGATAATTAATTCGAATCCGAATTGACACAAAATATGAGACGTACCAGGGCCTGGTTCCTTAATTCTATGCCCACGTGTCATCGTGGGCCCATATATCAGCCCTTCCATGCCCTTATGTGGGCCCACCAACACATACTATATATATCATACGTTCAACCACTTTTATTCAAACCCACCCTCTTAACCTACGCACCACTCCTTCTCCTGCGCATGTTAGCCCAACCCTCAAAGTCTCGCCTCCGAAACGAAACACAAGCCTTCCCTTCTCTAGACTCACGCTTCTGCCTTCTCTCACTAAAAACATAAGAAATAAAAAAAAATTATTTTTCATAGAAAAAGAACTGAAAATCTCTCTCTCTCTTTCTTTATGAAGTGAAAATGGCGGTGCAGAGGATAGAGATAGGAAGAGGAGATCTATGGAAGTGCAAAGCGAAAGCACTACAGCTCCGCCTGCTAGATCGCTTCAGAGTGGCGGTTGATCGTCATCGCCGCCGTCCTCAAATTTTCTCCGCCGCATCCGATGGTTACTTCACCTCCACCGTCCAACGGTGGCTCAACCGTTTCCGTGATTTCCGGAGAGATTCTCTCCAGTCTCCCACCGCTTTCTACCGCAAACGAGGTTACCATCTTTCCTCTACTTTCTTTGTACATACATACATCTCTCACCTTATGGTTACACTCTACGCATATGTACGTCATATGCATACGTAAATACACACATTAACCTCATAGATAGAGACATATTTACTAAATTACCACTGAATTCTGTGACTGCAGTTAGCAAGGACTTTAATGCTGGTGAAGAATCTGTTGTTATACGAATGGTTCAGTCTGTGGCTGTGCCTCTGCTTGGAAACATGTGTCATGTGTTCATGCATGGTCTTAATCGGGTTCAGGTATGTGGAATTGCTTTGTTTGGGACTGAATTAGTTTTGAAATCTTTGGCTTTGAGGACTGAGGTCTGAGAATCGATATGGGTTTTGTGGTATCTCAGGTTTATGGTGTGGAGAAATTACACGATGCATTGCTGCATAGACCCAAGAACAAGCCTCTTTTGACGGTACAGCTCAGTCCTACTATATATATATTTATGTGGGCTTTGAAACAACATTTCTTGTGTTTTTCGTTGTTCGTTTTGCCAATTTTTTTTTTTTTTTTTTTTTTTGCAATTTTAGTATTCATTAGGGTGAATTGTATATTGGCATGAGGTAATTATTGATGGTATTCATCTGTTGCAGGTGAGCAATCATGTTGCTTCTGTGGATGACCCGTTTGTTATTGCTTCACTGCTCCCTCGTAGTGTACTGATGGATGCTCAGAACTTAAGATGGACGCTTTGTGCATCTGATCGTTGTTTTAAGAATTCTGTGAGTTCTGCATTTTTCCGATCTGTCAAAGTATTGCCAGTTGCTCGTGGTGATGGGATTTATCAGAAGGTAAGCTTTTAATTATTTCTTTCTATATGTCAATGAGTGTGTATGTTTAAATGCGGTGTTAGAAATATTTGATAACGACTTGAATATCAACCTCTGCTTTACACAACTGGTCTGGGGCGATTTTAAGCATTGGATCTTTTTCTTGATATATGTTCTTTAGTTTCTTTGCTCCTTCTGTTTCATGATGACAAAATTAGATTACAAGATTATAGGAGATATCCAAGATAATAGAGATTGTCTTCTCCTCTGCTGCCTCTCTCCATCTCTTGCAAACCTCTTAATTCTCATTATTGTGCAGTGGAACGTAATTCTAATGTTTAATGGTGTTGCTGCACTGTTGTTCAGTCCTCATAATTAGTAACGTTGATGCCTATTTTGTCTTAAGCTGAAGTTTCTAATACTTGGGTTGTTAAAAATGGCTTATCAAAAAAGAAAAAGGAAAGTTTGATTAAAAGTGGAGTTGCTTTAAGGTCGATACCTATTTTGAGTTGTCAGTTTCACACCCTGCAAGTCTGGCCTTTCTGTATGTTTGTTATCAAAATATTTTTCCCTTCTAATATACTATTGTTATCATCTTGCTTTTTTACTTTGCTGTAGGGCATGGACATGGCTATTGCAAAGTTGAACAGTGGCAGTTGGGTCCACATATTCCCAGAAGGTAGTCGTTCTCGGGATGGTGGAAAAACCATGGGTTCTTCCAAGAGAGGTGTGGGGAGGTGAGAGTCCATTCTGAACTATGTTAGATCTTTTTTGTTTTAGTTGGGTTGGAAGGTGTGGAAGAGGATTCAGCTTTTATAATTTTGATAAAACAAGAACTCGAGGAAAAAATAAAATGGTCTATTGGCAGTTATGGGTAGTGAAGGGAATGCTACACTCTTCACTTCTCTACCCCTACCTTCTCAATTTGTTTGGCATTGAGTTTTTCCAAGCCCTGCTTAACAGATGAATTTTAGAATATAATGTGTATTTTCATCGAAGTATTTATGCTTTTTGATTGGATGTGCTGTTTGAAATAGCTTTTGTCATGCGTTGACAGGTTGATCCTTGATGCTGACACAATCCCTATGGTCATACCATTTGTACACACTGGGATGCAAGAAATCATGCCCCTAGGAGCTAATCTCCCAAGGATTGGAAAGACGGTATGTAGTCTGCTCATTTTTGTTCTGGAAAATATAAGATGTTTCTTATTGATTCTATTCATTTGCATAAGCATCTAGAATCAATGATTTTTTCTCTCTTTCATTTTATTCATTTCCTTCCAGAGTGTAAAAATGGAGTTGTTTTTGCTTGCTTAGTCTATGCAACTTCTACTTCCTTTCTGATTAATTTTCAGAACAGGGCTCTGTAAACCTCAAGATTTTGTCAAGTAGACAGCAGCTTGACTTTTGATTGACATGTCCAATTATACATCCCATGACTTAAATCAATAATTCATTTCTTTGTTAAATTTCCATCAAGTATTCTTGGTTGTCACCTGGTTTCCTGTTGTAGTGTGATCAATTATTTTATTGTTGGGTTGTGCTCATTTTTGTTCTTTACCAATTCTTGTCCGTGGAACGTGCAGGTGACGGTGCTTGTTGGAGATCCAATCCATTTTGATGATTTACTTAATGTAGGAGGAGTTGAAAACATGTCTAGAGGAAAACTGTATGATGCTGTGGCTTCAAGAATCGGGCAACAATTGCAGCGACTCAAAGTCCAAGTCGAAAAATTAGCATCAGAACAATCTGTCAAGTTACAACAAGCTACTGCTGGAATCACAGATAGGGCAGCTGATATGTTGCAGCAGGTTGATTGGGGTTCATTTGGTGCAGGAAGCACCAAAGATAAAGATTTGCTATGTGAAATCCAATCTTCACAGGATGCCACCTATCAACAGGAGCCCCGTTCTTCTGACCGTGGCTTCAGAATTGGACTCTCTTATGAGAGTGGAATCATTTCAAGTATGCGTGGCTACATGGACTCAACCGAGCTGCTGGGTTTTGCAGCCAGAGGTCTATTCATGAACTATAGGGCAAAGGAAAATACCGCTAGTGTTAGAGATGTAGGCCCAGTGAGGGCATGGAAACAGTTTTTGGAAGCTAACTTACTAGGACAATGCAACAACACCTGCTAGCAATATACTCTGAAGATGGAATGCCAACTTTGATGCTATAAATAAAGCTAACATATAGCTGAAATTCATAGGCCTGGGAATCTCGGTTTAAGTAGCCCGTTGATGTCATTGGAATTGCCAGTGTGTTTAAACCTTGCAGTTGGTCGGAATCTACGAGTTCGAAAGGATAAAATTTTGTACATTCACCATTCCCGTTTCTTGTAAATATGTATTCCTACTCGTCTTCATTTGTGTTTTTCCTTTTCTTTCTTTTCTCGGTTCGTAATGGCAGAATAAATTGAAGCGTCCTGCTATTTCCTTTAATCATCGTTAGGTCTGTTCCTGTCTTGATGATGAAGGTTTGATGCCTTGAAAAATCTGTATGGAAGTCTGAATTTTGTGGTACCAGCATCCAACATCAACCGTCTATTTAAGACCTTAGTAACAAGGGAGTGCGTTTTAGCCATTGATTTTGTTGAAAATTCCAGTTTTATATGTTCTTTTGACCTTAAAATAGTTCAACTAAGCTGAACTCATCTTCATAATGATTTCGTTTGCAATTAATGTGAGATTACGAATTGATGATGTCGTACTTCCTGGTTAGAGAAGGAGTTAGTCCTTTCACACAAGTGGCACCCTTTAAGGTATGCTACAGAACGTCGGAATCTCTTTCGTCCTCTTATAAAGAAGCCTTGCCTGCCTTAAAACAGAGGCATTTACCATTGCCAGTAAATTAAAAATTAGTCCCTCTCGTTTCTCTTCAATTATCCTCTTTTTTTAAAAAATTATTTATTTAATTTTTTAAGCTTTAATTTTGTCAATAACTTAGCTTTTTTTATTAATTTTCTGTTAAATTAGTGATTTCTATTCTCATTTTTTTTATTTTTAATTTTATAGTTGAGGAGAAAGGAAAAAAAAGGAAAATGAGATAAATAAAACAATAAAATAAGAGCAATTTGAAAAAAAAAATTACTAATTTAATAAAAACTAATAAAATGACTAAATTATTTATGAAATTAAAATATAAAGGATTAAATAATTAGTTTTGAAAATGATATGGATTAACTAATTCGTTTCTGAAAACAAAAGGGATTAATTTATAATTTACTCTGACAAGCAGAGAAGAATTACAAATGAACGGTCACGGTCATATTATAAAAAAAAAAAAAAAAACCGACCCCACTGATCCAGATATCATTTCACTGTCTTGCTTTTACAGATCACACAGAGACCTCCCCCTCCCCCCATCCTCATCCCTCCAAGTCCTTTAGAAAAAGGGCAAATAAATAAATAAATACCGTAATTATATCATCGCACGCATTCATTTAATTTTTGTTTAATTAAAGACACATAGAGAAACAGAAACAGAAATAGAAAGAGGGAGAGACGAAGCCAAAGAAATGGCGGAAGAGGAATGCGAATTAAATGAGAAGCAAAAGAGAGAGATCGCTAAATGGTTTCTTCTCAACTCACCCGGCGGTGAAATCCAATACATCGCCAAAGGTCCCTCACATACTCACTTTTTCCTGTTTGTTTTGTTTTGTAATTTTTGTGGCATTTCGTATTTATTATTAAGATTTTTTGGATTTGGTCAGATTTGAGATCGTTATTGAATGATGAGAAAGTGTACAATGAAGCAGCATTGGAGGCATTTCCTCTTTATAATAAATCTCACTTGATTTGCCTTGAATTACCTAATCGAAGCGGAGAAGTAAGCCTTTTATTTATTTATCTATTATTATTTAGTGAAATGTTTGTGTTTTAATTCAACTGTTGACTTCAATTTAGGCATTTGAGTGAATTTTTATACTTCAATATTGGAGATCTTTGTTACCGAAATTTTATTGATGATTTTTGAATGGTTAATATAACAAAATATTACTTTATTTTCCTTGAATTACCTAATAGAAGATTTTTTTCCCCATATTTATAGCTACTGATTTGATTTTGTGCTTATTTTCTTTTTTATTATAGGTTTTAACTGCTGATTTTGAGCTTAATATCAAACTAGAGGTTTTTTTGGGTATTTGAGTTTATTTTCGTTTGTTTAGTATTTGTGTAGAAGAGAGTGGTATAGCTATACATCTGTAGATTTTTGTTGCTAATTACTGTTTTAAAATGTGGAGGGCTCATCAGCAATGACATGTTTTTTCTCGTTTGTTTTCATTATAATTTTTTATGAACATTGTGCGGCACATACTTGTTTATATATTTGGAGGATTAAATGTGTCAATTTATCGTTTTTTAGACTGATTTTTGGGTTTAATTGTGAGTCTAGTTATTTTTTATTTGGAAACCTCGTTTATTTTGTATGCAGTTAGTTGTGGTAGTTATATTTCTGACTCGTACTTTTCAAACTGTATTTGCAGGTGTTGGTTACGTCTTATAATGAGCTTGAGAAGAATGAGTATCTTGATCCTAGAACTGCACAGGTTGCGACAGTTGACCATGTTAAGCAAGTAAGTTTTTCAAAAAAGTTGAAGTGCATATTTGTTTTCCTTCTCTTTTGTTTTGCTTTGATCTTTTTTATATGTTTGTCAGTCCATCTTTTATATCATGATGTGCTAAATTGGTTCAGGTTTGTACAGACGTGAGACCTGCAGCTGACGAGGAACTTTCATCATCATATATTGAAGAATTTCGGTATGCTTTTAAACTCTCATGGTTATTAGTATTAACTTATGTTCGTATAGAAGTTCTTTTAGTCATTAGTGCATCAATGCTAGATTTTGAAGAGCTAGATTTTGAATCTGTCGAGGAGAATGACATTTTCTATTTTTCTCAGCTATTATTCCCTCCCTATGTATCACTTTTTGAAGTCTAAACTTTCAAGGCTGCATTTTTCTATTATTTGCATTTCCTTTTACATTCAGCTGGACTGAGAGTATGGTCAGGATCTTTTAGAGGTTAGAACCAAGGTTAGACTTAGAGAGGTTTTTTTGGTGGATAGTATCTACCCCTGCTTCATGGTTATATCATTTAATTTTTTGGAACATTTAAGCTCTTGAGCAAGTAGTTGTCGAATTATTATCTTCTTCCTTTAATCCTTTACACACTTAGTAATCTCTCAGAGTTAAAAGCATTTTGAGTACGGAGCTTACGAGTTACATCTAAATCTCTCCTTTGTTTGTTTTTAATGCTCCTGTTTGATTTATATAGAATTCTTTTTGTTTGGCTTTTGGAGTTTGAAATAATTGTGCTATCTTCGGTACAATTTTTTGCTTATTGCTTCTTCCATCCATGTTTGGTTGATTTTGGATTCCAAGTTATAGGATTAATTTGCAGTTTCTTTTTGTATATACAACTAATTGCAAAAGCGATATGTATAATTGGTAGTTTATGACCAGAATTATGGCTCAGGGCACATTAAGGGTAGTTCTTTTTTTTTTTTTTTTTCTGTTGCAATATTCTACATGTTTTTACGTCACCAATACTATCTTGTTCTCTGCTAGTTGTGCCCTGGATGCAGAAATACTCAAATATGCAGCAGAAGCTTATCCAAAAGGTATCTGTTCTGTTTATTGCGTTAATGGGAAGGATGTGGAGGGACCAGGATCTAATTTCGAGCTTTTAGTGGTCATTTCTGCTGCTAAAAATAGCCCACAGAATTTCTGGTGCGTGGAATTCTAGTCACTTTTTACTCTTTATCAGATACTTTATTTAGGACATGTTCCTAATATTCTGTCACATGCTTGTATCTGCACACACCATGTCACTTCAAAGTCAGAAACATATATATTTTATGACGTCTTATCTTCATATAATGTTCTTTTGCATATCTTATAGCAATGGAAGTTGGCGATCAGTGTGGAACGTAGAGTTTAAGGAAGATGTACAAATGCTAGAAGTAAGAGGCAAATTACAGGTATGACTGTTATATGAAAGTGAGATTGCATACTTATATGGCAATGTAAGTATAAGCTGTTTCTTTTTCCCCGTATTCTTCCTATTTCAGGTGGGTGCTCATTATTTTGAAGAGGGAAATGTTCAGTTGGATGCAGAACATGAATGCAAAGATGCAACAATCTTTCAGGTTATTGCAATATTTACAAGTCCTTTAGCTTGATACTTCTTCATCACGAAATTATAGCTTCTTTCTTCAAGTACAATAGATAAGGTTGACAGGGCATTACTCGGTGCAAAGTCTTGGGCATGCATTCACAAGATTGCACATATCGAGTCTTGAGAACAGCTACTTCATGCTGAAGGGCAACACTGTATCTAAATTACTCTTCACATGACACCACTCAAACGGGATCTTAATTGGGTACTCAGAACAGGGTAGTTGTTGGCCAAGTACTTCAAGCAGAACGCATGCAAGGTGTAATACTGGCCTAGGAAAGTTGATTATTTGGGTGACTTTGTGCTACTAGTCTGGTCGTCTGTGTTGAGTGACCTTTGAAGCACTATTGCTGCTTCCCAGATTCTATTGCAAATATTCCTAGATAAAACCAGCACTTGATTGGCTTCAGAAGTCTAGCCTTTAACTCCATCTTATGACTTCTTTTAAACTCTAAGGATTACGAGAATGATTTAGCAGTTTTGAGTGATTTCACTCTTCATACATGTGAAGCATGCTCTCTGTGTCTTACAGCTTCCTAATGAAGTGGTTCAATAAATTCTCGCTAGAATACACCTAGCAGCTGTGAAATAACAAGTTTTCTTAAAATAACCTTTAAGCACATTTTAGTAATGAGATTTCATATGAGTATCATTTTAAGGGGAGAGTGGAGCACCTGCTTGTTGTGTCATCATGTATATCCATCTGTCAATGTTCTTCAGTTTTGGTGAAGAGAAGATAAAAATGGTTGCTCATTTATAATTTTCATTTCAGGCCCCTGACGATTGTGCCATTGCCATAGCCAACATTATTCGGCACCATGAGGCAGAGTACTTTGAATCTCTTGAGGTTCTCATTGTGTCTCCTTCTTTTTTCAGATGCTTGGATTTTAAGGCTTCGATACTGACAATTATTATTTGACAGGCATCCTATTCAAATTTGCCAGATACCACTTTCAAGGTATTCTTTATTAGATCATGCTTTCTACAATATTTTGTATTTCCAAATCTATTGAAATTTGGTTCCCTTAGTGTTCTTTATTGGACTTTACCTAAGATATATAGCTCCTATTTTGACTATTGCATTTGAATATTGTCAGAAACTATTCATGCTCTATAGTTACCGAATTGTCCCAAGACATATTGAATTTTTATTTTGAGAATATGTCTGTATGCCTTCATTGTATTTTTATCTCTTAAAGTGATTTTGATGCATTGCAGGATCTGCGAAGAAAACTACCAGTTACTCGCACTCTATTTCCATGGCATAATACTCTACAATTCAGCCTGACAAGAGATATCCAGCGGGAACTTGGAATTGATAAGTGACTAACTACCATGCCAGAAGTGTACACCGCCATTATTCTGTAAAGCCAAGATAGTGACATCCCAATATACCAGTCCATTTGTATCTTGAGTCTATGATTTCTTCTAAGACCTCTCTGATATTGTTCCTTTTTTCAACCCCTTGATTATAGTCATTCTGCCGTTTGGCCGTCCAGTCTGTCTCCTGTTAAAGAGTTCCTCTCAGTTTTGGTGTGTACAATTGATACAAGTTTTGTACAGTACTGTTAATTATCAATCATCTTGCGATGTGCTGTGAAAAATGTTGGAATTAGGAAAAGCAGGCCAAATTAGTTGCCAAAAGAGTTATTTTGAAATGGGGACTGAGGCATGACTCATCATTCAACACCCTGTCAATAATGGAAATCACCTGGTTGCTTCGAGGGAGTTTCACAACAACTTTAAAGTTCTATGTCTGATAGTCCTTTTCTTTTGTTTGGCTGTGGTCGTTGTGGATGTGCCAGTTTGCCAGCCATGGACAGCAATCTGCAATTATGAAGTGGTGGGTAATTTGCCATGGTAAGCAAGTTCAAGACTCACGTGTCTTCACATGCATCTGTTTCCATTGGTACTGCTTTTCATGATTGAAATCAGACTTGACAGTGAAGGTGCAAAATAAAGGCTTAGGCTTGGTTGGAGCTGGGGGACAGACCATGACGCATAATAATACCCTTGAGTTGGTCTCCAGATGTCCCCTTGTCTCTAATAATTATAGGTTTGATTGTGTGATTAGCCAATGATGACCACTTAACAACCATTAGCCACAAATCTCGCAGCCATGTTTCCAAATAATCGGAGTCATGCAGTTGTAGACAATAGACCCTACTCCTTGTGGGCTCAACGCTGGAAAGCTAAACGAGTCCATGAGTATGTTCAATAATCCTCGGGGCAGCTGCCTTTCGGAAATTGCGAATGCGAACAAGGAGAAATAATAAAATAAAAGAGGAATCAAGAAATATATAAAAATTCCGTTGCCGGGAATCGAACCCGGGTCTCCTGGGTGAAAGCCAGATATCCTAACCGCTGGACGACAACGGATTTTTGATTAAGTTCTGCGTTTAATAATATATTAATTATAAATTATGGTTGATGACCGACTCGTGCAATCATAAGCAATTGAAATTAGCTCACCCTGAAAATAATATTAAAAATTGTATATTTCACTGCTATTGAAATTTCGAAACCCTAACGACGCCGTTCTCAAACGCTTCATGTTTTTGATCAGTGCCTAAGGCAGCCACCTTGCTCTCGCAGTCTCACAGTTCCCCCGGCTCCCATTAGAGCTATAGAATGCGATTTTCCTCTTCCCGCATTTTCTCAGCAATCAAACAAGGACCATCACTTCTGCTGTTTTTCCATTCGTAGGAAAATGGTAATTCCTCACTCACTGCACTCTATTCACAGCTTTTGTTTATTTATTTATTTATTTAAAATGAAACTGCAATCTCAAATTTAGAAATATTCGGGTTTTTCGGCGAAACTTAATTTTTTTATTTTTTATTTTTTGGAGTGGACTGTTGTTGATAATGTGTTTAGATTTTTTGATTTCTGGAGTGATGCAGATTAGCCAAATCAGACATTGATATGCTCCATAAGGCAGATTGTCTTTAAAACTTGTCTTGGTTGTTCTTGTAGAGATACATAGATGACCTCGTGGATAGCCTGGAACAAGTAATAGATGGCTGCCTTGTGTTGAAGTGTATCCTCTGATGATAACTTAGAGATTGGATACTGACTGACCAGAATTATTATCTTGGTTTTTTCTTTGTTTGTTGTTTATTTTTCATTCTTCGACCCATTGTGTCCTAAGGTTATTTGTTGCGGAAACAAATGCATGTGCAATTGTCTGACAATTAAACTTGAACAGTTTGCAGTTTCCTGCATGTCATAGAATCTATGTTATTGTTGTCGGATTCTGGTTTTATTTTTTCCATTTTGGACATGTCTGGTGTAGGGTAATAAATAATCTTCAAGCATAGTCTGAGTTTTGTTACTCGGCCAGTGAAAATGTTCATGGCATTTTGGCTGAGGTATTCTGCTTGTTTCTATAGCATATTTCACATAATCTTACTTGTAATATAGCAAAGCATTGTGTATGTTAAGTTTCAGTCTCTGGTGAAAAATGAGTTGCTGCAGAGCGTCTTTGATGGCTTGTGAAGCAACTAAAAGGCAGGAGTTTATTGCTGCAGTACTTGTATCAACATCTTTAGCTTTTCATTGCATATCATCGTGCACAACTGACATCTGCATAGCAACATATGATTTGCTGTTCTTTTCATGGAGTCTTCATCATGAGTTGCTATCAAAATATATAACTTGCTTTGATTAGTAACTGGAAATTAAAATCTCATATTGTTTGAGTTTTCAAAAGTGCTATTATGATGTCTACATTTGAGATGGATATCTTTTGTTGTCTAATTTAACAGCAGAAGTGGATCCTACCCTTTGCTCACCTTTTTTGGTTTGTATCCTTTTCCGATCTCTTTTAAACAAATATTTTTGAAAACAAACATCAAGATTCCTGATTTATGATATGTTGGTCTCTTCTGTGCCACCCCATTTTTCAAATATTTCTTTTTAATGAATAATTATTGAAGATTTTTCTGTTATGAGGATGTAGTTTGGCGCATAATGTGGAATGCTGCCCACATTGTGGCTAGTGTTGCCTGTTAAATTTTCTGGTCTTGTGAGGACAAACCTGAGGATTTTGCTTTGTATAAATCAATTAACTCTAAAATCTGTAAAATTCCATGAAGAATGGTATTTGTTGCATTCATTGGCAAGTTGCATGCATGTCTGTGAATTATCAATCTTGTGATCATCAAGTCTTCACTTGTTAACATAGAAAACCACCTGGGATACCCGGAAAGGGGGTGGGTGGGGGTAGAGAGTAAAGTGCTGGTGGGGAGCAAGAAAAGGACATTAGGTGTGGTATAGACGATGGAAGTACCAAAGGCATGCGTGGTAGGCAGGGCAGAGGAGGACCTGATGGCAAGACTGGTGACAGCAGAGCTCATTTCTCATCCAGGAATGGAACACTTGTCAATTTTTTTTTTATAGATTGGGAATAAGGCACAGTAAGTTTTCCAATTCCTGGATGTGTGATGTGTCACGGTAATTGCCTTGGTTGCTTGTGAGTTCAAGAATTAGATGTGCTTTGTCTCAGCCCAACCTACATAGTCACCACCTTAAATGTTCCAACAAAAATGCTCGATTGTGACTGAAATTCTGCCCTGCTTCTCATACACAATACATTGATTTGCTGTCTTCGCAGTTTCCTATGAAGCTTTTCTTATAAGAAACTCTTGTCACTTTTTAACTAACTTCTAACATTTATCCATATCAATGGTCAAGGAAGTTTCACGTTGTTGTTTGCTTCTAGCATGAGAAGTGACCTTTCTTCATAGGCAGGTGGGGGCAAGGTACACGCATCCAAGTTTTGAGGCTTCTTACGAGTTTTCAAGCAGAAGATGCATCTTAAGAAGCAGAGATGGAGGAGAAAGATCTCACGGCATGTTTGATTTTATGTAATAGACTATGGAAATGAATCATTACTTTCTTATGTTTGGTTGTGTAATTTTTAAAATTATAATGTAATGGATCATTACAATTATAATGATTTGTTGCATTACAGGCGTTACATAAAAAAAGCTATGTGATGAACCATTAAATGTTGAAGAGTCATCTTCCTGGGACTTGATTGAAAGACGTTTTTATTATAAGGACTAAATTTTGTAAAGTACAGCGTGCACTAAGAACTAATTTGTAAATAAAAATAAAATAGGGACAAAATTATTTTTTTTGAAAACTTAGGGGTTAAAATGAAACTTTGGGATGGGAAAGGTTGTTCCAAAGAACGTATACAAAATCTCCAAGTGCTTCTTTGATGTAAAATTTATCATACTGATTTCCTTTGATTGTTAAAATTGCAATCGATTTTGTTTTTGGATAAATGAATTTAATTGTGAGGAAATACCATATATAGGTCTTGATCCTTTTGGTTGCGAATTGCTGTGTTCCTTGCTCTGTACTGAATACCAACGGCTCATTGGATATTAGATATCTCAATATTAGAAATGATTTGAACACAACACATTGCATAATTTACCCTCAAACTATTATTACAGTGATAAAATAAGATCTATAAAATCAATTTTGATTATTTGAATTTATTAATTTTTGAATAGTTTCATTATTTTTGGTTATATTTAGTAGTTAAAGTGTTGATCTTTAATTAAAACACTTAAAACAACGTTGTTTAAAATATTTTTATTTTTAGTTTTTAGAATTAAAATTAATTTCCAATATTTTTTTTAACAATAGTTAGTTTTAAAAAAATTTAGATGATTTTGTTATTTATAAATTTTACTTTTGTTATTGCATAATTAATGATGTGTAATGAATCTATCTAAAAAAAATTGAATTATTAAAAAAATAAAAATTAATTTTAAATGAAAAACTAAAATACTTAAAAAAAAATATCCATTTAAATATTTCAATTAAGAGTCGACACTTTAACAATAAAACATAAAAAAAATGATAAAAATTGCATAAAAAATAAATTTGAGATTCAAATACCCTATCAAGAAACTATCTTACATCCAAAAATTAAGTTGTTGGATGAAATCTTAAACTATGATTTATAAAATTTCAACTCTTGACTATTTGATCATCAATTATTTGATATCATATCAAATAATTATTTCAATTTAAAAATTTAAATAATTAAATATAATTTTAAAATATAATTTATATTTTTTTAATATACTTTAAATTAATAATAAAAATATTATTTTATCATAATTTCAAGTAGTTTTGTAGGTAAATAATACCACTAAATCCTTAAACATGCGATACCAAATAAAAAAATTCTACATAATAATACTACTTTGTCTGTACCGCAGAAAGACAAACTAGCAAGGCTCATAAAGGGGCCCATCTTTGCTTGCAAAATCTCTTTCTTCCCCGACAGAGAGAGAGAGAGAGGGAGAGTGGAGTCAAAGAAGTACGAATAAAAAACTGCATCTTAAACCAAAAAAATCCGCTCTTATCTTTGAAAAGATTCCCCTGTACTTGTCCATAAGCACTCATCTAGCCACCTACCCCACATTTCCTTCCATCAGTTGAGCTTCCTTCACATAGAATCATCAAAGCACAGTTCTTCAGTGACTTAATTTATAGACCCCATGACACCCTGTTGAGCTTCACATAATCAGCTAGTTTGTTGAGTCAAGCTTCTTTATTCTTGCACTCAGAAAAATGGCTGAAATTAAGGCCGATATTGCTTACGACCACAGGGTTATAATAGCTGATGTAACCGGTATTTCAGCCCAAAAGCCTGACCCAAAAAGGCGTTTAGCTTCATTAGATATCTTCAGAGGCCTCACTGTTGCTGTATGTATCTCTGTCTCTCTCAAAATTTTAAAAGTATTGATTGCCTTTTGATTCAAGGTTGATGAGTTTAGCTTCAGATATGGCTGTTCTGTGCTAATTATTCCGCTTGCTTAAGTTCTTGGTTGTTCGCCCATAAAGATAAAACTATATATAACTTAGTGTTTGCAACGTAACTCAAGTGGGTCCATAGCTCAGTGGTAGAGCATTTGACTGCAGATCAAGAGGTCACCGGTTCGAACCCGGTTGGGCCCTTTCCATTTTTAATTTTCTATCGCGCACTTTTGCAATTTCGCCCCTTAATGTTTCGTAATTTTCAATTTAGTCCCCCATTTATTAAAAATTCTATAGCTTCATTACTGTGTCTTATGCAATTTCACCCCTTATTTTTTGTAATTTTCAATTTAGTCCTCCATTTATTAAATATTTTAGCTTCACCACTGTGTCTGGGCATCCTTGTTAGAAAGTTTATGAACCCATAATCACTTGTTTATGATGCTAAATTTGTGTGTCTTGATGGGATTAATGTAGTTAATGATTTTGGTCGATGATGCTGGAGGAGAATGGCCTAAGATTGGACATGCACCATGGAATGGTTGTAACCTTGCTGACTTTGTAATGCCATTCTTTTTATTCATTGTAGGAATGGCCGTTCCTCTTGCTTTTAAGGTTGGTGTACCATTTTGTCTTAATAAAGTTTGATAAGGAAAAAGGTTTTAGAAGATACATATATTTGTTATTTCAAGTTCTTGTTTTCTTATAAGTGTTGTTTGATTAATGTAGAAAATTACCAGCCGGCGTCAAGCTGTCAAGAAGGTGATTGTTAGGACTTTGAAACTACTTGTTTGGGGTATCATGTTACAAGGTTAGTTCCGTACTTCTGTCATGCACCTATCAGGCTTACACGCTGTGTTTTCTATCTTATGTTGTCCAGTGATGAAAAGAATACATGGAAGCAACAGAAATATGATATTGAGTTCGGTAGAGCACATCATTTAGGCCTGTGTACTGTGTCTGAAATGTAAATGAAATAAGAAAGTTAGTAGTTTTGGGAGAGGGAGATTCCATCCTGAACAATCCAATTCTTAAAGGCTCAACCTCGAGTAGTTTATCACCGAAAAATTGTTGTCTCAGTAGCAGCTGAATAAATTTCAACAAGAATCAACTTTCGTTTTAACTTGTGTTATACAGTAATGATGCATGAAAAGGTAGAACGCAACATTTTCATTCTGTTGCTTGGCGGTACTAAATTTTGATGTTATCATGTAGGGGGCTTTTCCCATGCTCCTGACAAACTAACTTATGGAGTTGATATGAAGAAGATAAGATGGTGTGGGATTCTTCAGGTGGTGCTGGTTTTGATATTCATATGCGTGCATAATTTAGGTTGTCGGAAATATTCTTATACAGTAACTATGATTCTTTTTTTTTTTTTTTCCAGAGAATTGCTTTTGCTTACTTAGTAGTGGCACTGATGGAAATCTTTACAAAAAAAGGGCAACCGAAGGATCTACCTCATGACCATCTCTCCATTTTCAGGCTATATGGCTCGCAATGGTAAGTTTACATTCCTGTGTGAAGTATTTTCATTAAATTTGTAGACCAAAACTTCAACTGTTACTCTCTGCTAAAATTTCCAGGCTGGTGGGAGCGTGTATGCTTGTTGTTTACTTGGCTGTAATCTACGGGACTTACGTGCCTCACTGGCAGTTCACTGTCCAGGACAGAGACAGTGCTGATTATGGGAAGGTTTTCACTGTAAGCACTTACTCTACGTCTCTGCCACTCCTGCAACATTTCCCTTGATTCGGATAACTTCCTGCATGCTTAAACCTGAATAATACAGTAGTTGATTTCATATCTTCGATTTTGGGGCAAATATTAAGGAAATGAAACTGTGAAATCATTGCCTTTGCTCTTACAAAAATATTATGTCATTATAGAAACTGGAATCCCATTATAATCTATTATCTATCAGTAAACACATTTTCCTTGTGGTTGCCTTTTAAGCGGTGGTACTACAAACTATGCTCAATGATTTCCATTAGGATTTAATTTCTACTAACAATCAAACCTTGTTACAGGTAGAATGTGCAGTCAGAGGAAAACTGGATCCTCCTTGTAATGCAGTTGGTTTCATTGACAGAAAAATCTTAGGAATTAATCACATGTATCAGCATCCTGCTTGGAAGAGATCGAAGGTGAATGGCAATTTCGTTTGCTACTGCTCATTATTATTGGATGTGGAATAACTTGTTTATAGCCTATACAATAAGAGCTTACGATTTTTGCCGAATTGCTGCAGGCCTGCACTGAGAATTCCCTGTATGAAGGGCCTTTTCGAACCAGTGCTCCGACATGGTGCAATGCTCCTTTCGAACCTGAAGGAATCCTAAGGTTTGTTTGTTGTACACAACCTAATTTATGACTCAATGTAATCTCATACTCGAAATTGGTTCAAAACAGTAGCGAACAGCCTTGCCTTTTTCCACATGATAGAAAATCATTCAGCTCATTCATATATGGTAAAATGCTTATCCACTAAGTGAGAATTTGAGCAAATTTTCTAGCTTCGTCGGAGTTCATTTTGAGAGGATGTCTTGTAGAGGCATCTTGAGAAAATGTCTAACTGGATATGTCTATTTCAATCTCATTACTTGCAGCTCGATATCTGCAGTTCTTTCTACCATCATCGGTGTTCATTTTGGACATGTGCTTGTACATTTGAGGGTTAGTTTTATGTTTTTAAGTATCTAATGCTTCACTTAAATCTAGATCTTGCTTCGCTGCCTTGATAAACCTCCGAACTCCAGGTTCATACAGCTAGACTGAAGCACTGGATTGTTATGGGATTTACTCTTCTTATTTTAGGGCTTATTCTTCATTTCACACATGGTGAGAACTGAAATATCATACATGCCAAAGTTTGTCAGCATTTCCGCATCATAGTTTCATCAAGGAGAATGTTGACTCTTTTTTTTCTCCTCAGCGATTCCCTTAAATAAACAACTGTACACTTTTAGCTATGTTTGTGTAACATCCGGAGCAGCAGCTTTGGTGTTTTCGTCTCTCTACGCCCTGGTATGCTGTTGTCACAAGTGAACCATTTTGGGGTTCTAAAATCAAAGGGACCTAGTTTGAAACTGTCAACAGGCTATTTCTGATACGAAACAAGTTCATTTTTCTTTCTAGGTTGATATTCGGTGTTGGAAGATGTTTCAGCCATTAGCATGGATTGGCATGAATGCAATGCTTGTTTATGTCATGGCTGCCGAAGGCATCTTTGCTGGTTTCGTCAATGGGTGGTACTACAATGATCCTCACAATACACTGGTGAGTTTTCGTCAAACCTTATCATGTTTCAACCTCTACCTTTCTGGTTTTCTTATCGAACCATAGAAAAGAGGGATGAATGGCATTAAATGATAGCTGCAAGTTCTTTCTGCTTTTGTGGGATTCATTAGCAAATGCCCCTTGATGGAATTATCCAACTTTGAGTAGTTGTTCAATGTTTTTAATGCAAACAAGGTTGTAGATTATTTGTTACGAGAAACAAAAGCATCTAGCCAATGTTTCTATGTTCGTCAGGTTACATGCTTCTTCCTTTTCTTAAATAATTCTTCATAGCAATGATAACCATATTACTATTTCTGGCTTAATTCAATCTATCTGTTGCAGATATACTGGATTCAAAAGCATATGTTTATTGGAGTCTGGCATTCTCGAAGAGTTGGCATTCTCCTTTATGTAATATTTGCAGAGATCATGTTCTGGGGCATGGTTGCAGGCATTTTCCATCGCCTAGAAATTTACTGGAAGCTTTAAATTTTATCTGATGTCTATATTTTGTGATAGAAACATAAAGTTCTGTAGAATATTGTCTATGCTTTACCTAAATTACCTACCTCAGCTTAATTAATACACATCTTATCTTTGCTGTATTGCAAGGGGAACTTTGTTCATCTCACAATTGTCTGCATGATTTAAAAATTGATTTAAAATCGTATAACCTTATCAATTAAACAATACTTCTACCAACAAGATGTTGGTCCAGTCACAAGCGAGCTGGTCCTTACGCAAATTTTTAGTTAATCTGCAGAGTTTAAATTCTAGAATCGTATTTGTTAGAAGGTGTTAAATCTTGTTGTTTATATCCTGAACATTTAATTCTATGTCTAATATGGGATAAAGATATCTGAAAAAATAATATTTCTAAAAACCTATGTAAGTTATACTTGATTAAACTTCACTAGAAAATTAAGTTCTCAAAGAAGCTATTCGTTTGATATAAAAAAGAATCATTAAAATCAGCTAAACTGCGCAATGCGATGGAAAGCCAATATTGGTAATCTACAAATAAGGTTTAAGAAAACATTTGAGTGTTAATTTCATGATGCTCATCAAATCCTCAAAACCAAATATGTCCATCAAATCTTTTTAACTTGCTTGTCCATTTTCTATGAATCATAACGAAAAATTTTATAATACACAAGGAGTAACTACTTGGAATAGATTAAAAAAAAAATGAGAGAGAAAATTAAAAAAAAAATTAAGCAAAGATGGAAATCTTCTTAATTTTAGTAGGTCTTGATGTAATTCAATGTGTCTATCTCTCTTCTTAAAATGGATCCATGAAGTAATTATTGTATATGCCACTATTTAGTCCTTGTGTATTATAAAATTTCTTAATCATAACCATTTAAATTCAGAGATTAGAGATTATAATAGGTGTTTAATGCCGATTTTTTCATGAATATTTACAAAGACAATATCCAAATATTCTTTCTTATAATTTAGTTCTTTACACCATAGTTTCAAATAACGGTAGATATCATTATTCACCATTATAAAAAATTTCATCGACATATTATACAAATAACAATGTTATATTTATTTTTTAAAAAAAATTGAATATGTTATAGATTTTTAAATATGCTATCCATGTGAAATCTTACATCTTGAAATTATAATATATTTTATTATTTTTGTGTCGTATTAAATTATCAAAAATGTTATTAACTTATTTTCTATAATATTAATAATTAAAGATATTATTCTTATGTTTAATTAATAAAACTATTAATCACAACTGTTTTTACAACCAAATCCGCTATTAAAAATTATGCTTTACACTTTCGCAAGAATCAGGAAAATCAATTTATAGTGAAATCACATGAAAACTGTTAAAATTGAGCTTTAAGCTTTTTGGACGATCTTGAACGGGGTAGCTTACGATGATTAATTATCTAATTATTAAATTATTATATCCTAAATATCAATGTAAATTAATATTAAAGGAATCAATTGTTACGTAAAAAAAATTATTGTATATATCTAGTTTACCAACACAACCAAGGCATATAGAAATATGGCAATGGATAAACTTATAAATCATCTTATGAGATTATTTATTCATTCACATGCCATTTTTTTATTTTATTTTTTTGATGTCTCTAAATAGATTGATAGATCGATTTAACGTAACAATTATCCATAAATAATAATATTATTAATCAAATATTCATAATATTAAATTAATCATTTAATAATGTATATTTTTATTTATTATTATAGATTCGATTACAAACAATAATATTTGTATCAAACATTAAATATTTATTTTATCAAGTAGTCTGATATCCATAAAATCATGACTGTTAAAAAAAAATAAGAATATTTTTTATTTTTTATCTTCCTAGACCCTAAAAAAATTATCTTTTTACTCATTCAGCTTATGTCCAATACAAAGCCCAACAAGAAACAGTAACCTCAAGCCCATTACTTCTTGGCTTCGGCAACAAGTAGAGAAAATATAAGCCAAAACAAAAACCCAACAAAAAAAAAAAAAATCTTTTTAGACTCTCTCTTTCTCTCAACACTCAACCTTTCCTTCTCACTTCTCTCTAAATTGCTTTCTCTTTTTAGCTTGAATCGGTAAATCTTGATAACCATGGCAACCCCGATGGTGGAAGATTCAGGCTTCGAAGATGACCAGCTTGTCTCCATGACTACTGAAGATATCACAAGAAATTCTCGTCTTATCGATAACGAGATTCGCATTCTCAAGGTCTGATCTTTCTGTCTCGCTCCCTATGTGTCTGTGGCGATAAAAATAATATTAGTAATGATGTTTGATTGATTTGAGTGTTCTGTTGCTATGTGCTTAGGGTTGTTTCTTGTATTTAGGGTTTTGGTTTTGATTTTATCAGTGAAGGAAAGGATTAGTTTTGTTTATGTTAGTAGTGTTAATGGTAATTGAACTAAAAATAAGTGAAAACCCAGAGCTTTTTGTTGTGTGATGAATTGCTATTTGTGGAATTAATGGGTTTTTGGTAGTTGCTAATTCTTTTGAACTGGGTTTTTTTATGGGTTTGTATTATTTTGTAATTTTGATTGAAAACTGTGTATTGGGATTGATTGGCATAGTGTTAAAGGAAGTAGTGGTGTTTCTAGTGTTTGTGTGTGTGTAAAGTGTGGGAAGTCTTGAGTTTTTTTTTTTTTTTTTTTTTTTTTTTTTTTTTTTAAATTGGGTGTTTGAGAATGTAATGATTTGTTTGAGTGATATACTTTAATTGGGTGGTGTTTTGATGGGTGTGTTTGTGGGAAATGTAGGAAGAGGTGCAGAGAACGAATCTGGAGCTGGATTCATTTAAGGAGAAGATAAAGGAGAATCAAGAGAAGATTAAACTCAACAAGCAGCTGCCTTACCTAGTTGGCAACATTGTTGAGGTAAACGTCGCTGACTTTCTTTTTAAATAGCTAGATGTTAGACAATGTTGAGTGGTTAATTTGTTTGATCTTTTGTTTAAAGACTGTCACTTAAGCTGAATCCTGTGAATAAAACCTGAGTAGCTGTTTTGGTGCCTTGCCTCTGTAATTTCTATTAACAGCCCCTCTTGTTTTCCTGCAAATCAAATGGTCAAATTACTTGAATTTGGTTATGAATATTGTTCAGATGTTGGGTGTATTCTCTATTTTACTGTCGATGAAAAAATCTGACCAGAAAGCTCTTGACTTGCTCTTTGACTTTTTCACGTGGTTATCTTATGCCCAACTATAGGCAAAAGAAAAGAGAAACTAGAAAAGAGAAATCTTTTCTCCAACTTCAGCATTGTAATTAAATGTTAAATTTGTTGGTTGTTTTTTAATTGAAGTTCTAGCAGCGTTGGCACTAACTCCATATTTTGTTGGTCTGTGCATCTATAGATTTTGGAAATGAACCCAGAAGACGAGGCTGAAGAAGACGGGGCAAACATTGACCTTGACTCTCAAAGGAAGGGTAAATGTGTAGTGCTGAAAACATCAACTCGTCAGGTGAGTCATCTTATGCTGTACTCTTTTAAACAGAGCGAGGATGGAACTGCGATGTTTTAAAATTTAAATTTGATGAAGCTTGATCTTCTATTTTCGTTACAAGCTGTTGGTCTCATATCTTTCTAGAGCAGTTCATATATCTTCTTGGCCTTGATGTTCTTACTTCCAATCTGAAAACCTGTTTAATGCTATAATTTTTTGAGTTAGCAGAAGTTTAGACATGGAAGAAAATGTATAACGATACATTATCTTGACCACATTTATTAAGATTTATAAATTAATATTCTACCTCAACTGCAGACTATTTTTCTTCCTGTTGTTGGGCTTGTTGATCCTGACAAGTTGAAGCCTGGTGACTTGGTTGGAGTCAACAAAGATAGTTACCTGATCTTGGATACTCTACCGTCAGAGTATGATTCACGAGTGAAGGCCATGGAGGTTGATGAAAAACCCACAGAAGACTACAATGATATTGGAGGCTTGGAGAAGCAGGTGAATTTTGACTTGAGAGTGTGATTTATAGGATCTGTTCTTACATTGTTTCCGTTAGATGATAATACCTGCTCTGATTTGTTACTTTTGCAACAGATCCAAGAATTAGTCGAGGCTATTGTATTGCCCATGACTCACAAAGAGCGATTTCAGAAGTTGGGTATTCGTCCTCCCAAAGGTATCCTCTTGTATGGACCTCCTGGAACTGGCAAAACACTGATGGCCCGTGCTTGTGCTGCACAAACAAATGCCACTTTTCTAAAGTTGGCAGGCCCGCAACTTGTTCAGGTATAGCAAGTTTTATAAGTGCATTCTTCCTTTTGTTTCCAAAACTGAGATTGGGTGCCCTCCTCTGCATTATAACTTGAAAAATGTTTTGTAATGCACTTATGGGGACATCGTGACTTGTTAGATTGGAGAAGAAAGAGTAATTATAAAAATGCAATGTTTCTAAACTTGTTTCTAAGTTTCTTAATGAAGTAGTCTCTTGTATCATTTTCAGATGTTCATTGGAGACGGAGCCAAACTTGTCCGTGATGCCTTCCAGCTTGCAAAAGAGAAATCTCCCTGCATCATTTTCATAGATGAAATTGATGCTATTGGCACAAAGCGGTTTGACAGGTATACCTCATATCTACTTCGGCAATTGACTTGTTTGCACTTTAATTGTAGAATAGCTTTTCAAAGTTGGAGTACTGTTCTTGCTGCTTAATATTATTGTAGCTGATTTGGATTATTCTGTCACTATGTGCAGTGAGGTTAGTGGAGATAGGGAAGTGCAGAGGACTATGTTAGAATTGCTCAATCAGCTTGATGGCTTTAGCAGTGATGACAGGATTAAGGTTTAGTGATCCTTTTGTGACATTAGATGCTTTTTCAATAATCGACTCTTTTTCCTTTTTCTTCTTGGGGTGAATGTCCTGGCTTCTATAAACCATGAAGTCTTGCATCATTGCTCAAGGATCTCCTGTGTTAGATACAAGTACTGGTTGCGTTTGTGGAATAATATGGAAGTCACAAGTTCTTGTTATAATTTTCAGGTGATTGCTGCAACAAATCGTGCTGATATCCTGGACCCAGCCCTCATGCGATCAGGTCGATTGGATCGTAAAATTGAATTCCCACATCCAAGTGAAGAAGCAAGAGCTCGAATTTTGCAGGTTTGTCATATTAGAATTATTTGATTGCCTTTTTCGCTCATATATTGTGTGAAAACAATAGTTTTTTATTATGTTTTAGTTATTTATTTATTTATTTTGCTGATGCTGTAGATCCACTCAAGGAAGATGAACGTCCATCCTGATGTGAACTTTGAAGAACTCGCTCGCTCCACGGATGATTTCAATGGGGCACAGCTTAAAGCAGTTTGTGTTGAAGCTGGGATGCTAGCTCTTCGCCGTGATGCAACTGAGGTAATCTCTCTCGCATCCTGTTTCATTGTCTATTCTAAGATCAGTTTTTTGACAAGTGAAAGCCTGACCTGTCAACATAATAGTACCATGACTCCTCAGCATTGTTCTTGTCAAATGGTACAATCAGTTATAGATTAATTAAGGTTTCTTAATTTTCAAAAGAAGAAAACAAAGCTTAAATTCACTAGTTTGTGAGATATTTGTTGTTTTGCTGGTTGCAAATTGATTGATCATATGTAGGTATTGCAAAATTATCTCAGGGAGCAAGTTCTAACAATATTTTTGTATCGCTTGGATTTGAAAACAGGTGAATCATGAGGATTTTAATGAAGGTATCATCCAGGTGCAAGCGAAGAAAAAATCTAGTCTTAATTATTATGCATAAACTAGCAACAACGAAGCCACGCCTTGTTGTGGCTTTAACTTGTAATTTCTACACTTCCAATGACAAGTGTAACTTTCCCTTTTTTCCTTCTTTATTTGAAATGGTGAATTTTGCTATATATTTTTTCCCTCATTATGGTTATGTTGCAGGGAAGTGAAAGACCATAATCGAATTTGTACCACTGCTCTCTGAAAATTGACATACAAATTAATATCAATTAGTTTATTTTTCTAATATAAATTGATTTATAACCTCTTTTAATTTAATTTTTGAAAAAATAATTAATTAGGTATTTTTTCATTGATCAAAATCAAACATAGGATGTATTTAAACTCAAACATAAAAAATAAATATTTTATGAAATAATGCATAACACATATGATCAATGAAATGTCTCTCCCTAGATGGTAACAGCTTTTGGGGCCGACTATCAGATATTTTCCCAACTTTCTACCAATTCTCTGTATTGGATTTGAGTAACAATCAATTTTCGGGCATGCTTCCAAAGTGGATGGGTAATTTATCCAATCTTGAAGCAATTGATTTGTCCAAAATGGACAAATCATTTTGAAGGTCAAAATTCCATGAGAGTTCTTCAATCTTGACAACCTTGAATATTTGGATCTCTTTGAGAACAATTTATTAGGTTCTATATCATCTTGCTTCAATCCACTGGAGACCATTAATGTCCATCTGTCCAATAATCGATCGAACGGTCTATTAACATATGCATCTTTTAACATCTCTTCCTTGGTGACATTGGATCTGGGTTATAACAACATCACCAGCTTTATTCCAAATTGAGCTTTGTGTCTGGTTTTGATCTCTCCACTAATAGATTCTCTGGTGAAATCCCATCAGAAATGGAAAACTTAAGTGAGATACGTGCGCACAATAATCTCACTAGATCTATCTCTGTAACATTCTCAAACTTAAAGCTGATAGAGAGTTTAGATTTTTCTTACAACAACTTGAATGGTGAAATCCCTCTGCAACTTACTGAAACCATTCTAGCAGTGTTTAGTGTGACACACAATAACTTATCAGGAAAAACTCCAGAGAGAAAAAATCAATTTGAGACCTTCGATGATGAAAACAGCTATGAAGGAAATCATTTTTTTGTGTGGACCTTCGTTGCCAAACAATTGTAGTGAAGAACAATCACTATCACAACCAATGCCTAATGACGAACAAGATGTTTAAGTTGAGAACTCTCCTAAAATTGGACCTTCAAAATGATTTTGGGACAAATCAATTGCTTCAAGATTGGATAAATTGCTCATTCATTTTGGAAGCATGCCTGAAAATTGATTGTTACAGAGAATTGTATAAAAGTTGGGAAAAAAATCTGACAGTCGGCCCTAAAAGTTGTTGCCACCTAGGGAGAGACATTTTATTGTCATATGTGTCGTGCATTATTTCATAAAATATTTATATTTTATGTTTGAGTTTAAATATATCCTATCCATCTAGGTTTTGATACGAACTCGATGCAAAAATCTTGCTGTGGGATTGGTGGGGATAACAATTTTAGTCTAGTGAAAATGTGTGGAGCTCCTTCTGTTCCAGTTTGTCAGCAACCCGATAAATATATCAGCTGGGATGGAATTAATTTGACACAAAAGGCTTATTCGCATATGGCAAAATGGCTCATAAACGATATCGCTCCAAAGCTTCAATGCAGCAGTTCTTGATGTGCTTGATAGCTTGCAATTCTTAATTTCTTGTCTACAATTAAGCTTGTAAAATATATATTGCAATCATCTGTACAGTACTATTCATAAATCAAATGCCAAGTTTATTCCACTAGCTCTTTGACGCTTTTAAATCCATGCCAAATAGCTGCAAAAGATTTTGACTAATCAAAGCATATAATTGCATCTTATTTCTCCATTAAAGTATATAATAATACCTTGTCAATATCTAAGAAGTAAAAAATAACATGCCACACGAAACTATCCTCAAAGTCACAAGACCATAACCTTCTACTCCCAAAGGTTCAATTTTGAAGCTTGTACTAAAATCTAATAATAGTAGAGACAGCACACGCATCTCAAAGGTGGCTGTCTAGTGGCTACTTGTCAAAGACTGGATTAACACTTGACTTCCTTCAACCCATGAGCAAAGTAGAGAAAAGTTGGATCAGTAGCACCTTCCTTGTAGTATGCAAACACCAGAGCGCCATCATCATGCATGCTCTCGCCCACAAAGCTGCAATATAAACTCAACTGGTTAGAGAACATTTCTTTAACCATGGAAAATTCCAGGTTAAATCATGGGAAATTTAAGAAGTATTTATCATAGAGAAAAGAATGAATGGATGCACATACAATTGGAAGTCCTTGAGCTTTGGAAGCAGGAATTTAGTAGCTCCCTCAATGTTCTTCTTGAACACCTCTTGCTGTTCTGGTTCCAATTTGGGTGTCAGCAATTTAATGTACCTCTTCATGTAGGTAACGAATTGCTTCTTGTCAAAAGCAGGTTGCTCCTGTAGATTACGAGAAAGAACTATTTTAGATGCCAAGCAATTGAAAAACTACACTAGTGGAAGACAAAAAACCAATCTAGCTCGCTAACCTGAAGTCTGAAGGTGTCGACAATATCGACAACCTTGGCAGCCTGATCACTAACACCTTCATCATCATCTCCACCTTCTGCAGAAGGGTTAGCACCAATGTCTACATCAATCGCTCCTTGAACAACCCACTGTAAAATCCAAATCGTACCGAAGAATGTTAAAGGAAATCAATAATGTTTTAAGGAAAAATGAAATTGAGACCAAGAAATAGAAGGAAAATACTAACCTTTCCTTCCACTTCCCACAGCACCCCATTCTCAATTTCCTTGTATGGGAATGAATCAGAGAGAAGTTCATCGCCTGAAATTAATTAACCAAATTAAGCTTCCAGGCACAAACCAATAACAACTTTCAAGTCATAACAAAATCAAGAGCATACTATTCAAATTGTACTCGTGTCCTTGACAAATCAAATTCATCCACCAAACTATCCTAAGCACCACTCAGAATTTCCTAGTTGTGCAAGAAATCCCACCATGGAAAGTAAATCATCGAAAAGAAAAAAAGAAGCAAATCCTTTTACCCAGATGAACTATGGACTGGCAGAAAAAGTCAAGTACTTCTAGGTCATTATACTTGCTCAAAACACAAATTAAAATCAAATTCAAGTTCAAATTTGTACTAACTTCATCAATTGCTCATAATCATCGGCATAAACAGCAAAACAATGAAAACCCCAGATCAAATTTAAATTCTCTGCACCTTTTTAGCATCCAAAAACAGAACCTTGCAAGTGACTAAAACAAAACCACCACATATAAACAACACTACAACAGAAAAAACAATAAAGCCCAAGAAAGAAAATTATTTTGCTTCAATTTTTCTAGTCAAACAAACAAACCATCAACAAAAAACAGTGCACAAAACAGAATCACCGAACAAGTTCACAGGAAAAAAGAAGAAGAAGAAGAAGGAAAGAAACGGTCTTTAATTTACCAGTAAGAAGATCTTGATACACTAACATGATTGTAGATTACTAAGAAAAAGAAATTCTAAACACTTTATAGGAAAAAGCAGAGGAGTTGATTACACAAAAATAGCAAGAGAGCCTGAGAGAGTTTAGGAGGGGGCAGAGGCCTCGACAACTTATAGAGGAGTGGAAAAAAAATTGTAGGCGGTGAAAAAGAAGGCGGCTGTTGAATTACCGAAACAGACATGGTTTCTGTTTTTGTTGAAATTACGATGTTAGAGTCGTAGACAAAGAAGTCAAAACAGTATCTAAGGCTGGTACGAGGACGATGAGTCTTAATAGAGCTGGAAACTGTAAACCAGGGTTTGTTTGCCGTTATTTTTTCATCCCACGTGCAGGATTCGGTTACATTTTTAAAGATAAAAACTTGAGTTACTGAGGTTAGTATTTTTTTTCCAATAAAAATAGTTTTTTATTAAAAAAAATTAAAGTACATCAATTTTGAATATTTTTTCAATTGATTTTATTAATTTTTATTTTTATTTTTTTGCTTCAGTCAATTTTTTCGAAAATACTAATAAAGTTTTCAATTTTTCGTCCAATTATAATATAACAGTTAACAAAAAAAACAAAATAACTATATTACCTTTTTTCTTCTCCTAAATTTGTATTATTATTTAATTATTGATTAAAAAGAAAGAAAGCAAAGAAGCTACTTAGCTACCTTTTTTCTTTGCTTTCTTTCTTTTTAATTAAGCTGTTTTGCTTATTTTTTAATTAATAATTAAACAATAATAACTATTGGGATGAGAAAAGAAAAAAAGGATAACATAATTATTTAATCTTTTTTGTTAACTGTTACATCATCACTCGTATGAAAAATTAGACGAAAAACTTGATTGATATTTTAAAAAAAGTTAATATACTAAACGAAAAAATAAAAATTGATGTACTCAATTGAGAAAATATTCAAAATTGATATATTTCTTATGTAGTTTTTCTGTTTTTTTTATGTTGAGTAATTTTATAGGTTGAGTTAGTTTGTAAGTTTAAGTGATTAGATTATAAATTAGTTCAATAACTAATTAGTCTTTATATTTTTAATTTTATTTGTAACTTAATTTTTTTTAATAAATAGAAAATGAAAAGAATAAGTAAAAAAAAAATTAAGAAGATTGATGCGAAAAGAAGATACGATTTAAAATAAAATAATATTAAATTAATTATTATTAATATCGGTATATGAATTAAATAATTAGTTTTTAAAGAAAAAGAAACTATTTAGTTTATTTTATAAAACTAGACGAACTAATTTATAATTTACTCAAGTTTAACTCGATGATTAGATATTTGACCTTCGAAAGTTTAAGAGAAAGAAAAATTCAAAATCCTTGTCGGTGAGTTTGTGTAGACTCATCTTGTAAAATAAAGGCGACATAGTTTGTTTATGGTTGAACAAAAATAGAAGATTATACTGAAGAACAAGATATGGCTTCTTACACTCGAAACCTATAAACAAAATCTCTTGGGCCAATTGAACTTTTCAACGGTTAAGTTAGTATTCGGAAGGTGACAATTTTGCTTGAATAAGCTTATATATACGTGCATGATGAAAAAAAAAAAAGGATTTTCAAATGTAAATAGTAGTTAGAAACTTGGAAACTAAAATATTTGATAATTAGAATTCTTATATAAACTGGATTTGTGTTGTTTGTATGGTGGGTTGGATAAAACTATCTTTTCTCTCTTGGCACGAGTGTTTAAGGTAACAATTAGTAGTTGTTTGGACATGATGTCTTCTTATTTTTTACGATGTTGTTATTATCATAATAAGTTATGATTTTGATTATTATTGTCATGTAAGAACATATTCATTAAACACTTTGTTTTTTTTAGCCAATGTAGAAGAAAGTTGAATCTTTCTTATCTAAATTTGGAACTTCTCAAGATGCCGAGTTTCAAGGATTTTTTTGAAGAATAATTAGTCTCTAAATAAGTTATCGGTTCTTGAAGATTTCGGACTTAAGTTAGACCTAATGAATTTTGTGATATTTATATATTTTATCATTATTATTATTTTGAGAGGAGACAAGTGACAATCATGTTACTCAATCCATTGCTTGTTATTCTTAATTTCATATAGATCATAATAAAACAGCTAAAATTTTACTTTTTGATCTTTCAAAGCCTAGATTTCGATATATGTGGATATATTTCACCTCTTGATCAGCATGGACTTATTTGTAGGTTAATTTAGACTCATCTCGAGCTTATAATATTTTCTTGGATGCAATGTTATCTTCGAATTTGGAGTTTCATGACTGTCCTTTTTCTTCTTCTTCTGCTTTTTCCGCAATGGAAAAAAAAAAAAAGAAGAAAAAAGTAAGTTTTGATACCAGAATCACAAAGTCAAAGACTCGTCCTTTTTGTTTTTGATCCAAATCAAGTCCAACTTTTTATTGGGCCAACCATGGGAACAATCGACAAAGTATCCAAGAGCTGCCACATGATAAGCTGGCAATGCAAAGTTCACACACGTGTCTGCATTTGGGCAAGTGGATCATGGAGATGTTGTACTTACAATATTACCAAATGGCTGGAACATCCATTGAATACAGACATATTCCCCTGCGACTTAATGCTTGGTGGGACTTTAATGGATAAAAAGAAGGCAATGATACGTTTCCCCTCCTGACCACCATTGTTGACCTTCAGTTCGTTAGAAACAGAAAGAATGTGTAGTCTTTTTGTTGATCTAAGCACCAATTATCCTTGTGCGTACAATAAAGGAATGAAAAGTGGAAAACACGACCCACCAAGTGTACGAGAAATTTGTGGATATTCAAGCCCTGTATATATATATATATATATTTTTTTTTTTATTTTTGCCAAGGGTTAATAGTCTCGTCTCTTCATATATAATAATTCATGTTTTCAATCTATTTTTATATTTTAAAAACTTTTTATATTCATGTTATACAGACTAATTTATAACTTGTGCGAGAAATTAGTGGATATTCAAGATTTATATTTTTTTTAGGCTAAAAAAATCAAATTTCTCTTGAATTTTAAGTTCATTTAAAAATTAATTTTGAACATTTTTATACCATTCTTTGAGTGCTTAAAGGATGCTCCTCCTAATGATTGACCTTCAATGGGAAAAAAATAGTTCATCATATAATTTTCAGTTATCAATCTTTTTATTTAAATTTTTAATTTTTTTAATTATTTTAAACTAAATTTTTGTATACATATTGATAAAAATTCAATATATTTTTTTGAAAAAAAAATTTCATATTTTTTCAAGATCGAAAAGTATTTTTATTTAATTTTTTAAACATTAAAAAAGTAAAAACAATGATCCAAAATGTTTTCATATTTTTTGAGATAAATCTTAGTGAATGATTTACATCAAAAAAATATTCACGTAATTATTATTTTTTAGTTAAATGACAAAAAACTAAAAAACAGATTAAATCTAAAAAAAAGTTCAAAAAGATCAAATGCAAAATTAGAAGTTCGGTGACTGTTTTTAAAAATATATTAAAATATAAGAAAGATTTCTTCTTTTTAGCCTATTCTTCCCACCATTCATTAATAAGATTCATATCTAGTCACTTTGGTTTTTTTTATATGGTGTTTGAATTCAAGAAAAAGCGTAAGAAATTAATGATTCGTTAATACCATATTCTGTATGCAATGATGATGATTTGTTTTAAATCCGACTGAAAAATTATATTAATCCGAAAACTCGCATCAGCCGACAGTACGGTAAAAACGAGAAGAAAATCGGAATCACACAAGAAATTTCCTTGTGGAGGACAGAGGTGCAACAGAATTCCATAGCCGACAACATGTTTAGGAGCAGAAGCAGCGTAAGAAAAAAGAAACTTTGGCTATGGTTGGCAGATCTTCATACCAAACTACCAGCTATGCTTTCCCAATGGACAACTGGGTGTCATTTCCAAGCATGTTCAGCACCTGCAACTTGGAATTGTGCTCTTAGCCACACGTGGATGCCACCCAAGTATTTTAATATGGGTATAATTTGTACCCGAAAGAAAAAAGGAATCAATTTTAAGCTGTTGGAAAATCGACTTTAAGCTTGGCTTAAGCTTGCAGATAGGAATTTTAGCTTAAAATCCGGGAATTTAATTTTAAAAACAATTGTAATTATGATAGTAGATTGTGATTTATCATGATAGTAAAATAACGATTTAATGATAAAAATTTCTTATGTTTTATTGTAATTTGACAATTTCATATTTTTATTATCAATTTACATGATTTTAATCTTAAAATATCAGTTTTTGAGTAAATCTTATTCAAATTTGTGAATTGTAAAAGTTAACTCAGTTGAGTGTTAATTTTTTTCTATTGTTTTTTTTTGCTGTTATTTTTTTTTTAATTTTTTCCTTTATTTTTCAAGAGAGATTCTTTCTATTTAAAATTTTCACATATTAATATTTTTCATATTCAATCAAATTGTTATTTGTATATTTTTTAATTTTTAAAAATAACTTTTATGTAATATTATTATTCATTAAAACAATCAACTTCTATAATTAATAAAATACAAATATCTATTGGTTGAGTTTGATCAATTGAAATTATCAAATAATTAATTTTAACTGAAATTTTTCTTTTTTAATGCTAATAAATTTATTCTTGTGATTGTCGATTGTTAAATTTTAAATATAATTATATTTATTCAATTTTTTTTTTTTATCTTCGCATGTTTTATATGATTTTTTTCTCACAATTGATTCAAATATATATTATGTATTTAAAATTGTTAGAGTTAGAAAACCATTTTTTTAATTTCTAATTTATTTAAAACTAGGGCAATTTTTGTCGTAAAATTGTAAAATAACGGTTGTAACAACTAATGTCTTAATACATTAAAATCTAACAACTATTAATAAATTTATTTAAAATAAAAAAAATATTTTAAAAAAAACAATAATATAATAGTAATTATTTATCATATAAAAATAATAATAGTTGTTATTATTATGCGATGTCGTTATTGTTATAACATGTACGAAACATCATTGAATTCTATATAATTTATATATTGAAAACAAACATATATGAATTTGTTAAATAACAATCGTTAAAATATTTAAACCTTGATACGACCAAGGACTTTGGTCGTTTGCATTCATCTTTTCTCTACTTAGAAATCTTGTTTGCTTCTTTTTTTATATAATACGGGTTATTTTGTATCCAAAAGGGGAAAAAAATCAATTTTAAGTTGTTAGAAAATCAACAAAGCTTGACTTAACTCAAAGATAAGAATTTTAGTTTCAAATCGTAAATTACTTGTAAAAAAATTATAATTGCGACAACCAACGTTTTGAATACATTTTTATTTAACAACTATTAATAAATTTATTTTAAAATAAAAAATATTTTTTGAACAGTAGTATAATAATGATTTATTTATCATATAAAAAACAATAACAATTGTTATTGCTATATAATGCTATTATTCTTATAAGGATAATTTGTTTGGTAATATAATATACTATGCGTTGGCTGTAAACTTGTAAACTAATGTCTCGAACTAAAATTTTTTCAATTTTTTTTTATTTGTAATTAAATCAATCAATTTTATCAACCAAATTTCGAACACGTTATCACTTGGATAATAGGCAGCTCCGGAGCTTCCAGAATCCATCTATTTCGAAGAGAGATGACCATACCGTATTCCTTCAAAATATACCAAAGCCCAGCGAGGAGGAGGAAATGTTTGCAACCATTTAGCAGCTACAGAAGAAACCTTTGAAATTTCAACCATTTTTTCTTTAAACCAAACGGTAGTTGTAGCGTATGTAGCTTTCTACAAAAGAAAGACAAGCCTTGAGTTCTTGAATTCTTTACCAATGCTTTCACTCAATATATGGGTTTTGGTTGTTTTTCGTTAATAGACCGGGTATCCAATCTACTGGTTTCTCTATTTCTTTCCTGAAAACTTTAGCTCCACCAGCAGTACTTGCAAAGTTTGAATCTTCTTGAAAGGCTAAAATATTTGAGTCTTATGTTTGTGTGCAAAATAGCTTCATAAATATTTATATTGTCTGTGGGCTTATTATCGTGGTAGGAAAGTGTTTGATTTTATGTTTAAGAGAACTTTGATTTCTTGTGATTCAATGATGGATGAGTATTCTGAATTAAATTAATTGAATTTTTTTAAAAAGAGTATTCTGATTTAAATTGTTCTAAAGAAACATTTTGATAATAGAAGAGATTAGAGAATTGAGGATGTAGCAAAAAGAATAGAGGGAAAAAAAATTAAGTTCGGTAATTTAACTTAGGTATGATTTATTACTCATTTCATTATCACAAGTATATCATGTGTGTTCGAAATTTGATCAACGAAATCAATAAATTTGATTATGAATTAAAAAATAATTATGTCACTCGAATTGAAAAAAATAATTCGAAACATCGGTTTATAATCAATGCACGGTACACAATACTTAGAACTAATTAGTTTTGTTATAATATAAATGAAACATTATTGAATTCTTTATAACATTATATAATGAGAACAAACATACATAAATTCATTAAATAATAGCCGTTAGAGTATTACAAAAAAATTAAACTAAAACTATTAGTTACTATTTGAAACACTCGTTCATTCAAACTCATTGATACTATTCACTCGTATTTAAATACATCATTCCATCATTCCTTTCATCTGTGCGAGTGGCATTTTGTATTTTTAAAATATTTATTATGAAAGTTTTTGTAACATTATACTTTATTTTATTTTATTTTTAAAATTATGTTTTTAATTTGTAAATATTTTTTATTTGATTTTATCATATTTTTTTGTTTCATTTTGGTTCTTATTTTTTCCTTTGCTTTTTTAATTAAAAATTTAAGGCAAAAGAATGTTTAGAAAAAAATAATTTACAAAATAAATTTTTAACTAAAAATATGAATAAAGATAACTAAATAATGTTTTGTAATAAAAAATATATGAAAATATAAATAATAATTGTCAAATACAAAATTTTGATTAGAAATAATAAAATTAATTTAATTTTTTTATTTTTAATTTAATATATTTTAATAGATATATAATATAATATGAGATATCAAATAAAATAATTTTTTAAATAATTTTATATATTTTATTCTATCGGATGACGTAAAGCAAAAAAAAAAAAAAAACTAGTTTAAACTAATAAGGATAGCGTGAACGAGCATTCGTTTATGGTCGTCTTTTCTATGCTTTGAAATCTTGTTTGCTTCTTTTTTTCTACCCATTTCTGATTCGAAAGTTTTGTTTTTGAATATTTTGAACTGATTTGTCTCCCCAAATTCAAGTTTTTCTACCTCGCAGATTCCCAAAATAAAAAAAAATAAAAAAAAGGCCAATTTTCTGTAGACTGAATCGAATTTTTCACCCTCCCTCGTAAAATAGTTCGAGAATGGATAACGTGTGGAGCCCAGTTGGCAAATCAAACGTCAAAACCCCCCAAAAAAAATTGTATACGAGCGATTGATTGATTGATGCTGATCCTATCTACAATAATCAATTACTGTCACCAATCAGCATCTTACAAATTATAATGTGATTGATTCTGCATTGGATCAGATATTTATGGATTAAGATGTTAATTTGATGTGCATATTGATCCTTACAATTATTTTTGTTTTATTTAGTTTTTCCATATGTCTAAATAGTATAATGGCCCTTTTTTTTTACTCGAAACAAAAATAAATTTATGATAATTTTATTTCTCGTTATCTAATTTGAGTCTCGATGATCTATAAAAAATAAGCATTTTATTCTTGATTATGACATGGATACTTAAATTGGATCCTTATAAAGAGGATTATAATTGCAACATAGAAAATAGTTAGTCTGATTCAAAAAATTCTTCCAATAAAAAGAAAAAAATAAACTCCCAAGGTAGGCTAATCAAGAAAAATTGCTGAATTTTGCTACAAACAAAAAAAAAAAAAAAGAAAAAGAAAAGAAAAGGATGGCTCTCTTTAGTAAATGAGTCAATTATTCAATTTTAAAAAAGAATTAAATATTTCTTTTTATTTCAAAAAATAATTAATTAGACTTTGATAAGTATTTATCTTGATTAATTTAATATTATTTTATATAAAAATTAATCAATAATTTTATTTTTTATTTATTTTAAAAAATAAATCAAAAAAGAATTAAAAGAATTAAGTTACGAAAAACATATGGACTAATTAATTAGTTCTTAAAACTAAAAAACTATTTAATTTATTTTGAAAAACTAAAAGGACTAATTTATAAATACTTTTCGTAAAGGCCGATATTATTGAATGTCAAGTCCAAAATCAATTCCTAATTCCTAATATGCTAACTGCCCAATAACCTCCAACAACATGAGGTCACACAATCTTATCAAATTCATAAACACAGAAATATTTTCAACCAACAAACATTAAAAATAAATAAAAATTAATGCCCTGTATCCCTGGCTAATCATGTCATACTAAAAACAAATCATCTAAAAAAATTAAAATTTTCATCAATTTTAAAAAAATATTGTTAAATTCATCAATCAAATGGTTATTTCCACTATTTTTTTTAAATTATCAATACATCATTCACTAATATTTATGATATAATAGTTATTAATAATTAATGAATGATATATTTGTATTTATATAAAAAAATGATAGGACTAACAATTTAATTGATGAATTTAATAATATCTATTTTAAAAATATATAATGATAATATGTGCAAAGAATTTCATTACAGCAATTCATAAAAAAAAAACGTCTATCATTAAATAAATATATAAAATTCTATAAAAATGAACACAAGAACCCAAAACCAAAAACAAGCAAACCCGAATCCAATTTCCTTCCCACAGTTTTCACTTCTCATGATTAACCCACCCACTTTCAAGCAAACCCAAACATTGGTTAACTCGAAAAAATAGTTAATTGGTTAACCACTTTTTTTTTTTTTTAAATAATCATGATAATTTACAAATAGTTTTCACGTAGGTCGAGATTCAATCTTTCTTCAGTTTAGTTTCTTGTGAATTTCTTTTAAAATTTATATTCGAAATGTTTTTTATCATAGATAAAATTTTACCGTTCACATCAATCATTAAACATTAAAAATTAATATAAAAGAAGATATTTTATTATTATAATAAATTGAATTAACCACCATTATAAGTACGAGAAGCTAATATAACCTCTTCTTGTAATTGAATTTTTTTTAATTCAACTACTCTAAATGAAGGATTTGAATAAATGATTTCTTATAAATACAAAAAAATTATTATCACTTAATCAGAAGATTATTTGATTTATATATTTAAGATCGTAATTTGAAGTAAAAACTTATTTATGATTGAAGATTATTATTTAGTATTTTAGTTGCTAATAATACGATGATTATTAGTTACTTAATTAGATAAAAAAAATTAACTCCTTATTAAAAAAAACAATAAACTAATGTCAACCATTACAAATTCAACAACTCAAATTCACAGACTCAACAAAAATAGATCCAAACCGTCCATCATCCTATTTAGACAGCAGTTATCATTACCCTTTCTACCTCCCCTAATCTAACGGTCACAATATTATTTTCTCCGAAGACCAAAAAAATCAGATAAAATAAACCCACAGACAGAAAGAAGAAACAAAACATCATAAAAAAGAGAAGAACAAGAAACAGAAACCTCAAACCCGGCAGCACAAAAAAAAGAAACAATCTTTTTCTTGTTATCTCTCAGAATTCACTAGCAATCGAATCCTTAATTTATTGGTTTTTTATTTCTTTGGTTTTTTTGCGTGTTTTTTGTGTGGGGCAATTTAGAAAAAGAAAGAAAAAGCAAAAAGTGTTAATTCGTAAAGAGAAAGAAGGGAGATTGAAGGATTTTTGGTTTTGGGCTTGTTGAGATGGGATTGGGAAACAGTGAGAATGATGTGATTGTGGATGATGGAGATGGAGACGGACGTGGTGGTGGAGGAGGATTGAATGGCAAGTCGTTTGGAGGGTCAGTTTCATGTTCGATTTGTCTTGAAGTGGTTATTGATAATGGGGATCGGTCATGGGCTAAGCTTCAATGCGGACATGAGTTTCATCTGGGTATGTTAAAAAGCTTGGATGTTTAATTTGTTTTTTGGTGTTTTTTATTTTGATTTGGAATTTTGAGATCTGGTTACAATGTTGTTTTAGTGATGCTTTTGTGGGTATTTTTAGAATTTTGGTTCTTGTCTGTTTTCTCTGATTGGATTTTGAATTACTGGATGGTGATGTATGGCTGTAGCTCTTAATTCGATAGGAAATAGGATTCTGTGTGATTTTTTTGAGAACATAATTTGGTGATATTCATCTGTTAGATCTTTCTTTTGAAACCTAAGTTATTAAGTTTTTGCGGTATACGATGTGATGCTGATTTGAAATTAGCGCTTAGATTTGTATCTCTACTGAATTTTAGATTTTGCAATTTGGAATCAGAGATTATGAGATATCGGCAGTGAGTTATGTTGTGTGATGGAAAGGATTGGAGGGTGGTTCTGAATTAGGAATTAGGTAAGAATGAATGAAATTTTATACAGCTTTTATTTATTTAAGTTAATCGGAAACCAATCTTTGATGGAGCATGCAGAGGATAGCTTTGTTTGTGAAGATCTCTCCAGTTCCTTAAGTTATGATTTTTAGAAATTTAGAGAATTTGACAGAGTGAAAATACTAATTCCATAATTTTACTTCATTGAGAAATGCTTTTTACTAAGTAATCTTGCTTAGTGTACTAAGGCTGTTCACCCTCTAATTCTCATTAATCCACTCTTTGTGGGTTTGTAATATTGCGGTGGGGCCCAGAAGTACAATCCCGCAATACTAACTTTACCTTTACTTGCGAAAATACTTCCCTTTAGAATTTATTATCACACAGCAGTAATTTTTTTGGACCCATTATAGTTTTGCTATTCAAAATGAAATTTAAATATCAATCAATTGTGTTATTGAAATGAATGAAGGATATCACACCAAATGCCTATGGAGGGAAACAAAGAGACCATTCATGATAACAATCATTTGAGAACATGCAAATGTGTCATGAAAGTTGCATATGCACTAATCTCTTTACAGGACTTTAAAAAAGCTGTGCTTGGACCCAATGGTCTTCCATTAGGAGCATCAATGGTGATTATTTGTGTGATTGAGTGCTTGGAGATGCATTTTTTTCGTTAATGTTTTGGTTTTTGGTGTCACTCTGCTGTGATGTTTGTTTTGTTATCCTTTGGAGAATACCAAGCAAGATCCTTTCTGCATAGGGGCGCATCAATTTGCTCACTTGTATTTCATCATTGACTTTGTACTTGATAAGTATATCTTTGTTTTTTCCTCCTTTGATTGAAATTTATCTTTTCATTATGATCTTCAGACTGCATCGGTTCAGCATTTAATGTAAAGGGTGCAATGCAATGCCCTAATTGCCGGAAAATTGAGAAGGGTCAATGGCTCTATGCAAATGGTTGTCGTTCTCTGCCAGAATTTAGCATGGATGACTGGGCTCACGATGAGGACCTTTATGACTTAAGTTATTCTGAAATGGTAAATGGATTTTTCTCTAGATGAATACTTTACTTTTATACAGTTCAAGTGTATGATAGTCAACGAAACATTGCTGCTCAACTTTTATTTACTTTGAGTTTTGATGTTCTGTGAAACCTTCAAGTATCCCCATAATTGTTGCAACCCTTTGTTGTTTGTAATTAGTATTAGTTCAAATAACAACTTTGTGATTATGGAAAACCTGTTTTTTCACAAATTTGTGTTCCTAGGACTTTTGAGTATATTAGGTGTTCTGTTTCTTTATATCAAGGATAGAATGTTAAAATGTCAATTTCTTTGTTCTCAATTGCTTGTAAAGCAAAAAGCTGTGTAAGTTAATGTACTCTCTTAGTAGTTTCCTCTGAAATGCTTAGAAAGGAAAAAATATAAAACAAGGAGACAACAAAAGATGCAGGGGCAAAATCATAGTAGTATGTTAAGTTTTAAGGGTAACTGTAGCCTGGTAATGTACCAGGTTTCTCTTAGTTGGGTTTTTTTCCCTTTCTAGTTTGCGTTTTGCATTATTTATTACTCCATCCCAAATTTTTTATCTTTTCTAAAATGCTTGTCTGGTCAAAACTTTAAGTAGTGTACTTTTCTAAAATACCCCTAATTAAGGTTCTTTTTGTAAAAAATTGTCCAAATATAATTCTCAAAAAAATGGTATTTTAGGAAAGCATGAACAAAAGATGCCGATATGGCATAATAATTGATAACCTTTTTAATCTGTGTGAAAAGTAAAAAGGTCAATCTCTTTGGGACAGGGAGTATGGCATTTTGGACGGTTAAGATTAAGTTATTTTAAAGGCTAGGGTTTGCTTTGCTATATAAGGGCTACTATTGCTGTAATAAAGATTTTTTTTATATATTTTGAGAATTTTATTAGAAAGTTCCTTTTCTTTTTTCTTTTTTTTTTTTTCCTGTGTGGTCCAGAGCGCAGTCTAGCCAATCTCAACCAGGTTTTTAAGATAAACGGACCAAGGTGGATAGGATGCGTGTGTGCATCCTTTCAAGTTTATTGGACTGAGAAAGGAATGCTGTTGTCCATACTTCGGTGTTGACATGCAAACCATCTGATGCAATCAACATGATGGCCTCTTCCTTTTTCTTTAGTTTGGACCATAGGAAGTAAGGTTGAATTCTCAAATCTTCTTTGCAATAGATACTTGGTATCTTAAATTTGGACAATTAACACAGAGGTAGATTAGTAATTGGATTAGATCTCCAAGTTAAAATTTGTTTTTGTCCCTGGAACTTAGGCACAAGGAGATCTTTGCCATTTTTAGTTCCAACTCTACATTCCTTGGATTTTGATCAGGAGATGAGTGAAGACGCCACCAAGGTGCAACTAAGAACTTTGCCTAGGTGAGGTGGATCGGAAGGTTTTCTATCCTGTCCAATTGGAAACTAACAATTTACTTTGAATGCACTATGGCATTGATGTACGTTTTTCAGAAGTAATATAATTATTCTTCTATCTGCATTTTTTCTATATCATATGAACAGGGCAGCAAGAATTCCTCCTACCCAACACATGGCAATCTCTCAAGCTATCATGTTTGGGTAGCATTAATTGCTTTTTATTTTTTTTAGTCAATGAAAATCTTTTGCTTTATCATATAATCTTTTGTCTATAAGGAAACTACCTTTTTACTATAGATGAGTGAGTTGGATTTCCAATATATTTATGAAATAATAAAATTTTGTTCAGCACATGGGTGTACTAAGAGATTGCCATGTGTTGGGCAGTAGGAAATTATTGTTCTTGTTATATTAGTAGCTTTATGCATGCTTAGGTAACTCATAGAAACATCACATCCTTCTGGACAGTTATTTTAAATCTGTGCGCTGTTGATACCTAGATTTGTTTTTTCTGCAAGTTCCTCAGTAGCATTTTTGTTTATTGTGTGTGGGTATGATGCATATTACAGGAATGGTTCATGTTCCTGAATTGTCATTTATGATGAGTTCTGTGCATGTGGGATTATTTACACATGCATGTGTGTAGGCACAAGAACACACTTCGATTGTATCTGACATGCAACTTCTTGCTTATTTGGTTCTAAATGGTTTTGCAGTCCTTCGGGGTTCATTGGTGTCCATTTGGGAGCCTAGCACGACTTCCTTCATCCTTTGAGTAAGCATCAAGTATCAATTACATTTTAGTGCTCAAAGTTATTCCCATTCCAGTTTCTATACTAATCTTTTTGATCATTGGTTTTCCACTTGCTATTTACACATCTGTGCTTTTTTTTTTTTTTTTTTTTTTTTGTATTACATTGGAAATTTTTAATATAGAAATCAGATGGTACTTTAAAGAGACTCTAGGAGGTATTTTTTGGCTGAGAAAACTGAAGCTGAAACAAAGAAAGAGTGATTGCTGCATACTGAATTCTGAATAATTGGGCACATAGGCTGCAGATTTCAAATATAAAATTATGTGTCAACTGTTACTATTTCTGGTAAATTTAGCCTAGTCCATATTAGCAATGTTTTATTGGCTTTTAAAACAACAAAAGTGTGACTGAAACTGAATTTTTAATAAATGGGGCACGTGGGCTGCAGATTTCTAATGGAAAATTTATGTCCCAACTGGTAGTTTTTTGGAAATGTAACCTAGTCCATGTTTTCCATTATGGTCTTTTCGAAACTGGGATCTGTTATTCAAATAGCAAACATCTATCCCTGAAGGGCCTTGATTTGGGATTTTCTTAACAATATCCTTGTAGCTTTTCCTCATATCCATGGTTTCATTAGCATTCATTTGTTCTTGAGATGCAACACATGGTTTCATTAGCGTTCATTTTTTCTTGAGATGCAACACTTGGACTGTTTGATTGAAAGAGTCATGATAATGCTGAGAATCTGATGTTCTAGATCTGTTGTGTGATCAACCAATTTCAATAAATACTGGGTTTCACGCAGAGCACACACAAGTTGCAATCTGCTAGCTACCAGAGTCTGTAAACGTCTGAATTGTATTGGCTAATTCCCACCACAATCTGTCACTTGCATGGCCTACCTAATACAGCTTGTCATGGCAATGGCACCGGATTTTAGTGTTTAGCCAGCTGGTGGAGTGTTGAGTTAATTGAAATTTGGGCGGTCAAAGATTTTACTTATTCCTTCTGCATATTGGGGTAAAACTATGTGATTGTGGTTCAACAAATAATAATTAAAAAAAAAAAAAAGGATAGGAGGATGCGCCAATTCCTGTCCTTAAAATGGCTTTTAGGTTCTAATGGAGCAAAAGTTTTACATTTTCTATATATTCAGTCCACTTGATTTTCGTTTCTGTTTTCAAGTAAGGCACTGCTCTTTGTCTAAGCTGTTATATTTTTCTATGTTGCAGGGAAGGGGAATTTTCATCAAATGCATGTAAGAGATTTCTCTATCCTGTTTGAGTAATGGTTTTCTTTCAAGTTTTAGCACTGGAGGGACCATGGCTAACTATATTGATAGGACTGATATTATGATGCAGATCATGATTTATTGGGACAACATGCCATATTTGCCGAACATACTGCAGCAGCAGTATCATCTGCTACTCATCCATGCCCATATATTGCTTATTTTGGACCAATTCATCCTTCATCGTCAAACTCCAGTGGCAGTGTTTCTGATGGTTCTAGTTTTAACAATCACTGGAATGGTCCATCAGTACCTAGTGAGATCCCTAGTTCCTATGCTTTTCCTGCCATGGATATCCATTATCATAGTTGGGAGCAACATTCTCCTCCCTTCTCTACAACCAATCGAATAGGTAATGCGGATCAGCCTTCAGTTCCACCTGTTACTCAAAGGTCGGCTAGAACTAGTTCAGATCTTCCACCAAGATCAGGATCTTTCATGCATCCATTCCTTGTTGGTCATAGGTATGCATGTCTTCTGAAAATTTTAATTATTTGCCATGAAAAATAAAGTAAAGAAAATTCATTATTTAGGCTTCTTGCTGATAACATTTAGGTTGAAGAAACAGTTTATGCTCAGCATTTGAAATAGATATCCCCTTTTTTCTTACATTTATTTGAGTTTGTTTTGTAATCTGTATAATTGGTTCGTATGGACCTCTATCTTCCACAGTTCTAGTGCTAGAGCGGGGAGTTCGCTCACTTCCACAATGATTCCACCTTACCAAGGCAGTAATGCACGAGCACGTGATAGAGTTCAAGCGCTTCAGGCATACTATCAACAACAACAGCCTGGCAATTCTCCGCCTATTCGCACACCGGTTGTTTCTGGAAGCCGAAGATCCAGCAGTCATAGAGGTATGTCTCAAGTAGGAACGGTGGCCTCGTCATCGGATCAGACCGGTTTCTATTTCATTCCATCAGGAGCATCAAGTCGGAACTTCCAAGAGGCAGAAAATCCTCTGCCAACTCGATTTCGATCATGGGAAAGAGATCATCTGCCACCATTCTCCATTAATCAGGTTGACAGAGATTCAGGTTGGAGCACATTCCATCAGGCTGGTGGTGGTTCAGATCCTAGCATCAGATCCGGCAGCTTCCGCCAAAGGCATGGATCGGAGAGAATGTCATCACAAAATCGGTGATAACTTTCATCATTATCCTTATTGGGTGAAGCAAACTACCACTACTGTGGCTGAAACCAAATTATGTATGCTTGAGAAATGACATATGATGCTTGGAGTCTGTCAATCCTGACCGACTCAAAAAACTGTTGAGTGGCCCTGAAAAAACGATATGTTTGGCAGCCACCTGGCTGTGTGATGGACTTTTGCTTCCTATCATTTCTTTGCCTATTTGAGGATATAAATAAGATCTAATGTTGGATAGTAAAGTTGAGTAGCCGTATGGCTTCCCCACCCCCCCCCCCCAAAACCACAGCACACGCTATGGGAAGTGAACAAATTGACCTAGGCATGCATTAGTTGAAGGAAACAGGAAATCAACTTTCTATGTTTTACGGAAAAAAAAAAGTAATTGATTTCATTTACAAAAGGAAGAAAAAGAAGTAGAAAATTACCCTTATTGATTAATCGACATTTCTCTCCTCTACTACTGCGATGTTTCTTCTCAATCTATTATCACTACAACTTGACAAGTTCATCAAATATGGATTCGTTAGCCTCTCCGGAGTGAATATGCTGATAAGCAATATTGATGAAGTACAATTAAGAAGCTGTAATGCTTCCTTTGTAGCAATTATGCTGTAGATTGTCTCATATAAGACAATAATCGAAATGAAGATTAAAATGCCATGCATAAACAAAACTGAAATGAAAAATTACAAAAAGAGGAGTGTTGTCGGAGAGATTCTTTTTTGGTTTTTGTTTTGGAGGTGGAGAGAGGAGGAGAATGAGGAAGAGGAGGAAGAAAAAAAAATAGTAGAAGTAATTAAAAAGAGTTTTGGACACGTGTCAATATATCGTGAAAGTTATTGGATGAGTGAGCCGTGATTCTAGCTTTTTTATTAGATAAGGATCAGACAAAAATAAAAATAACATCAAAAGTAGAAAATTAACACTAAGACAAATAAAAGTAAGATGAAAACTAATACAAAATTAAACGTAGAAAGACACGTAAAAGTTTTTGATCCGTTATGTTGTATCCATTCAATGGAAGTCCTAGCCAACGTTAGCTGAAGTAAATTATAAATTAGTCCCCCTCATTTTGAGAAAAGAATTGATTACTCCCTGTGGTTTTAAAAACTAATTATTAATTTTTTTTGAAAAATAGAAAAGTAATAAAATATAAGTAAAATATACAAAGATTAATAAAAAAACATTTTATAATATAAAAAATATTAAATTAGTCATGGACTCGTGGCCAATACTAGTTAAAAGAACTAAATAATTAGTTTTAAAAATAAAAAACACTAATTAATTTGTTTTTGAAAACAAGAAGGACTAATTTATAATTTACTCACGTTAATTGTGATGTGCTTTTTTTTTTTTTTTAAGGGCCTCCTAAACCTTTATTCACAGTTGGGTACCAATCCACTTTAGATTTAAAGGAACTTGATGACATGCTTAGACAACTCTTGCCGCAAAGCATTTTTGGGATCTTTTTTTTTTAAGCTTGTTTTTCTTCTGAAGGAAAAGAAAGGGCTGATTTTATTTTACCCCATAAAGTATGACTTTATCCATTTCTTTTGAAAAGTTTATTTCTTTTATCAATTATGAGTTGATTAATTTTATTTTACTTCAGTGAAAAAAAGATTATGTTGATAAACAGATAAAATATTAGGAAAGTAATTGATAAAAAACAAATTTTTATAATAGTTACCATTTACTTCAAGATAGTAAAATAAAATTAATTAAAAAAAATAAGAGAAAAAAAAAGCATGTTTATAAAAACGGTAATGTAAAAGCCGCATTACGTTGGTTGTACATTTTAAAAAAATCTAAAATTTTTATTTTAACTTTTTTTAGTAAAAGTTCGTATGTTTTCTGGATTTATGATATGCATTTATCAAGGTAAAACTTAAAAGGACATCTTAAAAGGTTGTTGTATCTTCAAATTTAAGGATTGATAAGATAGCATTCTTTTTTGTTTTCTGATGAAATGAGATGAGATAAAATTTATGATGTGGTAAATACAAACGAACATTCAAAAAATTGCAATCTAAGAAATCCCGCAATTACAATTTAATTAGTGAAATTACAAACAAAAAAGATAAATTTGATTACAACAAGTAAATATGCTAAACAGTTTCTGATAACTTCAAACAACATTTTACAATTAGAATAGTGTATTTTGTTTTATAAGGTAAAACAATGAGTTGAATGACGAATTTTATTCAACCATTGGTAATTGTTAAAATTATCAGACATTTAGTTAAAAATTAGATAAGTGTAATGAATAAATAAGGATAGTTGTTATAATTACAGAACGGCTAATTTCTTATAAAATATCTTGAACTAAAAAAAAAAAAAATTTAATTATGATTTAGATCCTCGGTTTTTTTTAATTCGTAATTAAGTTTTTTCATCTTATTGAAATTTTAAACTACGTGAGAAACACTTATAACTATTAAAATAACAATACATGTTTTAAAAATAAAAAAATAAAACACGTGCTTGTTATTTTATGACAACATATGTCTTTTACGTATACTCAATATATTCTGATATTAGTCAACGAAACCAAAAAGCATAATTGCAAGCCAAAAAAAAAAAAAAAAGAGATAAATTAGGAATAAAAAAACCTTCTCTCATTGGCCAATAGTTTAAAATAATTTATAACCAATTCGAATTAGATCAGAAAAATGATCGAACAACAGTTGGGTCGGGTGGTCAGAGTGATTGGTGATGCGAAAGAATGCTGTTTAGTAGGGTTTTCGGGTTATTTGGGTTTTTCCGCTACTAGTACGAATGCTGAGCTACAAAGCAATAGGGGTGGATAGCAACTTTCTTTGGATTTTGGTCATCAGCAAGTGCTCGTTGAATCCGACTCCCAAGAAGCCTTGACGACCCCATCGAATCTGATCGGCTTTCTAGTAGCCCATGAATGCTCACCGTAAGTTTATGCAACCAAACACAAGCTATCATGATATTCGATGTGTGGAAAAATTGGCATTCGAAGAAAAAAAGGGGGAAAAAAAGAAGAATTAATTAGTGGCCGAACCGGAAGCTTTTCCATCGACCAAAATTTTCTAGATGAACAAAACATCAAAATATGAAGGATAGTTGAAGTTTCTTGTTTTCTTGTCCTTTCTTTTTCCCTTCCAGGAAATACCGGCAGCCTTAGCCTTTCATGCGAGTCTCATCCATGTTTACCACAACCCACTCTCAAGGTCGGAGGAAAACAAATGGTGGCCTGGTAAAGTTGATCATATAGCAGAACTGTAGCAAAAGTCTTAACAATATCAACAATGCCAATGTCAGTGCAGGTAGATAATCAGGAAAAAAAAAGGTCTTAAACTTTAATTTCAACATCAGATTGATTAATACGTTGAGAATAATCTTAAGGCCAATAGTCCCCAATATAACTGCCTACGGAGGCAAATCTAGTTTTATCGGTATCAAGTTCACTAATGTGCATGTTCCACAACCAAGAGAACAGGATCCTCATCAACGACCCATGGAGTCCACCGACCGGCTTCGATCAGATCTCACCTGTCAGTTGCAACCATGATCAGAAAAAGTCAAATAAAAACTTGAAAATGGAACATACGGAATAAAAAAATGGAGGAGAAATCATCTAAGCTGAGAGCAGGATCATACAGAAGGCGAACGGGAGCGAGATAAACGATCGGGGCTTATGCTTGGGGTTCTATAGTACCGTTTGCTGCGAGGAGGCTGCACATCACCGAGGACAAAAGAAAAACCACAGTAAGAAAATAGAGAGCAGTATTCCATCACACAGGATGCTGATAATGGAATGAATACTTTCACTTACAGAGGCAAGCGGAGATCTTGATCTTGAACGGGATCTGCAAAAATTTCCATAAACAACCCAATTCAATATCCAGAACAATCCATTATAATCCTTGATCCAAAAGCTTCAATGTCACTTCCACCTCAGAGTGAGCAGCAACCAAAAGAAACAGAAAAGTACCAGCAACCTTTAGAAGCAACTAAAAAACACACTGGAACCAAATCCACTATCTGATGAATGCAACCTCACCATTTGTTAATTCTTCTCCCAGCAGGTAATGAGAACTTAAACAATGCGCAGAGAAAATGAAAAACCAGTATAGCACCACATTACAAATTCCAAATGAAACGACATCTTCCCCATCCACACCAGAAGGAAGGAGAACTACATCCTCCCTGTCTGTATCGCCAAATCCAGGGAGAATACCAAACACAAGTTAGTGGTAATATTGAAGCAGTTTCAAGTTTCTTCGTACCGCTGGTGCATGGGTGGCACCAATAGCACTTACTTCACAGTAATCCAGCTTTAAAACCATAATCCCATCCGCGCCTGATCAAGTCTAATGCTAATTGACACACCAACTTAATAGCATTGTGAGATTATCAGGAACCAACTTAATAGAATTATGAGATTATCAGGATTTTCCAGAGGTGCCCATCAACAAAAACAGCATTACCTCAAAACAAACAAAGAGGTGCAAGCATATGACCACCACATCCCATCAAGTCCTTAACATCCAATCCCCAGGTGGCCAGGTTGCTGCACAAAGCCAAATCAAGCAAAACAAACAAGGCAACCTTCACAAACAAGGTACGATACTAGCCAACCCAGACACCCTTTCCCAGTAGCACTTTTCACTCTTTCAAGTAATGATTAGTCTTCCATTTTGAAAAAGCAGTTAGATTTTAACATCTAAGCAAGATTGTTGAGTGGTGACGAAAGTCTAACAATAGCAAGAAGTTACACAACTAGAAGGTTTTAAAACTGGCATGGTTACAAGATGCTTGATATTGGGACGCATTTCAAATTCCCAATTATCAAGGAAAGACACCATTAGAAGAAAGGCAATTATTGAAAAATTACTATGAAATGTGGAGATTAATCCACTGAAATCGTACCAGATACAAACAAAAATAAAAAGATCAACCAACAAACAAAGGAATAAGTTTAATTGGCAAGCTCATATGGAATGGAAGATAACAAGCAAACT